TCGGCCAGTCTGGCTGAGGCTGTGACCTGAATTCCTTTTTCCTCAGGCAGGATTAATTAATGTATTGTCCAAAGGGCAGGGTAGGCTCTGTAAGCAACCAAGACTGAGCCTCAGAATGAGCCCCCAACTGCCATATGGGAACTCTCCAAAAATCTCTGGGTTTGCATAGTTCATCTTTTAGCAATTTATTGTCAAAAGTGAATTAACAATTTGGGTATTTTTAACCATAGTAACAAAAATTTTCAAACAAACACATTAGACTGGGAATCAATTTTCAAATGTATCAGAAACTCCATTCCCTTTGACCAAAAATAGGGTAGCATTTACAGATGACTAGTCTCTGCACCCCATCCCCAAATCTTAACACCTGGCTAGAAAACCAGAGGAGAAAGAGCCAACAGTCTGGAAGATTTAGCCACAGCCCAGAAAAATACATTCCTCAAGTTGGAGGAGTCTGGTTGTCAAACACACTCCATGTGGGGACAGTAAAGTGTATGTGGTTTCCTCATTAGGATGAAGAGAAGGGAGTCCAGGGATTCAGGTATTTACCATAACTGTCAAACCACATGTGCCAAGCTGGTTTCAAAATTATGCTTTTCCTGGAACATAATGGGTCTTCAATAAATACAGGGATAAATGAAAGAATAGTTGTTCAGTTCAACAACTTCCTTCTTCAGGGAGAAAGCACAGAGTTTCTGTAAAGGACCGTATAGTATATATCTTTGGCTTTGTGAGTCATACTATGTCTAGCACAACTACTCAATCTGCCATTGTATTGTGAAAGCAAGCTGTGTTTCAATAAAACTTTATTTACAAAACCAGGCAGTGAACTAGATTTGGCCTATGGAGCCGTAGTTTGTTGACCCTGGTCTAGTGCACAGCTTGTTGTATCTCTGTAGTCAAGTATCAAGGAGGTTCTGATATGTAGACCACATCAACTAAGCTGAGACACATTTCTAGAAACCTTGGAAAAGCAGAGTGCAGGAAAAACGGTTCCCTTAAAACCTCAACCTCTTGAAGGCTACTTTCTAACCTTGAGGTGGAGGAATATTTATATACATAGGTATGAAATACACATAATGTATGAAGAATAGCTGTAATGATGTTATGAAATAAGAAACTTGGCTCAAGATGGTTTAAAAAATTCCTGAGGTTTATAGAATCATTGCAAGATCGCTAGGTGGCACAAATGGTTTGCACTTGATTCAACCAGCAGTACCACAGAAGAAAAATGACTGGCAATCTGCTTCCATTAAGATTATAGTCTAGAAAACCCTATAGAGCAGTTCTACTCTGTACCACATGGGGTCACCATAAGTACAAATGAACTTGACAGCAACTAACAACAATGATAAAATAATTGCAAGATTTTTGTAGAGGCCCCAGTAGTCAAGGGTTCATAGTCTTCAGGCCTCACAGCCTTTTTCTTTTCTTTTTTTCAGTCTTCTGAGAGCACAACCTTAGATGGCCTAATACCATGAAGGATATGTCCTATAAATCTTAACCTAATCCTTTACCAACTGACTTTTTCTAATATAAAATGTCTGGGCTGAAAAATTCAGTAAGAAAAACTATGGAAAAATGTAGGTGAGATGGATAATAAATATTGTGGACAAGATGTCAAAGTTAGACATGGAATCAGTTGACAAAGAAATGGTCTCTCATAAAGACTGATTGGCTGACTAATATCGTGTTTAGTGCTTCCATCTACCTTCTACCTAGTTGTGTACTGCCTGGGGTCTTAAAAGCTTGAAAGTGTCCATCCAAGGTACGACAATTGGTCTCTATTCACCTGGAGCAACAGAGGAAGGAGGAGAATCAAGAATAGGGGGAAGAAATGGAATGTGCGGCTAACTGCTTCCATGAATGACTGCTGCCTTTGACATGAGACCAGAAGAACTGGGTGGTGCCCGGACACCATTACTGAAAGTTTTGATCAAAGATTCTATAGAAGAATCTTGATCAAAAGGGAGAAAATGCAGAACAGAATTTCAAAGTCTCTTGGAATCCAGACTTTCTGGAGTCATGGAAGCTGGATGAATCTCTGAAACTATTGCCCTGAAATAATCTTTAAACCTCAAACCAAAAATATCCCCTAAAGTCTTCTTAAAACCAAATAATAGTTTAGCTTAACTAGTAAAAAATGTCTGCCTTGAGTATTGTGCTCTTTTAAGAACTATCTATGTGGAATCAAATTGGCAACAGCAACTTGAAAGGTAAGATAGAAAACTTAGGGGGTGGTCAATTTTATGTTAATAGGAGAGAATCAGTTTGGAAAAGGAGGGTGAGAATGGTTGCACAACATGAAGAACGTAATCAATGTCACTGAATCATACACATAGAAATTGTTGAATTACTGTATGTTCGGCTGTGTATATTATCAATTACAACAAAAAATAAATTATAAAAAAGACTGATTGCCTAAGATATGGTGTGGACATGACACAATAGAGATTGGAGGCGAGTGTTAGTGAGACAGTGGAACTGATTCAGAGAAGAAAATAAACTTATGGGAACATCTGCATCTCTGTAGACCAGTCAGACCAAAAGTATGCAGAATCAAAGTAAGGTGGACACATTTAGGTCTATAAATTGTTGAGCAAAGATTTGAAAACTTTTTTTTTTTTACCAATTTGTTAAAACATTATTCCCTAGGCAAATAATCTGAGAGCCGCTAAATTTTCCTTTAATGATAGTCTACATAGATAATCACGTCATTTTTGATTCCCAGTTTTTCTGCCTTTTACTTTTCTTCTTGCCTTATTGCACTGGCTAAACTCTCCACTACTACATTCAATACAAGTGATGAGTAGGAATTCTTCTGTGTTCTTGATCTTAGGAGAAAAGCATTCTCTTTCACATTAAGTATGTGACTAACTCTAGGGTTTTCAAAAATGACTACCAGGTTGAAGAAACTTCCTTCTGTTCCTAGTTTGAGAGTTTTCACCATGAATAGATTTTGAATTTTTCCTAAGTTTTTTTTCCATCTATTAAGATGATCATGTGATTTTTCTCCTTTATTCTGTTAATGTGGAATTACACTAATTTGTGTACATGTTGAACCAACCTTGCATAACTGGGACAAGTCCCACTTCATTGTGATGTATTATTGTGGTAAACATGAAAATGTGCCACCCAGAACTCCCTTCAAGTCTCTCTCAGCTGAGGCTGACCCTGAAGGAGCTGATAGATGGACTTCACACTCTGCAGCTGGATAACAAGTCCTGCTTTGTAGGGGGATCCCAATGGGTAGACAACAGAACATAAAATAGGTACAACAAATCTTGGTTGGGGGTGAAATAGGAAGAGGGGAGATGAGCATATTCTTGTTTACGCATGCCTACCAGCCCATTAAATTCAAGATGCTCTAATGTATCATCTTTCTATAGATAAATTGGATGAGTTATTATTATAAAGATGACTTCATCTACCCAAGAAGGTAATAAAAAAACTAAACCCATTGCTGTCGAGTTGATTCTGACTCACAGTGACCTATAGGACGGAGTAGAACTGCCCTATAGGATTTTCAAGGAGCAGCTGGTGGATTTGAATTGCTGACCCTTTGGTTAGCAGCCAAGCTCTTAACCGCTGTGCCACTGGGGCTCCAAGAAGGTAATAGATATCAGTTTTCTATACAAGTAGCTCTGGGAAAATGTTTATATCATTCATAAGCTAAAATTTAATAATGCTTCTAGTTCCCTTGTTAAAGATGATTAGCATTTTTCTAGTGAGAATCGATGCTTAATTATATGAAGGTTAATTGTTTTTAAGTTTGATCATAGCTACTTTTCTTGTTCTTTCATTTGTTTTGTTGTCATCTAACTACTTTCCTCTATTTTTACTCATACAACCTCCAGGGAGTTACTTTGAATATTAAAAACATTTGCACCCATTTCCCCGCACCTAAAAGTATCTTAGAGAAAGTGGCTCTGTTAAGAGACAGATTGTGTCTGAGAAACTATACAGTGCTTAATCCTACAGTTGGGAAGAATCAAAGGAGCAGCTGAGCACAAATGGAAACTGGAATGCTTTCTTGCTTTTCATGAATCAGGAATTTATAGTATTGGCCTCATTATTTGGTTTGAGGAGACGTGAATTCCTAGAACTTCAGATGCTACTTCTAGTAAAACTACAAAAACCTTATTCTAAAACAAATCAAAATTATTTTTAGACTAAATATCTTTAGGTATGATACACATCTCTTTTTCATTATAGAATCATCATGGGTTGATTAAATGTATATATGCATTAAATAAATTCCAATTTTCATGCTTTTACATAAGCAAGTACAGAGTTTATACCATTTAAAATATATTTCAAGGGAAAGGTGCAATCCCATGTTAAAGGAATGTAATAACTACCATTTATCCACCTGGTGACTTGATGTTTACACTTTGGCCAGACCAGTGTTCTAGTTATCTGTATGATGACTAATCCCTTAGATCTAACTGGATCACTTACTTAAGCTGAATGATTTGGGAATATTTATATGACTGTAACTAGAGCGATTAATTACTAATTTCTCTGATTAAATCTGCTTCTTCTTGTTTAACCCATCATATTTCAGATTGCTAGTAAATACAAATCTTTTTAAAAAAATTGTAATGGCCCTTGTGAAATTATAACTTGAAAACCAAGTAATTACTGTTGCAAAGATCAAGCCTCTGTATGGAACGTGTTTTGAGATTAGGGAAAACAGCTATTTTGATTAATTTTGTTCAATAATTCATATTTCATCATGATCTTTGTAAAAATTAAGATTTTATGTGGTAGTTAATTTAGTAGACTGGGTTGAGAAAAGTGAAAAATTCTTCTTTAATGTTTTCACAGACATTTGAAGTTTTATATTGGAATGAGTTACTGTTTTCAATTCCAGTTACACTAAGAACTTCCAAAACTAGTAAAAAAGAAATTGAAGTATAAATTCAGAATTTTAGAGACTAAATAATTACATTTATAGTTTTGATAGGATCAAAAGGAAATAAATTTGTAAACATTACCTATTTTCACTCCATTCCCTTCGGGCATCCCACTGGGTTTGGGTCTAAGTTTTGCAGTTGTCCTATTCGTAACTACAGGAAAGTGGGAAATAAATCATTTAGACATTTTCTCATTAAAACTTTGTGGCCAAGGAAAACAAAACTTCTCAGAGAATGGCAAGTCATTTACTGGGGAATAAAAAAAGAAAAAAAAAATAAGATGGCTTACCAAAAAATATTGTTCAGAATATAGAAGCCACAATTCTGGTATAAAATTCATAGACTTGAATTTGGGAACAGAGACCTGAATTTGTACTCTGAGTTAACACTGGGCTTCAATACTTGACTTGAAAAAATAACTGGCAAGGGAATTTATAATTCTAAGTGGGCAATAACTTGCTTCATTTATAAGCATTAGATACACTCCAAAATGGAACTGAAGAAACATCGTATGCCTAATGAGAAACCAAAACCTGAAGTGTATTTATTTGTTAGGACTTTAATTCATAATTCATAGCTTCGCGGTCTTTTTGCAGGAGTCTCTAAGTACAGATGTTCCCTCACGATAGTTCTGGTACAAGTCCATTACTGAACACAGTACTATGTTGAAACTATTTTAATGGATCTTCTGCTCTCTAGAGAGCCACAGGACTACCTAGACCTTTAAGAAATCATCTAGTTTATCCTCCATTTAGAATACACTTTAAATAAAAGCATTAAGTGTATTTCGATTAAGAGCACAAGTTTTGGAGCCAGAATGCTTGGATTTGAATCTACTTTCTAGCTCCTCCCCGTGCCTTAGCTTCCTCAACTGCACCTCATTGGGCACATGGCAAACACTCAATCAGTGTGAGCCGTTTTGTTATTGTTCTGTTATTTTGGAGAGCTGTTTAATATAATCAGCCATACCTTAAGCTTTTAACAGCTATCATGATACCAAAGCCACATGGCAATGTATTTGTTTATAAAAGATTTCTGTGTCTAATTACCTTTAAGAACTGGAGGATTACTGCAAAATATATGGGCTCTCCATAAAGCAAAGGATATAAAAAATTATTTGTTCTTTCTTCCATGTGTACGGAGAGATGTTCACCAAGAACATTCATTTAGAAGCCAGTTCAATCACTTAGAACTTTAAGAAGACTTCTTAGAATCACAGCGAAAAAGGGCAGAAAACACCATCAGAGTCTTTGGTCCTACTTGTGCTTTAGTGTAGGAGAAATTTACATGAACCAAATCAACCCCTGCAAGTTAATTTTTTCCTAAACAACCTCCAGTGAAGGAGATTCTGTAATCTTTGTAGAATTTTGTAAATTTAAAATATTTCCCAATGTATAATTATTGTTTTATTTTTGCTGTTTACAACCTGTAAAATATATTTTACTTCTATAGGAATCGAGTAAAAATATTCTCTCAGAGCAAGAGTCTTTTTATACTGGAAGAGACTGTCTTTTCTTAGAAGATAAATAACAACTGACAGTAAGTAGTATCATGTCAGTGGTTAAGAGCTTAACTGCTAACCAAAAGGCTGGCAGTTCAAATCTACCAGCTGCTCCTTGGAAACCCTATGGGGCAGTTCTACTCTGTCCTATAGGGTCGCTATGAGTCAGAATTGACTTGACGGCAATGGTTTTTTTTTTTTTTTAAATTATCCTGTCATAGCTAATCCTATGCTATCTATCACTATAATTGTCATAGAAAATTGAAATTGCACACGTCTGAATGACTTACACACAAACACTATTTGTAAAATACTTCTATATACCCAAGGTCTTCTGATAAAGTTCCATAGTGGTTTCTGAATCCAACAATCCTTAGAAATCTCAATCAAGTCTTGTCACTTCTCTGGATTTGTTAGTGCCTCTCTAATCCTCGGAATTTCTGTATGGATTTTAATACAATTAGGATATATAGCCCCCTTTGGTGCATGAGGAGCCTTGAAGGCACGGTAGTTAAAGCCCTCGGCTGCTAACCAAAAGGTTGGCGGTTAGAACCTACCAGCTGCTCTGCGGGAGAAAGATGTGGTAATCTGCTTCTGTAAAGATTTACAGCCATGGAAACCCTATGGGGCAGTTCTGCTCTGTCCTATAGGGTTGCTATGAGTCGGAATTGACTTGACGGTAGTAGGTTTGGTTTTTTGGGCTGTTTCAATACATGTTATATCTTCCCTAGACCTGCTGGTTATTTAGGCCATCTGAGAAAAAGAAACAACTCACCAGGTCTGATCTGTGATCTGTCAGTTGTCCTGGGCCTCGCAGGAGTAGTGTACAATCGGTGTGGTGCTGAAACAGAGGAATACTTCGTATTTAATAACCGAGACCCCAGAACCCACTAAATGGAGGGGTTAGCACTTGGGGACCAACAACACATACACTCTGCATGGAAGTAGAAGTAATGTTCTGAAACCTCCACAGCACTCATGCTAAAGGAAAATAAAACAAGTAAAAATATTCATGACTGGAAATTAAAAATGTACATAGGCAGAGTGAGGTAGGTCATTTGTAATGTGTGTTAAAGATTAGTCAGCATTTACAAAGATTAGACTGGACTATGGGACATAAAATGATACTCGTGAAGAGTGTGCTTCTTAGCTTAAGTAGAAACATGAGATTAAATGAGCAGCTCTCATAAGGAGGCCAGATGAGAAGGCAGAGAGGGTCAGGAGCTCATTGAGTAGACACAGGAAATCAGCAGTGGAAAGGAAGAGTGTGCTGTCACAGTATAGTGAGAGAAAGTAGGGTCACGAAACAATGTATGCATAAATTTTTGTATGAGAGACTAAGTTGAATTGTAAACTTTCACTTAAAGCCCAACAATAAAAAGAAAAAAAAACAAACAAACCATCAGTCAGCATTTAGTCCACATTTTTCAAGAGCATTCATTTTGCCAGGTGGTTGCTTAACACAGTAAGCATATATCTGCCCATCCATCCACCCACCCACCCACTCATCATCCATCCATCCATCTATCCATCCACATCTCTCAATTAGGAGTCACTGTGGAACAGTATTTTGCCAAAGAAACCAAGCAACCTCAAAGGCAAAAAAAGAAATAATTTTAGGTAGGCAAGATTAAAAGAGTAGAAATATGTGGTCTTTATAAAATTATCTCTGCTCATGAACTCTGAAATGAATGAATGTTCACACTTAAACACAGGGCTATAAAGCTAGACTTTGATCAAAAATGGCCTTAGGCGCCCTGACCATCAAGAGAGGAGCAAGAACCCAGACAAGCCCTGAGACTATCACGCCGCCTTGTTACTTTCTGCTCCTGTTATCCAGGGCCTGGCACGGTAACTGGTTAGGACTCTCAACGAAGACTTGCTGAATAAATAAATAAATAAATGAACGGCCATTGTAAACAGGCATATTCTTGAGAAACTCTGCTGAGATATTTTTGCTTCTTACAGTTTTAAAGTGTGCATTCATCCTAGGATTCGTCCATCCCATCCCTGCTCTCCGCTGCTTCCCTCAGCGCATCACTCTGCCTCCTGCCACTAACTGTCTTGGTAATGCTTTAGCTAGGACTGGAAACTTTTTTTCTTGCAGACGATGTAAGTAGGTTACATCGTTTCAATGGTTTGTTCACACATTTGAGTGGTTATTTGTATAACCATAAATCAGCAATGCCTGTGCCTACCAAATTAAAAAAAAGAATACACCTGTGAAATAGGTCATAATGTGGCTCATTTATAAGCTTCCAATGTAAAGATTGTGATGCGCAGAATTTTGCCATACTGCAGGCCAAAAACAGCAGACTTACACTGACATTTTCTATAGGTTCAGATGGGCCTTACAATGTGCAAAAACCAGAGTGGGCAGAGGAACTGACGCTATTAGAAATTAATTCTCGCAGACTTTAAAATGCATGATGATGATGTGCAAATGTTTTCCTTTAGTTTTCTTTGAGGGTGGCAGGAGTCCCTGTCAATGTAATTTGTTCCAGCTTTTCATATAAATTCCTTTCAATGTTAGATTCTAAAACCAAAAACCAAACCCACTCTCCTCAAGTCGTTTCCGACTCATAGCGACCTGGAATTCATTAGATTGCTTTTAGTTAAAAAAACAAAAAACAAGGATCATGGATCTTATTAGGCTCATTCTAGAACACACATGGATTTGAAAACTGTACAAAAAAGAGAATTTGCAAAAAACAAAAATATAACAAATTATTTAAAAAAAAGAGATTTTAAGCAGAGCACAGAAATAATCACCATTCCGTTCAAGATTTCAAAGGCACAGGATCACAGAGTTTTTGTTTTAGGTTTTCCACAGTATTTACTTAAATCTAGAAGCAAGTCTTTTATAAAACAGCTGAAGTATAATTTATGTTTAGGCAGTTAGTTACTCATACAGCTCATCATCACCAAACAACATATGCTCTTGAAAAAACTGCTCTAGGGTTTCAATTTTTTTAAAAGAAGATGAAGGAACTTTGTGATAATTAATATAGGTAAACTTTATCTCCACATAGTTTTTGGTGACCAATAATAAAAATAAATAAAAAAGATGACTTCATACTTAAATATCTACAGAAAAAGCTATTTTTAAAAAGCATTAAAATACTGTATGAAGACAACATCAAAAACGAGCACACAGATGTTACAGGAGGAACTCCGTAAGGGGCCCACCCGTTCTGCCCAGTCAGGAAAGGGGAAGGAGGATACAGCTCTGCGTGGATTAGTGGCCAGGGGGCTGAAAGCAATGATCAAAATGTCCTTCAACACCTCTGGCTAAGTGGATTTCTGCCATGGGTTGAGATTATAAGGTAAGTGAGAGGAGCTTGAACATTTCAGGGTTTCTGTTATAGTGTCCTGCAGGGAAATTGTCTTAGGAGATGCACGAGTAAGGGTGCCACAGAGAAAAGGTGTTGGAGATTCCACTAGCAGACTCACACTGTAATCAGTAATCTAGGCACAAAGTTTCTTCGGAGCACTTGGGCCTCATGGCTGAGGCCTTGGGGACCAAAAAGCCCCATAGGTTGTGGTACATACATACATGGGGTAGAGTGCGAAGAGTGAGAGGATTCAGCATCTCTCTCAAATTGTGGCGGGCTGGCTTGGGCTCCTAATGCCTGACCTCAAAGCAAACAAACAAACAGCGAACTGACCCTCTCTCCTCAGAGCTCAGACACACATTTGTGAAGGTTGGGCCCCAGAGTGGTCCAAGTGACACACAGCATGCCTTTCTCAACATTGACCCTCGGCTTCCAAGCAGGCATATTGGAATGGACCAAGTTGTGGATACTACTTGCATTCCTCAGGATGGATTCTTTCCCAGGATGTCCTTTGTCATCTCATGCAAATGAACCTAAAGGCTTAAAGATCTTTAAGTTTAAAGATTCTGGTAAAACAAACAAACCAACCCGTTGCCGTTGAGTCGATTCTGACTCAAAGTGATCCTACATAACAGAGTAGAACTGCCCCAGGCTTTCCAGGGCCATAATCTTTACAGAGAGGAGCCTTGGTGGTACAATGGTTAAGCACTTGGCTGCTAACTGAAAGGTGGGCAGTTTGAACTCATCAGCCACTCCGCGGGAGAAAGATGTGGCAGTCTGCTTCCGTAAGGATTTACAGCCTTCGAAACCCTATGGGGCAGTTCTACTCTGTGCTATAGGGTCGTTATGAGTCAGAATCTACTCAACGGCAATGGGTTTTGGAATCTTTATGGAAGCAGGCAGCCACATCTTTTAACTACTGCACCACTAGGGCTCCAAGATGCTGGCACAAGCCCAGAAAAGTACGAATCCCAGGGCAGCACAGTTTAGACTCAGCTTCAGCTAAGGATCAGCAGCACACAAAGAAAAAAAAATTAAAATACATCATATAAATATACTGACAATTCATATAATGATACCAGATCCCATAAATAAATCCAATAAACTGTGAAACTTGTATCTAATAAAAACACGTTTTAGAAGGAATTTGATAAAAATTCCATATACACTAGCAACGGTGACCCTATTCCCATTAAAGAAAGGAAAAGTAAAAACAAGAAAGGCTTGTGATCTTTTCCCCTGAATTCTGAAATCCATAAAATACTGAAATCCATAGAATTCTAAAAAGCTGAAATCTTTTTCTCATTTGGCAACCCAACCTGAGTTGAATAAATGTCTTTATTTATCCTACTTATAGTAAACATTTATTTATTTTGCTGCAAAAATATTAATGTGTTTGATTATGAGAATCTAGCTATCTTCCATTAAACCAGATATTAAAGAGATTTGAAAAAAACATAGCAGAAAGAAATATACAAAAATCAGGGTGGTGTACAGATAAGACATGATAGAATATCTGTTGTTAATTGGTGAAGCTGGTAATGGATATGGGGAGTGGTGTCATTATATTCTTCTTCTTACTTCTGTGTATATTTTTAAATGAACAGAATAAAAAGTTACACCAAAAAATCAAATAAAACAAGATTTGGAAAATTTAAAGGCACTTTCTTGTAGTATACAGAGTCTATTATCAACAATGTTTATTTAGAATAAGAATTATATGTAATAAATATGACAAAATACATACTTTAACATTAGATTTCTTTTACTGATAGAATTTCTTCTTATTTTAAACTTCTCCCAACAAATTTTTCCTCCAATTAGAACTGATGATGGGTAAAATAAACTTATTTGTCTTCTAACTCCTTAAATTTAACTTTATTTTATTTTTGCGGGGGGTAGGGGAAATCCTGCCATCTGGTAGAGGTAGAGCTGGGCAAAAGGGATCATTTAGAAAAAAAAGAAAACTACGCAAATACTGGAAAATCCACAACTGGTTAAAGATGCATTCACTCATCAAAGCTAAACACAGTTCAATTGTTAGTTTCTAATGCTTGTAATTGCTGTTACAGAATTTAGGGACAATATGGAATTTAATTTTAGACAGAAAACTCAAATAATATCAGTATATTAATGACTTACAATATATTTCATAATATAACTGAATATGAATGGCCATAGTTTCTACCATAAATTTCCCAGGCAGTAAACACCTTGAGGTCAAAGTGAAATAGTTAAAGTTCTCTTTGTTGTATAATGCAGCAGCAAGAATAGTTCTCCACAGATACTTGGATAGGTACTGTGAATGTTATAACCCAAGTAAGAAAGAAAAATGTAAAAAGGAAAGACTTCCGAGAGCACAAAGATGAAATACGGCTGTATGTCGGTGAGTTCACTTTCCAAAAAGTTGGTAATCCCAAAGTGGAAATGAAGGTAGGAAATCCCAGAGAAATCCTCTCTAGATATTCAAATATTAAGTGATTTAAAAAAAAAACCATTTTCTTAATAGTTTCTCTTCTTAGCCACAATAACCAGTTGTCATGTAGTCAACTTGGACTCATAGTTTTTGACCCCATGTGTGTCAGAGTAAAACTGTGCTCCATAGGATTTTCAGTGACTTATTTTTTGAAAGTAGATCACCAGACCTTTATTCCAGGGCACCTCTGGGTGGGCTCGAACCTCCAACCTTTCGGCCAGTGGCCTAATGCGTTAACCGTTTGCACCACCCAGGGACTCCCAGGCCACAGTATTAATGTATTTTGCCCAGTGGGGATGATAGGACAGAAGAAGGATGGGAGGGAGAGAAAAAAGAGGAAGAAGAGGAGGATGGGAAGGAGAAGATAACAAAAATTCTTGTCTACTAGATATTAAAGGAATGAGGCAGATGAAAGTCAAGCAAGAAAAAAAATAAAAATAAAAAATATGAGCTTCTATTCTTAGTTATCAGTATTAAGCAACCAACAACACATTTAACAGCAGAGTTCTAACTAAAGAACTTTTCCCTACATTCAACTAATATTCATATTAAGTATTCAGATTTGGCTGATATGCTGCACCTATGTAATGGAAAAAAAATCAACTCATTCTCTGTAACGAGAAATTAACATCCTGAAAAAAAAAATTTCTTTCCTGATTAAAAACAAATAAGGAAAAGTTACTATTCAGAGTTAGGGAAGTAATATTACCTTGAGTTGTCTTTGCCAATTCAGTTGTTCGGGGAATCTTAGTTGTGAAGTGTTCTTGGGTGGATTGGTCTGTTTCTGCTGGGGAAAAAGCACAGCAAGATAGCTTGTTTTAAATAATTATCTTTAGAAACATGCCAAAAATCCACACTTTCTTCTTCCCCATGCAATAATAAAAGAATAAATTGCATTAAAATATATTAAACATTATAATGACTCTGATTTATTGTATTTGCTGTCTTCTTGCACTACTAGTTTAATAATTATTACAAGGATCTCATTGTGCTCACGCAGAACCTGTACATAGACAAAGAGGCAGTTGTTCGAACAGAACAAGGGGATACTGCCTTCAGTATGGATTATACCTCAACATGAAGAAAACAAAAACCCTCACAACTGCACCAATAGGCAACATCATGATAAATGGAGAAAAGATTAAAGTTGTCAAGGATTTATTTCATTTTACTTGGATCCACAATCAATGAACATGGAAGCAGCAGTCAACAAATCAAATGACGTATTGCATTGGGCAAAACTGCCTCAAAAGACCTCTTTAAACTGTCAAAAAGCAAAGATGTCACTTTGAGGATTAAGACGTGCCTGACCAAAGCCATGGTATTTTCAACCATTTCTATGCATGTGAAAGCTGGACAATAAGGAAGCTGAAGAAGAATTGAATACCATGATTGAATTATGGTATTGGTGAAGAATATTGAATATACCATGAGCTGCCAGAAGAATGAACAAATCTGTCTTGGAAGAAATACAGCCAGAATGCTCCTTAGAAGTGAGGATAGTGAGACTTCGTCTCACATACTTAGGACATGTTATCAGGAGGGATCAGTCCCTGGAGAAGAACATCATGCTTGGTAAAGTAGAGGGTCAGCGAAAAAGAGGAAGACCCTCAATGAGATGGATTGACACAGTTGCTGCAAAAACGGCTCAAACATAGCAGTGATTGTGAGGATGGTGCAGGAGTGGACAGTGTTTTGTTGTACACAGGTTGCTATTTGTCTGAATCAACTTGACACGTAACAGCAATAATGCAGTTCCTATACGAATTCCTCTTAGTTGTCTTTATGGATTGTCTTCTGTATTTCTCCTCCCTATTCCATAAATTTCACAAATAATTTAGATGAGCTGGAAAAGAAATTGATCTTATGAAAAGAGGTATATTTACACCATATAAGAATACATATTCTTCTATTTTCCTCATATGAAAAACAGAGTCTATGTTTATATCATTGACATAAGGGCATATTTCCCCTGACAAATAAGTAGAGCAACACTTTCATCCCCCATTATTCTGAAATCATTACATCATGCAGACACAACAAATTACACTGTTTACTTTGCACACACTGGATCCAAGGAAATACTTGGTGCAAGTAATATATTGAAATATTTTTCTGCCCTGCTTTATTCTCTTGATTCTGCTCACAAGAGAGATACTTGTGACAGTTGACAGGTGACGGTTCTTGCTTCTATAAATCAAGGGACATTAAAAAATAGAGAGTGGAAGTTAGACAATTATTATATCTAGTTTCTTCAAAAGTCCTTTTGACTTCGCCATCATGGGTGGTGTTGACTTTGCAGGCCTAAGCTAGACTAGATGAGCATTAATTACTCATTAACCAAGGCTCATTTGCACATTCGATTGAAATTTTTTCCTTAGGAGAGCATTTCATTTTAAAATGTGATCAATAACTTGGTTTCAGCAGACACATGCAAAAGATGGCTTTATTTGAAAAGGGAGGAGAGGACGGGCACTGATTTAAGCACAGCCACATGGGATGTAGCGTGGACAGGGCAGAGGGGCCAACAAACACAAGCCCGGAACTCTTGTTTTCCAGTTCATTTTCAACCAAGAGACAGGCAAACTGAGGTTCTCCACACAGTGAACATGTTCCTGCCGAACTCCTTAAAAGCAGGACAAGCTCATCCCAACCCACCTTCCTGACTCATTCATCCTTGTTTCTCCAGGCAACACACCAGCTCATCTGATTAGTCTAGCTGCCATTCCCTGTCCTGGGCCTGAGCCTCTTTCCCATTCTGTGTCTTTAACCTGAACGGCCGTTCGCATCTTTGACTCTTCAACTCTCACTCCAACTCGAAGACTCAATGAAAATGTCACTTCCACTGTGAAGCCTTCCTTGATGCCCCAGGTAGTTTGCTTGCTTGGCATGTTGCTCTTTTCTCTATCATAGTTTATTGTATAACGATGGGGTTAATCCTAGATACTCTGGTAACAGAGTGTGTGAATTCCAGTCTGGGCTCTGACACTAATTGTGTGACCTTGGTCAAATTTTCAAGTGTCTTTATACGTCTGTTTTCTAATTTATAAAATGGGGCAAGCAAAAGAACCTATCTCATAGAAATGTCATGTGGCTTAAATAAAAAATGCACATAGCCTGTTGGCTGGGAGGGCGGAAACATTATTGTCACTAACTCCTGTTGTTATGGTGAGCTGTTCAGGGTAAGAATTCCATCTCTTTAACAAAACTTTTTTTTTTGGAATTCCCATTGCTTAACATTATGCTTAGCACCCAGCAAGAAGGGTTCAATAAGTGATTTGATGACTGATTTTTACCTCAAATGCAATTTCAACTGCAAATACAGTTCAAAAGCAACAGAAAAGCACAGGATTTATGTACTGTCGGGAAATTCTTCCTTTTAGAATACTTAGGATTTTTTCAAACAGCTTTAAAACATTCTTGTTTTATACTGAAAAATAGCACGAGTCTTAGAACAAATACACAGTTAAGGCAAAAGAATCAAGTGATACACATAGTTCTTATAACGGGAAAAAGAGACCCTCTATTGATTGGAAACAACACATGAACAAAATGTACAAATGGCTATTTTAAGGGCAATCCCTAAAAGGTAGCTCCTCACTGAATTGAAATAACAAAACAAAATTTTACCCTGAGTGGTTAGTAGCTCCTCTTGACTGGGACTAGGTGAAATCATAGGTATAAAAGGGATGCCCCGTGTCTCTAAAGGAGCTGCAAAAGAAAAGGACCGAGGTTGTAAATTTTTAGATTAAAAAGCCAGTACCAGGCCAGTTCAGTACTGCACGAGATGCCGTCATGTGAAATAGAAAATGAAACACAAAAACGTAAGTGGGTCATGGAGAGGAACAATGACTGTGGAACAGTAATGGTTCTCAACTGTGTCTTCACCAGACCACGTACTAAATGACATTCTATGGTTGACACACTCCGTGAGCATACCCCGTTAAGATGGAATGCGGGTTACACAGTCCCTTCTCTCTCCACATAAGAGAGCATATCCAATTGCAAAACGAGTGAGGATAATGTTAGTGTAGGGTTAACCTTGAGTCTGCTCAAGTTGATTTTTAAATGTATATCACTGGCAAATTTGAGTATTTTAACCAATATTAATAATGTATTACTTGCAGCACCTTTTGCAATTTGTAACATGCTAACATGCGAGTGTGTTGTAACACTACACCTGAGAACCACTGAACTGGCAGGAAGTGTTAACCAGATGGGCGTGAATAAGGTGGAATCATTTTGAACATGGCGCTAAAATGAGGTAGGTGAGGATGGACTCAGCGATGAACTGTCTAAAGCTGGTCTTCAGAGCAAAGCCGTGATAGCTGTGAACCGTTGCTTGGCTACTTTGAAAAGATTAGTGGGGCAGCTCCAAGTCCAGTGGCAAGTAAAAAAGAGAAAAGAAATGAAACAAGAATGAAATGATGAAATCGTTTGAGAAGAGATGATGTTTCAACATGATCGTTTGAGGAAGACTTACAATCTGGATTGTTGCAAAGGGAACAAAAAATTAGACTTGGTCAATATGGGAAAGCCATTACCTATTGTTGTCTTTGGTGGATCAGTTCTAACGGTAATGGGTTGCAGAACTATGCCAAAAGCAAACCAAAGAAAGGCATTTATGAGAATTCCTACTTGGTGAAGTCAAAATAGTTTCTGTACTTCTAGATGCATTCATTTGAACATTTATACATTCTCTGACTATCATTGTAAATAGGAGAAAATTCTACATATTAAATATCACTCACAGAACTAAGTTTAGCTGAAACTTCAAAATTCTCATTAACTGTGACTTTGAGGATAATTTTTGAGCAGTATCCAAATTGTCAAGCACAGCAACGACTGTGAGATGGCACAGGACAGGGCAGTGTTTCCTTCTGTTGTACACAGGCTTGCTAGGAGTCAGAAATGACGCCACGGCACCTAATAACAACACCTCCAAATTTTGTACCTAAAAGTATATCCACAACTGTAATGACAGCTGACCAGCTACACTCACATTAAAAAAAAAAAAAAAAGTAAAAATGGTTAGCTCAGTTAATAACTATGTCTTATAATTATAGCATAATCTTTCATTTGACAAATATGCTTCTAGGGAAAATAAACAAATTATATACTATTCCCCTTGTATTAATCAAGAAAAAAATATTTTAACCAGATTGTGTAATTAAAGCCCCACCATAATGTATTTATGTAGATAAATACATCATATAGCCATAATTTTCTCCTAACTTATTCTACATCACAACTATTAAAAATATATTTGTCTCAAGAATATGTTTTGAAAAATATACTTCCTAGCTGGAAAAATAAAATAATTCATTTACCAGGTTCACTCTGAGAGACCTCGGGATCTGGTTTACGGGGAAGGAGCACATCTCCTGAAACTGAAAGAAAAAGCCCAGATTATAAAACACTGTATACTCTCAACTTCACACCGGGAGTGAAAATTAACCCACAGATATAAAATTCCAGAAAGCATGAATGAAGCAAAGGTATTTTCATGATGGTTAAAGAGCAAAATCAAGAAGATGACTGTGCTTTTCAAAATGAAAACATGGCATAGAGAAGGTTCTGGTGGTAATGCAACAGAAACAAAGTTGCTCACAGTTCATTTTGAAGCCTCCTTGAGTGGGGAGGGGAAAGGGAAACAGCTAATGTAATTAAATGCAAGAGGATTAGGTCTCTCAAGTCATTTTCAAAATAGAAAGTCAGTTTTGGCCTTAAGTGGTTAGCTGCCATGCTAAAATTCCATTGATAGCAACATATCTTCGAGTGCATCAATGGCCTGTAACTCGAACAAAAGATGTTTGTGAAAAATCTTGAGTATATAAACAAAAATCTTGAATATCTAAGAGAAGGACAGAGTTTCATTTTTAAAAGGCACTAATAGTTATTATGGGGAAGAAATAAAGCAAAAGGAATCACCCACTCATTAGGAAATAACCAAAACCAAACCCGTTGCCATGGAGTCAATTCCGACTCACAGTGACCCTACGGGACAGAGTACAACTGCTCCATAGGGTTTCAAAGGCCGTAAGCTCTAGGGAAGCAGACAGCCTCATCTTTCTCCCGAGGAACAGCTGGTGAATTTGAACCACCGACCTTTTGGTTAGCAGCCCCACTCTTAACTGTTGCGCTGCCCGGGCTCCTTAGTTAGGAGATACCACACATAAAATTTATGAGGGTGTTTGTTACATAGTAAATGCTGGATAAGTGCTAGCTGTCTTCATTTTTATGGTCCTTTGTGATGTGGTTTTCATTATGTTAGGTGTCAGGGCTGCATTAGAACATGAAAACAAAGGACAAATGCCAGCTAATCAATAGACTTAATCATATTTGGTCCCTGATATCCAGTGTGTTTTTAATGACTGTGTCCAGTCCTGTTTTTGCAAAAACAAGCAGGAGATTGGGAACTTGATATCTTATTGCCCACTGAGGGAAATACCTGGGTGATTCACCTATTGCTAGTACCAGGTTTCTATGGCAAAATCTCCTTCAAAGAGGAGGATGAAGTATTTCTGGGACATGTAAAATCCGTTTTCCCACAAGGAGGTATTCCTACCAAACTGAAGATTCCATAAATACCAGAGTATTTTGGGTAATAGTGCAATCTTCCTGCATTTTATATTACACTGGGGGGGGGGCAGGGGCAGATTAGGATTAGGATTTAGGCTAGAACTCTGTCTCAGAGAATGCTGTAGAAAACTTTTCTACCAAAACTTTTTATATTAAAGTCCACTTTACCCTTAGTGTAGAAATAGGCTATATAAAATAGGCATTCTCTTTTTATTGTTTTTGGGGATCATATTTACAGTGTATACCACATTGGTTCTTAGTCTAGGCCGCTAAGTACCAGCTAAATCACATGTGTGGAATTTGATACTTCGAACAGAAACTTGATTCAGTTATAACTTCCATGAGTTAAAATGTAATATCCAGGGGAACTTAAAAATCTAATCTTTTTTAAAAGGAAAAAGACAACTTCAAAAAGATCAGTGGTTGCAAAGTTAAGAGAAAATCCACCAGGAGAATGAACTGTTTCACATCTGCCATGCAGTGTTCTTGTAGATTCAAATGGTAAAATTTTAGGAATTTCAGGTCATAAATCAAATTAAATGTTTATCTAAAGGTTGTAGGAGAAGGCACTTTGATTCAATGCCATAAATTTCATGAGCATATGAAACAGCCTGCAGTTTAAAAATACCCTAATTGGTCACAGTATTAAACTACACAGAGAGGAGCTGGGATTAAGGGAAAGAGAAGCTGGGAAGAGAAGTGATACTAATAAATCCAGCATACTGTAAATACATTACTCTCTGCTAGTTTTAGTTTTCTGAAAAATTTTGAGCTAGGGTAATGGGGATTCCTGCTGGTGCAATTGGCACTTTTCTTTTTAACCATGAAGTGTTAATTTAACAAACTGCCATAGCAGACTTTCTAAAGCAGGTGAAATCAGTGGAAAGGAAAGAAATAGAAATATTCACAGGAAAGGGATATGAATCATTCTCCTACTATGAATCATTGACTTTAGCTCCAAGAAATGCAAGTTTTTTTTTGTTGTTGTTGTTTTCCCTTCTCCCTCTGTGGCGTTCCTCTGTACATTAAATTGAAGACGAGCATGATCCTGGCCCTAGGTCTCCCAGGCTGGGGGAGACTCACCAATGAAAACAGTCATGACTTTATGTGTTTGTGAAGGCAGTTTTGATTTCCTTATGAAAATATTTACCACCACTATATTTTAGACTCAATTATAATTATTAACCAATTTACCATTTATATTAACTAGCCAATCAATTAGATTGTCTTTTTGAATAAATGGTACCTCTCCAATGAAAAGTTCAGTTAATACAAGACAATTATGAATGGACAATGTCTAACATGGGCAAATATAAATAAATGTGCATGAATTGCTTTGCTAGAGTAGATGAGAGGATTAATGTGTTATTATCTGTTAAGGAACCCTGGTGGTGCCGTGGTTAAGGGCTTGGCTGCTAACTGAAAAGTTCGCAGTTCCAACCCACCAGCCACTTTGATGGAGAAAGATATGGTAGTCTGCTTCTGTAAAGATTACAGCCTTGGAAGCCCTGTGAGGAAGTTGTACAAATCAAAACTGACTCGACAGCAATGGGTTTGGTTTTTTTTTGGTATCTGGTAAAGATAACGGAATGTAAAGTTTGCAATAAGGTTCACTCCTGCAATAGGTTACAGAGAGTCTGATTCTTTTAGAAAAGTAATAAATGTGAATTTATGTACGCTTTTCACCTCAAGATTCTCTGTTACTGAGAGAAGGCCAGGCCTCCAGCCCTTTTGGGGGCCATTTCCGAGGTTCTATATGTGCTCAGGGGCCATCCTCTCCCTGTCTCCTCTGAGACCTACTTTCTATTATTCCCATTGTCTTATGTTTTTCTCCATTAGTCTGCATCACTATTTCTCCACTAGTTCCTCCTTCCACCTACAAAACAGCTCAAATGCTCCAATATCCTAAAAAAATCATCATTCTTGTGACAAAAACTTTTGTCTCGGCTTCCTGGTGTCTCCATTATATCATCTTCATCAGCTGGGGTCTGGCCTCCCCCTCACTGGTTCCTGCTGCCAGAAGTCCGCAGTCCCTCATCTGCAGCTCTGAAGTCAGAAAAGCTCTTAAAACTGAAAGTTTTTTTTTTTCATAACAGTAAAACGTGGCTAGAACTGACCTGAGGCGATTTACAGTTTTTATTAATTTTGCTTAGTATGACTACTTAGACTGCAGTCATATTAACATGTTTGTAATCAATGGTATATGTACTGTTTCACCTTTCTAGAATCTGAAAATTGATGAATTTTGAAGCACCTGGCTTGAAGGGTTTCAGATACAGGATTCTGGACCTGTGTTGTCAAGTCCGGCAGTCTCTTTTGACCTCTCTCCATTTCACTGCCGTTGTTGACAACGCTTCCCTTCTTGAGACCCTTCACCCTTGCCTCTGCTGCTTTCGTCTCTCCCGTTCCTCTGCTACCCTTTAGGCAGCAACTCCTTCTGTGAATTTTCTTCTTCTGTCCACCCATTCACCATAACTGTGCCTGCAAGTCTTTGATCTCTGACCTCTTATTTTCTCAGTCTATCCTCTCACTTCGGAGTCCCTGGGTGTTGCAAATGGTTAACAAGCTCGGCTGCTAGCTTGAAGATTAGTGATTTGAGTCCACCCAGAAGCACCTTGGAAGAAGGGCCTGGGGATCTACTTCTGAAAAATCAGCCATTGGAGCACAGTTCTACTCTGACACACATGGCACCACCGTGAGTCGGAATCGACTTGATGGCAACTGGTACTGGTATACTCTTCTGGACGATGTTACCCAGCCACAAGATTGAGGAACTATCTATATGTAGACAGATGACTCCCATATCCACATCCTAAATCCTGAATTCTCTTTAGAACTCCAGAAACACATTTTCAACCACCTGAAAGTTAGAAATTCCCACCTGAAAGTCCCACTGTCCCTTCAGTAAAAACATGTGCAAACCCAAGTCTTTATTTCTCTCTCCATGTTTCCTGGCTTAGTTAATGCCATCACCATCCACCACCCGCCAAAGCTAGAAATGACAGTGTCATCACATCCTCTCCATAACACCATTCAGTCATTCTCTAGGTCCTATTAATTTCATCTCCAAAAGGCATTTCAGGATCATTCCCCCATTTCCCTCCCTACCACTATTAGTTGAAGTTCTCAAAATCGCCCTTTTAGATTATTGCAAAAAAAGTAATTCCTTACCACCAATCTCTTTTTATCGATTTATCTTCCATGTTTTTATCACAACTATCTTTCTAAAAGAGATCCAATTATATCACTCACATGATTAAAAAAAGGAAAACACATGCACAATTTTACTGTCTCATTGCTTGCAGAAAAAATTTCAGAGTCCTTAGCATGATGTAAAAAGCCTCCAACATTTGAGTCCAGTCGACTCTATTGCCCAGTAAGCTCACCCATGTGTCAGCCATTTAATCATTCTGCACTCTTGCTACTTCTTAGCCATGCTGGACACGTTTATACCCATCTCTTTGCTTCATCACAAATCATCAAAAGCTACAAGCCTACTTACCTTTTAAAATCCATCTGAAAGCTCTTTTCCTTGGTAATGCCTTCTACAACTCACACATTTAGAATTTATTACTTCCCTGTTATTATATTTTGTTTGTATCACTATTACACTGTTTTATAGTTATTTATATCTATTCCTGTTTTCTCCACTGTCCTGCATTTGATGGTAGTGATCATATGCAACTCCTCTTTCTATTCCCCAGATCACAGAACCAGGTATGTAGAAGGTAATCAGTAAGTATGTGTTGAATTAAACATGTGTTGGTGTGTTTTTTGAAAGCACATGGAAAACACAGGCCGGTTTAACGAACCGGTATTGCCCTTTGTACTTTAGCATTTTAATGACTCAAATGGGCCTCTCTCAAAAATCTCTAATTCTCTTCCAACAAGTTGTAAACGGTGCTAAAATCTCCTTTATTAAGCCAGTATTATAATGGACACATTCTATACTAAAAACCTAGAGAAATGATTTATTAGTGACATCAGTGGCACATTTGAATTTAATGAGGCTTTGAGGAAAAAAGGGAAGCCCTGGTGGTGCAGTGGTTAAGAGCTCAGGCTACTAAGCAAAAGACTCGCAGTTCAAATCTATCAGCCACTCCTTAGAAACGCTATGGGGCGGTTGTACTCTGTTATATAGGGTCACTATAAGCTGGAATCAACTCAACGGCAATGCGTTTGGTTTTGGTTTGAGGAAGGTGCTGAGCCAGCAAAACAAAAGTTAAGGGAAAAGCACATTGACAATATGCCATGAGACACATTAACAAACTGCTGATAACTCCTAATTTTAAGTGAAGACAACTTGCCTCTTAAATGTGAGAAGATAACTTGTCTCTAGGAAAATCAATGAAAGAACCATTTATTTTTAACAAAGAATATAACTATATAATGCATCCTTCAGGGAAAAAGTAAGAAGCTTTAGGAAAAAAATGACAAAAACTCTAGAAGACGATGATATCGATTATAAAGCACTGTAGATGGTAATGGCAATGGCGTGATCTGAAGGAGGTAACTCTCCACCCTGTTCATTCCAATGATTTTGATAAAAATAAAAACTAGAGGAATCATTCATTACCTATTGTTGTCTTGGCTTGCTCAACTCTAACTGTATTATCTTCCAAGACTGTGTCAGGAAAAAGGAAAAACAAAAATGAACTACGTTCATTAGATGAACATCCATGTTCATGCTTCTCCCTAACGTAAGAACCTGGTGATATTTTAAACTATGTAAGCCAAGCAAATGATTGCTTTAATAAACTCTAATTCAATTCTCATTTAAAAAAAATAGGACACAATTTTTAGGAAATATTTAGAACTAACACTCACTCTTAACTAGCTCACACACACACATAAACACATACACACACACATAAAAAAAAACCCTGTTTAACTGAAAACATGAAACTAGCTTCAAAAATGTTGATGTGTGTGGCAGCAAATAAGAATTTACCAAAGACAGTAGAGATACAGAACATTAGGGAGAGTTAGAGAGCTTGTTGAAATCTAGATTTTCGTCCTGGTTTGCTGCCAATGACTAAATCTATCCAAGTGTCCAAGGGCCAGAAGGGTGACCACAAAGCCAAGACAGCCCATGTTGTGGAAACCAAATCCACATGGCAGGCACAACTCTGCAGAGCCAGGCGCCTTAAGTTAATAGCACCTATTGTTATCAGGGCGTGTCCTTTCTTTTGAGCTCTAAATCATTCCCCCAAGGCAGATCTGGAGAAAAGCAAGCTCTGTTATGGGTCTGGACAAGGTGTGTAGGGTGTGTAGGCTCAGTTTGTCATGATTCTTCATTAAGGGAAAAGATAATTCAACTGAGTGGCAGGAATATTTTTTTCTAAATGCGCAACTGGATGAAACCTGTGTTATGCCTAGGAATCTGTAGAATGGAGGAGCTGTACCATGGATCCTAGAAAGACTTTCTATTTGATACAGGTCTAGAAATTCAAATTTATTTACGGTATCGCTGAGATTTTGTGATAAATATGATGATAAAACATCTTTGTCCTGAATTCAGCACTATATTTTTACAGAAGAATCTATTTCTCTAGGATACCAGTACATATTAAATATACATGTAATTTACCCTCTGTGTTCTAAGCTATAACCTACAGGAGCTGGTAAAGTCTTGGGTTCAGTAGGCTACACACCTGAGCTCACGTACAACCTAGAAACAGTCTGTTTGAACCCTTGTGAGAAAATGAAAACATAGTAGCAGTCACCTGGTGATCATTCTTGTAAGTATCACACTCTAGGAGCAATAAGGGAACCCTGATGACCACAATGGCAGGCCAACATAGGTTTAGAGACAGAATCCTAACTCTGCACATGCAGACTGGAGAGCCAGTAGAGCAAGACCAACAGAGGCCTGGGCGGGGCGGGGAGGGGGGTGTGTGGTGTGTGTGGTGTGGTGTGGTGTTTTTTTTTACAGTTCTAGTACTCAAGCTTACAGGGAGTGAAAAACAAAGTATTGGTGAAATTAAAGCCAATATTAAACGTTAAAGAAGAAGAAAAAAGTTTAATTATTCGACATATTGGTTTGATGGGATTAAGTCACATCAGGACCAACAGTATTAACTTCTGTAATGAAAAGGAAAATTAATAAAATCTATCAAATCTACTATTATCCTTAATGACTCAATTTCAGTAAGATTTTTTTCCTCAACTGAAATTAAGAAGTTGACCTTCTTCAAGTGAGGAGGTCAGTTTTTTTTTCTTACTTTAAGCTTGTAATATTGGTTGTTGTGCTTAGTAGTACAAATTTAAATTCTAAGTTTGGGCAAATGAGCCTCTCTCTACCCTACTACCACCAGAAACAACCTTGCTCTCTATATCACAGCAGCAGTAACACCCTCTGTTTACACATGCTGGAAAACATTATATTTGGCCTTGCTTCCAAAATACCGTTACTTCAGGCTACAGCTCAGGAATCTATTGCTTGGGAATGTTCTATATGCTTCTAGAAGTACCTAGGAATTTATAGTAATTGTACCTTTGAAAGGAAAACATTTACAGATTTTTCCAGATTCTTTAGTTAAAAGTGAGCTTGGTCTGATTTATTAGAAAATTGTTCAGCTAACAGTGGCTTCCTAAGGCCACCTGAGGATCTTATACGGATAGTAATAGTACTAGTTGCTTTCAACTCATGGCGACCCCGTGTATGTCAGAGTAGAACTGTGCTCCACAGGATTTTCAATGGTTGATTTTTTGCGAAGTAGATCGCCAGGCCTTTCTTCCGAGGAAACTCTGGGTGGATTTGAACCACCAACCTTTTGGTTAGCAGCCAAGACCATTAACTGTTTGCACCACCTAAGGACTTCGTAGTCCATGAAAATGTCTGGGTCCTTGAAGTCCCTACTCTGGCCACTTTCACAAATATGAAATCACTCCCCCATAAATGGACATAATGCCCTCTCAGAGTGATGGGCAAGAAATTTGTAGCTAAACAAACCATTTTTTTGTGAAACTAAATTTCTTAAGCCAAGCTATTGCTCCATAAACTTGTAAAACAGAATTTGGCAGAAAAGAGACACACTGCTGGATATAGCAAAATCTCAGAACCCAAGAGAATAGTTACACATCATTTCCTTCATTTGGAAAACACCATTTTATAATTTTTATGGAAAAAAACTATCTTCTTGATTTGGTGAAATGTTTGAGCATAGCCTGGTTAGTTAGCACCAATACGTTATTTTTTGTAAGTCAGAGAATAAGAGAACTTTCATTCTAGAAGAGACATTCATTTGACCCTTGGATAATTTTCAGCCGTTTGATTGTACCAACAGCTTTACATAAGCAATTGGATAACTTTTATGAAATCTCTGAAATAATCATACTGTGTATGATACAACATGATACTTGAACATAAGTGACATATTGACCTCACGTCCATCAACCCTCATGTTTCATAGCAGCAGAGTGTGACAGCAGAATGCATTTGACTTAAGTGTAAAGCAAAGCATTTACCATGTGTAGTGTATGACACTTCTGGGCTTGGTGACATTTTTGGTTTTGAAGTAACACGCTGGGACTCCTTAGGAGCTGAAAGAGAGAACTCAGAACATGAGATGTTTTGTTTCAGTGTCTCCCAGTTATGCTCAACACAGCTAAAACTACACTTTTTCCCCCCAGTAGAGATACTGAGACATGATTAAAGGATTTGTTGTGGGAGTTCAGAATGACACTTGGGTTAAGCGTAAGTTTGATGCTGCTATTATTTCCTTTTCCCAGATCATTAAGTGTAGGTGAAGGTTCTCTTTCTGTAATACTAGGTGAGTGCACCTTAGATACTCTTTGGAAGCAGGCCATGTATAAATGATACATTTAAAATTACACGATCAGCAGGGGAAGCACAGTCAGGGACACTGAAAGAGATAGGAAGATCAGAATATTCTCCAGTGAGGAGAAGCAAAGGGCAGGCTACTCTTCCCAAGAAGTTCCATTCTTCTCCATCCCCATCCCAGCTAATGTGAAACCATTAGGAAAGCTTTGTGGAATAAGTTGTTTCAATAATGTACTTCTTGATAAAGTCTAAAAATATAAATAAATATTTATTAGGTTACAGAGGAAGACATGCTTTTCAAGGGTTAAAAATGAAATTTACTATAATTCAACAGAAAACTAATCCCACTAACCTCAAATTTTTCAAGCCAAAATGTAATTTTTTTTTTTTTTTTTAAATTTACCTGGCTGTGTTTCTGGGATTCTTGGGCGTGGCGATGCTTTTGGCTTCGGAGGAGCACGAGGTGTCTGCTTGGGAGCTAGAAGAAAGGGTATAGGTTCGGCGCTCTTGAGTCTTTCAAGAATCAAAGTACCTAAGCCTCTAGGATATCAGATGTTTGTTGAGTGACCGAAGACCTAAATGCACTGCAATTAAAGTAATTAAAGCTCCCAAAGAGCCGGGCGGTTTCAGAAGATATTTTTCTTACGTAATGGAAACAAAACAAAACAAGAAGGCATATTACATGACATCCAAGACACCCAGCTGGCAAAATCAAACTGTTGGAATTTCAGAAAAATCTACTTAAAATACCTTTTAAATAGGTCTAAGATAAATGTAATAGTAACAACAATTTATCTTTAGTACAAGTCCACAGCATTTCACCAGAATATCCAGGTATAATATTTTCAGTGGAAATAGATACAATTGCTGCTAAGTGAAAAAAGTTTCCATATTATATTCCAAATATACCTAGAAAATGAATACATTTTAATATCAAGTGCTAATAAAAAAACTAATCTTATTAAGTAAAACACAATTTTTTACTGGTTATATTAGGGAAGAGAAATTGAACACCAAGGACACGTTGCTGTAAAGAGTTATTCCTTTGCTAGGCAAATTCCAAGGAAATTCTAGGGCATTCAGTGTAAAAAAGAAATTTTTTCTCCACTAAGAAAATTAAAAGTATATCCTTCTGGAAGAAAGTAATTATCAGACAGCAAGGTTACAGCTTGTGGAAACACCTTATTTGGTTGAACTAGTAAGTGTGATTGGGTTAAGGAGAGATAAGAAGAAACGAAGTCATTATCAAGGCCAAGCAGTTTCAGAGACCTTTAAAAAAGCTTGCTGAAAATAAGAGTCATTAAACACTAGAAGTTTCTGGGAGTCTCCAGAGGGTTTTTCTGATACAAAAATGAAGATAACAAGACATTCAATGGTTTCAGTGGAATCCTCTTGCCTGTAGAGAGATGAGCAATAAGACATGTTAGAGATTACACTGGTTTAGGAGCCTGGAGCCTGGGGATTTAGAACTTTTTCTGCTAATCATTGGGATCTACCACCTCATGTCCTTCATCTAAAGTTACATGATTTTTAAGAGCCCCCTCAATCCTAAAATTCTATGATTCTAGAGTTTCTCTTAGTCTTACAATTTTCTGACTCTCAAGTTCCTTCCTTGCTAAAATTCTGGCTGATACACTATTTGCTTCCTCCAGGGTATAAAACAAGACAGACTGCAGGTAAAGACATGTCATAGGCAACTCTATGAAAAATGATCTAGAATAAGATAAGGATCATTAATAGCAGTATTTACAATTATACATGTCAAGTAATTATTATAGCTCTGAAAAAGAATAACCTGGAAAGTTAGCGATTACTAATTCAGATTCAATTAATGTAGTCAAGGTGAATTTTGGTAGAAATCAAACTGTAAATCTGTCAGCAAAGTTTAATAGGATAGTTCAAGATGACAGTGAGTAAGCTTAATATTCATATATCTTTTGGAAATAGAGCCATATAAAATACTTTAATAGTGATCAAAACAAAAGTTTGGGCTCATTTACGACAAACTGCTATTCCAACAAAACATGCAAGTATTAAGTATTCTTTTCCTTGTAAGAAGAGACATATTTAGTTCTCCATTTGTTGGTTTGTTTTCATTTATTTCAAACTCTATGATCAAGTAAACCTTTATGACTAGCCAAAGTAATTGGTTTGATTTTAGCCTCACTGATTTGTATGCCCTGAAATGGCAAAATACTGCAGGAAGAAAGAGCGGGAAGAAGGGGCCTGGATAATGACAAGGTGGTGGCCAGTTGTATCCTTTTATGTGGAGTGCGCAGTGATATCTGTTTCTGGAGATTTCTTTTAATCTCAGATCAAATTATGCCCATTGCTGTCAAGTCGATTCTGACTCACGGTGACCCTATGTGACGAGTAAAACTGCTCTACAGGGTTTTCTCAGCTGAATCTTTACAGAAGCAGATCACAGGTCTTTCTCCCATGAAGCCCCTGGTAAGTTCGATTAACCATTAGGTTAGCAGGAAATTGCAAACTGCTTGTGCAACCCAGCCTCCTCAAATCAGCTATCTTAAAATACATTTTAAATGACCACAGAGCTTGTAAAACTAGTCAAAATTATAAAGTAATTAAAATTGGGAGATTATGTGTGTGTAAATATTTTTCCACAGAAACATTACTGTTTCCTGAATTGAATACTTGCAAAGCAGCTGAGAGGTGTTTTTCATCTATATCCTAATGAATATTCACAGCACTGCCATGTGACTGACTACAGGAGATGGGTGGAGAGGGAAATAAGAAAGGTTGATCACCCATCAAGGACTGCGAACTGAGTGAAGAAATCAGGGCTTCTGATGTTCATTAGTGATCATGCTGGCTTTCCAGTCCTATAAATCCCTGCAAACACTCACCTCATACATGAAATACAAAATAACGTATAAACGAGGTTTGGTCTGAAGCTTGTCTGGACTAGGTAGGATTATAGTTTTGGAAGGTAGGGGTGATGTTTCTATGGAAGTTGAAGGAAAGTACCTGCCAGGGGCTACTATAGTGCTTGACAAATCTTGAGTACAGATGACAGAGGGGATGGCAACAAGTAGATAGACAGGAAAGAAGGAAGAAGAGGAGGAAGGGAAAGAAGGAAGGAAGCAAAGAAGGAAAGTACATGTCTACAACAAGATAACATCCCTACTTTCTCACAATGCATTTTGTTTTAAAATGCTTATTGATGCCGGATTACAAAATACTTTCAAAGTACAGGGGTTACAAAATACATTCAAAGTAAGGAATATCATCACTTTTTAAGTATTCACTCCACCCTAGTACCCTACCTCTTCAACAATGGTAGAAAGATATATCCAATAGTAACCATAAAGGGAAAAAAAGTGATTGAAAATGTATTATAGCATGAGCCAGTCAAGAAGTATCAAATTTCACTTAAACAATGGAGAAAAAAACAAAAACAAGAAACAGGTAAATTAATGTGACAGAATGTTGCTAGGTCAGAAAGTATAAATGGATCATTACGCGCACACAAAAAAAATTATCTGAAACACTCAACACAACACCAAGCTAGCAGAATGTTCAATGTTCAGAAGAAGATGCTTTAGATTCAACAGAGAAAGAAATCAAGGTCTTGATACAACAATGATGGGAAAAGAGATGTTTTGGACAATGGTAATGAACAGAAGCACCTGGAAAGAAAATGAACTGTTGTGACAAAGAATGATGTTGCAACATAAATTTGCAATGAGAGAACCTGCAGTTCCCAGGTGATGGTGGCAATGAGGACAGAAAGCACGTGAGGTTGGACTGTTGAAGCCATGTCATTACCTAGCGTGGTCTCAGGTGGTTCAGACACATTTGTGATAGATTCCACAACTGTATCAAAACAAAGGAGAATAATTTTAAAAATTGTAAGATGCTAAGTTACAGTCAAGTATTTCTTTCTTGAATATATCAATTGCCTTCTCTCTTAAGGATTTGTATTGCAATTCTATAGTCTGGACAATGAATTTAGACAAAAAAGAGAGAACTAGGAGGAAACAAAAAAAAAAAAACCTGCTCTATGAAACTAATCCTCAAACTAATTTATGTTTTAACTTTCGTTAACTGGCTTTCAAATGTTACTATGTTTCAATATTTAGATACCAGCAGAGAGACAGCAATTTATTCCTGTATTTAGAGAGCCAATTATCATTTTAAATTGAAGAATCCAAGAATTTTGGAAACTGTAGCTCTTAAAATCTACTTAATTGTATCAAGTACCATAGTTTGAACTCTATCATGTTCCACGGACATAACAGATGCTAAATAAAAATGTGTTGAATAAATGAATCAAAGAATGAAAACCTTTACCAGCTTCAGTCTTTGGCTCCTCTGGCCTGAGCGGTGCTTTGGGGGTGGGATAAACATAATGTGTTTCGGCTGGCGCTAGAGAAGAAAAGGGAATGGCTGGTTAGTAGGGCAGCCATAGCATACTATAATGGGAAGCCCGTGTTTGATTTGAAAACAGAGGTTAGCTATCTTAAGCAGATTCATTCTTGAGAATAAGTAACATTCAGGTAGATTATCAAGATGACTACAGTTTAGGAGTGGAGAAATGAAGGCAAGAAATGACCACAGCATACTGTGAGGAAAACCACACACACACACACACACACACACACACACACACACACACGATAACTACAGCAATGTCCACCTGGAGCGAAGCAGACAATTTCACTTCCTTACATATTTTTATATAAGGATTCTAGCGAGAAAAAGATAAAGTCCATAGACAGCATGGGGATAAATCCTAAAAATGGTATGAGAATGAAAAACATGATATGCATGTATGTACATATGCATATTGAAAGAGTGATCAGAATATTAAAAAACTAAAATTTGCATTCAAAGTGAGAGGAAACAAAATAAGGGAATTGTGAGACTTGTGTAGCACTACAGCAGACACTAGCACAATCGACTGTGTGTAATATTTAAGACTATCAGGATCCATTGGACGAGCACAGACAAGATGTGAGGGGCAGGTGTCTGAAGTGCCACAAAGCATGAGGACATCCAAAGATGACTTATGCAATGGGATAGAAAAGCACATATGTCTGACTTTCCACTGGAGAGCATTTTTACCTATAGTCTCCATTGATGACTCAGGGCTAAATGTAATCGATTCCAGGACATCAGAAACTAGTAAAAAACACAAAATGGTACAATTGATCAAGAATGGGTTGTTGTGCACAAGGAATAAATTAATGCACGCTAAGTATGTGAGGACAGGCCTTGCACATAATAACTGCTCAACATTAGCTCTTATGATAACAACAACAATATTAACACTACGGGAAGTCCTAATATTTGAATTGAATTCACAGTATTGTAATTGTAGATTTCCATTAACAGCCATACTTTGTACATTCATCATGAGTAACGACATGCCATTTAGCTAATTAAAAGATGCACTAAAGAGATGAAAAATTATTGCAAACCTGTGCTCGGAAAAAAAAAAAAAAAGGAGCCAAAGTTTTCAAAATAAATGTTAGGGAACAGCAACAACATTGTTAATAATGATATATAAAAATTTGTTCTCAGTTTTGAAGGGCAGTGGTTTCAGGCTCACATCATGTCAGGTGAGGTTTTGTTATCTTTTCTGAAGTGAAATTTTCTCCTTGCCTGATGGTCACAATTGAACTAGCATTCTTTTCAGATGGCAGAACACAAATTTAACTGACTACTAGGGAGAACCACAAATTTATTATTGAAAAATAAGGGTAAAGAAGAAAATCAAGATAACATTATTTTCTAAAATGATACAGAGCAAACTCAATGAAATGAAGGTCAGTATTTTTATACAGTTGAACAGAACAATTAATATTAATAATATGTATTATTAATTTAACACTGATTTGCAATCATGGGAGGGGCATTTTGTAATATTTAGAGAGTTATTAATGTGTATTCCTTTAGCATTTTTTCTATTTGGAAATACAAAACTTAGGCGATCACAGTGAGTCTCCCGAAGCTCGCAATGCACCCAGACCAATAAAACAATCTATTTACCAGGTTGACTTTGTGGCATTTCTAGGCTTGGTGACATCACTGGTTTCAAAATAAGAGTTTGCAGTTCAATGGAAGCTGAAAGAAGAGGATCTAAGTTGTCAAAATAAGTATGAGTTATTTATTTCATAGGTTTTAGATGGAAGTAGCAATGAATTGAAATACATAGACCCTCAAAATTGCAGTTATAAAGAGCCAGGAAGGTTGTGCGTTGTTTAAAGCAGAGGGCAGCAACCCATGGCTCTCCAAATCCAGCCTTCTGTCTCTGTTTGTACAGTCCACGAGCTAAGAATAGTTCTTATATTTTTTAAATGATTGAAGAGTAATATTTTGTGACGTGAAAATTATATAACATTCAAATTTCAGTGTCTATTGATAAAGTTTTATTGGAACACAGACACACTCATGAACTAAAATGATCCAAGGCATATTTATATATCATTTGTATATTGCCTTTAGCTACAACAGCAGAACTGAGTAGTTGAGACAGAGGCTGAATAGCCTGCAAAGTCTAAAATACTATCTAATCCTTTATGGAAAAAGTTTTCTGACTTCTGATTTAAAACATCCTTCTGGAAAAAGCAGGAGCCTATTTGGAAAAATTAGTTTCTCATGGACTACCTTATCTGAATCTAAATTTCAACCCGGGCTTTCTAAGAGCCTCCTGCAGCTGATTTCATGATAACATCATCAACGAAGTACTGTGCATCGTCTAGGAGAGTTTTCATCTAAGTTCCAGTTGACCACTCTCTTGGCTAACCTCACCAGGTGTCATATCTTTTTATCTTTGCTGTTTACATCTTTCCCTCCACTAATCCAAATCCTAAAGTTATTTCAAAGTCCAACTACTCTCTCTCGGCCCACATTGATCCTGGACTCTTTTAAATATTTTCTACATATATTTTTACCACTCAATTAAATATGCTGCTCTATTACTTTATATCTAGAATTAACTGCTTCCTTGGGAACAGGTTTCCTTCACAATTACATCATACTCTGATTAAGAGATGAAATATGCCCTTACCTTTGATCTCCACCTCTGCTTCCCACCGTATCTCACTCATTGAAATTTGAATTTTATATAAATTTCACATGGTCCCAGAGACACACAGGGCAAGGAAATGTTTGTTTACCTAAGCCAAAGAAACAGCCCCGTTTTGAAATAGATAAATGGAATGAAATAAGAAAATTGAATAAGATGCATTCTTGTTCAGAGAAAATCCTTATGCAGGCCACAGGATGAATTTTGCTATTACAGAGATCTTCCCCAACCATGAACCTTCTGGTCAACCTTGTGATTGTAGCACTACTGATCACTACTTGAACCTTCTTCTTAGGGAGCATAGAGGTGGGTAGTGCTGGTAAGCATTATCACTCCTGGGACTCAACTGCAACAGACACAGGAAAACCACAGATTTTCCTGGTTTCATCTCAGCAGCTCAGAAAGGGGAGTACTTTAAGGTTTGGGAGGTGAATGGTATTTTTTTTTGCAATGTTTTTAAAACTAAAGGAAGAAAATGTTAGGTTGCTATAGTCTTTGTAGGTTTAGAAACCATTGATAGCATTGTATATGGACATATGTTTTCTAAAACATGTTAGATTTTTTTTAAAGTTTATTCTTTAAATTAGAAAATTTTCACTTTACTAATCTAATTTGTTCCCTATCATTACTAAGGGTCCTTCAGAGACCAAAATAACATAAAAAATTAATTTTTTAATTAAAGAAATAACTATTAATATGCATAATTAGATACACAGAGGGATCCCTACTTAGTAAAGATTAAGAATCATTGCTGAACTGTAGTGAAGAAGAAGGAGTAGTCAAGCTCATTGTTGGTATCGGAACCTGTAATTTATATATACTAGGATTGGGCACTTTCAGGGAGCAATCTTTAAAAATAATTTAATATAACAGGGGCATCTCATTCCTTAAAATAGGAAAAGAGTAATGAGAATATCACACAGATCTTACAGAAAGTAAATTGTTGAGAGAAAGTTCATGGTACTTAATTGTTGTAGCTTTATAATTCTAGATACCAAATAGAAGGGAAGTCATTTGGACCTCAGATTTCACTCTGAATCATACAGTGCAATTTTAAAGAGGGTTTTACGGCAGATAGATGTCTTGAATTGGATCCAAAGACATCTATTACAAACAGTAAGTAACCATTTAAATTACAAATCCTGACTACTTTTAAGGCAAAGCATGAAATTGGAATGACAACAGTAGTCTTAGTAAGCAGGAGTGGATCTGGCCACGACAGTAACATGACAGCAAGAGAAAGTATTTAATAAAGGTCACAAAAAGTCATTACCTAATGTTGTCTCTGGAGCCTCAGAAATATGAAAAACAGGTTCAAAGCCTGTAGCAGCAACTAATCAAAAGCAACATGAACACGAGAAAGTTTAAATCCACAAGAAAAGCCTTTCTTTTCCCTTCAAAACATTAGTTTCAAATGACAATTTTAAAAAACTTTTCAATCAGTAGGAAACAAATATTTGTTCTTTGAAGCTTTGGTCAAACTGTAGCCAGGTACAATTCTTTGGAAAAGAGAATCTCAACCTTTGAACTCTGCTACACATCCTAGGTAAACATGAAGTTTCTGTAGGTGTTTGATTTTTGGATTCTAGTATGGAAGAGTTTGCCTTGGAAAATCTGTTTAGGCAATATATATGAAATTAGGTTGCTTCATTTCTTGTAAGCTGAAGAAAAAGACCTATGTTTACGTCATCATGGCTATAATAGATTAGGTATCTGAATGCAGATATAGCAATACATAACCATGGGTGACTATGCCAATCTTGCTGTAAACACACCTTAAAAAAGAGGCCAAAAACATTATCCAAACCATGTCACTGAGAGAGCAGGCATAAAGTCTCCCACAGCTACGTTCTCCTGGACAGCTCTCCAGAGGAAGCAGCTGCTAACCACACTTCATGCCTTGACTGTCTTAGGAAACATGATGGCTGTTATTTCCTATCGTTGGCATTGCTTTGGGACCCCACTGGCCCAGGCTGCTAGGTTTCACCCCTCAAACCAAGGAATCACACATTTACCCAGTTTGGTCTGAGGTGCTTCAGGGCTTGATGTGGTTTTAGATGTGGGATGCGGACGACGTGTTCCTTCTGATGTTTTAGAAGCTGAAGGAAGAAACTTTGGATTACTTTAGTGCAAGTGGCTTTGGAAACAAAGTTCTAAAGATTTCTAAGCTATGTTAGATTTTCCTAAGCTTTAAGGCATATATATTTTAAGATGGAAATATCTGCTCCTATTTTGTTGATCTTTTAATCTTTGAAGGTTCTTGAGGGAAAAACTCACCTATAAAATTAAGTCAAGGAGCAAAGAGTCTTGTAAATCTTTGACTTCAAAAACAGGTTAGGACTATTGCCAAACTCTGAGTGGTGGGGCCTTAGGTTCACACTGAGAAATTTAAATATGCAAAAGAACCCATGATATCATAAGAATTGTTATGGTTTAGTCAGTCTAGATAAAGTATGTTTTTGTTGTTGTTAGGTGCCTTCGAGTCAATTTTCGACTCATAGTGACCTCATGTGACAGAGTAGAACTGCCCCATCGAGTTTTCTAGGCTAATCTTTATAGGAGCAGATCACCAGTTTCTTCTCCCACAGAGCTGCTGGGTGGGTTTGAACCACCAACCTTTCGGTTAGCAGCCAAGTACTTAACCATTGTGCCACCACGGCTCCTTAGATAAAGTATAGACATGGCCAGCTGTGTTTGAAACTCAGTTTTAAATGTTAGCACTGTTAGACAAAAGTGCATGACACAAATTAAACAAGATTACCTGGTTGATACTTTGAACGGATATCAGAGCACCCTTTTAAAAATAACAGGCAATTTCTATTGAGAGTTTTCAATAATCTTGAGAAGAAAAATAAAGTTGAATGGCAGCAGAGGATGACAAGAAAGTCTTATGAAGCTGATGAAAATGTGATTATGATGATGATGGAATGGCTTTGACAATGAGTGGGAAAAAACTGTTGAGGAACACAGAATATCATTACCTAATGTTGTTTCTGGAGCCTCAGTTCTAAGAGTGACAGGTTCAAGGACTGTAGTAAGAACTAGCCAAAAGAAACAAAATAAACCAAAGATATTTTAAAAATTCACTTGAAGATTAATTTCACAAGTCAATTTTAAAACTTCAGAACGGAGGGAAAACAGACACTTTTTTTTGCAGATTTGGCCTAGCTGTGGCCAGGTAACTATTCATTTCATAAAGTAGATATAACACTTACACTCTGTTAAATATCATTATGTGGTCAACAAGAAGCTCTTCTAGATGTTTGATTATCTGACTCTTGCTAGCATGGAAGACTCTGTGCTGGACAAGCTTTTTACACATTTACACCAAATATACTTTTCTAACTCTATTGGAAAAAGCATTTGTTAGGCTACTTGTCAAGTTGAGATAAATGTCTACTGTTTTGTTTGCTATTTAAATAAAGAGTACAATAAAGAGTTCCTACATTTAAGGAGCAATGAATAGCCCATTGACTGTGTTCTTTAGAATCTCAAAGTGGTCCTTTGCTCAATAAAAGAAATACTGTTAAACTGTGTTAGACAAGGAGAAGGAGTCAGCTTATCTTATCACGATGGCCTATCATTTAAACTTTCAACACTTGGGCACATTTGTAAATTTGACAATCTACTGAAATAGAGACACATCATTTATTGAAACAACAGATCCATCAATATATCACATAGATCCTAATCTAATAAAAAGTAATATGAATGAAGAAACATGGTGTTTCTACAATTGATGAGGAATATGCAATATAAAGGACAGACAAAGACTCATGTTTGAAATGCAGCTTAAAATAATCAATACTGTTTAAACAGCGCACATGATCATGTGACACTTTGTTGAAGAGTTGCATAGCAGTTTGGTATCTTAAAATTAGTTCATGCATATCCATTGCCATCAAGTCGATTCCAACTCACAGTGACCTTAGAGAACAGCGTAGAACTGCTCCATAGGGTTTCCAAGGCTGTCATTTTAAGAGTGAGGATGGTAAGACTTTGTCTTACATACTTTGGCTACATCGTCAGAAGGGACCAGTTTCTGGAGAAGCATATCATGTTTGGTAAAGTAGAGGGTCAGCAAAAAAAGAGGAAGATCCTCAACGAGATGGATTGACACAGTGGCTGCAACAATGGGCTCAAACATAGCAATGATTGCGAGGATGGCATAGGACCAGGCAGTGTTTCATTCTGTTGTACGTGGGGTCGCTATGAGTTAGAACCGACTTGACGGCACCGAATGACTACAACCTTTACGGAAGCAGACTGCCACATCTTTCTCCTGTGGAATGGCTGGTGGGTTCAAACTGCAGATCTTTCAGTTGGCTGTTGAGCACTTAACCACTGTGCCACCAGTGCTCCTTAGTTCATGCATAGTATTCTTAAATTCAGCAGATAACTTGACATAGAGCCTAGCATAATCTCAAGATTAAAGACTGTAATAGAACGACAACAGAGGACAAGTGGTCTTAAGATGTAGGAGAAACTGTTACTACAGTGGTGATGGAGTAAGGATGACAATGAACAGGAAGAGCACTATTTGAAGGACACACATTCTCATTACCCATGGTTTCTGGAGCTTCAGTTCCAAGAGCAACAGGTTCAAGATCAGTAGCAGGAACTAATCAAAAGCAATGAGATTAACAAAGAGGATTTTAGATACTTGTAAAAAGTCAGCAAATTAAATCTTACCAGTATAATATTGCTTCAATAAGTATAAGGCAATTAATTTTTTTTTCTGAAAATAAATAATTGTTATTTGAAGATTTGGTCACAGTGTAGCCAGGTAAACATTCTTTTATGAGATAGTCAGTTATAGCCTACATAATCTGATAAGTATCTCAGTGAAGTCAACTTGAGATGTTTGTGTTTGGATGTTCTAACTACTGTAGAAGACCTCCCTTGGAAAACTGTTTATTTTACCAAATATGTTCTTATCTAACTGTTCTAGCAACATTTGGCTTTTCTTTGGAAGCATTAAGGAAAAAAGTATGCCTAAATAAGAATGGCTATAATAAATAGCTTTTATGTCTGAATGGAGACATAGCAAAGAATAAGCAAAATGAACCATACTCATCTTGCTGAGAACTCATATTTGGAAATAGGCTGAGACCTCAGTTGAAGCAAAGGCACTCAAAAAGACAAAATAAGTGGTATCAGTGTGTGGTACCCGGTAGAGTAGATCTCTGGTCTAATTACAAAAAGGCAGCACCCTACATGGATAGGAGAGACCAATGCTAACGCTTCTTGGGTCAGATACAAACTTCTGAGTCATACATTCAAAGATTTCCCTCAACTGCTTCTTATGGACCCTTCCAAGTGTAATACCATCAACACCACTTAGAAACAGGACCTCTTTTGTTCTGGGAAGCCTGTGCCCTCTGGTTGCCTCTACGTACGTCCTTTCTTTCTGATTTGGCTTATCCCCACCCTTCTTCTTAAGCAAATCCTGTAGTGATTTTAATATCCATCTTATTTCCAACTCTTTTTCTTGTCCTTCACAAACTTCTCTTTAAGCACATAGATGTTTGTTGCACCTCAAAAACAAGCTTGCATTTCCACAAACACACTGCCTTAGTTCATTCACTAGCTGTTTCACACTGGGGCAGATTTTGACCTTGACTGCACTGCAGATTAAGAAGTAAAAACAAGCTTCCTGCTTCTGCGATATCCTCACAGGTGTTGATGTGGCTCAGGGGAGATGGAAAGGACTTAACAGACATTTGTTTCTTGAAATGAAAATGCTTGGTTCTATTTAAGACATCCCATCTTTAAGAGAAGAATGGAATGAAATGAGAAAGTAAATAAAATGCATAAAGAGAAGAGCCTTATGCAGAAAGCACAAGGAATTCAGCTGCCACTCGTCTTCATCAACCATATTCTCCTTTGCTAACTCAACAGTGGAAGAAGCAGCAGATCATGCCTGTGCCTTCACCCATGTAGGGCTCATATAGGCTGTCACTCCTACCACTAGCATTGATCCCGGACCTTCAAGATCTGCCAGGACTCTCTCCTTTAAGAAGGAACCCACATTTATCCGATTGAGTTAGAGGTGCTTCAGGAGTTGTTTTCTTTTTAGGTTTGAGACGTTGACGACGGGTCCATTGTGGTGTTTTAGGAGCTGAAGAAAGAAAACCTTCAGTTACTCTAGAGTCCGTAGTTCAGAAGCTGTGGATAACACAACATGTGGCTCTATAGTTCCTAAAACTTATTAGATTTTCTTGTGTTTGAGGAAATTTGTCCTTTTAACTTTTTAATTTGAAACTTTCACCCTTACTATAAAAATATGTCTTCCTTTACAATTGAAAGTTCATTGGGAGAAAGAGTAATATATAAAATTAAATTGTTAATTTAAGTTTACAATAGCTCGTGGGATTCTTTTACTGAATAAAAAGGTTAAGAATCACTGCTAGAAGAGACAGGGAAACTGGACAAATAAACACAGAGAACCTGGGGTGAAAAGAGAAAGGGAAAGGGGGAGAGTGCTGACATAATGTGGGGATTGCAAACAATGTCACAAAACAATCTGTGTATAAATTTTTGAATGAAAAACTAATTTGTGCTGTAAACTTTCACCTCAAATACAATTAAAAAAAAAAAAAAAAGAATCACCACTAAAATATCATGGGTGTCATGGTGGTCAGACACAAACTCTTCGACAGTTTACTAAAATAACACCACATAACTAAAAATGTTAACCAAAGAAGAAATATCACATAAATAACAGTAACAATAACAAAAAAGTAGAACTTTAGATCCACCAAGAAACTCCCTGATATCACATAGTTGTTACAGTTGAGAGACGGTTTTTAAACTCAGTTTTAGCAAAACATTGGTTAAAGAAAACACAGAATAACAAAACAATCTCAGATGGTTGCAAGACCAACAGATAACCTGAATCAAGAGGTAACTTGTTTTAAGAATCCAGTCTTCAATACTGTTAGAATAAAGAATATAATGGAATGACAACAGAAGATGATGTTGCTGCCTTATTCAGCTGAAGAAACTATGGCTAGAATGGTGATAGAATGAGTTTGACAATGAGCAGGAAAAGCGCTTGCTGCATTAATAACAATGTATTACCTTGTGTTGTCACCTGAGCCTCAGTTCTGAGTGTAACAGGTTCAAGGTCTTCAGTAGGAACTGACCAAAAGTATTAAATGATCATTTTAAATGAAAGCCAAAACACTTGCTTCAAAACATTCCAAGTGAATCTTACTACTATTTAGAACTGCAGAGCAATTAAAAAACAACAACAACAAAAAAAACTGTTGAGCTGAGAAGTACACAGCTGATCTCCAAATGTGGCCATCCTAAGGTCAAGCACCTATTTACTTCATAAGCCAATCAATCATTCATAGCTTTTGCCCTCTGCTACACGGGCCTACAAAGTCAATCAGAAGTTTTTTCCTCACCCTTTGATTATATGATTCTAAGTAAGATGTCAAAGCGGGCTATGTAGGTCTTCTGAGAACTCCTGTTTGGAAACAGACCAAATTCTCAGTGTGATGAATCAAGTAGGGCATCCTTCTGTTCTAAGCAAAGAAAGAGCATGCCTCTGTGTGGAAAGAAGAGCCTGCTGATGTCTACTGGAGCAAATCCCAACTGTTCCATCAGGTACCTAAGGATTTCCGTTGTGTGAGTCCATGGACCACCCATGTACAGAAAGGTTTTGACCACCACTTTGAAGGCATCCTCTATACCAGTATTACAGTCAGATTCTCTGCTCTGGTTAGTCTCTATGTATGTCCCTTCTTTCTGATTTTCTTCATCCCCACTCTTCTACTCATCCTTATACTAAGGTGATTTCAAGTCCCCATTCCTTCCTAATCTGTCTTTTCTGTTCCGAATATTTTTGTACCTAGCATATCTTGTTGGTAGCACACAAGAATTAATCTTATATTTGCATAGATGCTGCCTAATGCCATATTATACCTTATTTCTAAAGAAAAGGCTTTTGTTCTCAACTGTCTTGCAAATTTGAGGACTAAAACCTGTCTCCCCATCTGATGTATCACCCCCAAAAGTGCTAATATGTTTGGGGGATACTAAAGCCAGTTAATAAATGTTTGTTCACTTGAACTGAATATGCCCAACTTTTCTAAATAAAGTTTTATTTCAAAAGATGAGTGAAAATTAATAAAATGCAGTGACAGAGCATATTTCACACAGGAAACATGAGGCAATCAGTTGCCTCACAGATCTCTCCCAAACGTGCTCCTCTTGCCGTCACTATGGTGGAAACCACTATTGACCATGCCTTGTATCTTCACTCTCATAAGGGCATATTGATGGTTACTCTCAACCACTGGGATTACTCTCATGACCCAGCTGGGTTAGGCTGTTGGGGTTCATTAAACTAGGAACACGTTTACCTGATTTTAACTCAGGTGCTTCAGGACTTGGTATGGTTGTAAGTCTGGGACGATGGGTCCATTCTGATGTTTTGGAAGCTGAAGGAAGAAATTCTTGGGTTACTACATAACTGCATTATCTATGGTTCTGGAATCTGTGGATAGGAGAAAATATAACTCTAGATTTTCAACAACTTGTTAGATATTTGCCTTTTTAGTTTGAGATTTTTGCCACATATCCTTGTATCACTGAAGATTCTTTGAAAGCAAATATCACTTGTTAATTCAAATAATAAAAACTAGTATTTCTAATTAGAGTTTCATAGGGCAACTTGACTGGGCACCAAGAACATTAAGAACTGTTGCTAAATTTTATAGAAACAAAGGACAGTCAAGTTTATACTAAATCTGGGATTTACAACTTAATCTTCAATCTTGGACACAGTTTCTATATCATTATTAAAATAAGAACACATTATTTGGTAAATGGAAACAAAACAACAAAATATCATGCAAACAGAAAAAAGTAGAAATGTAGGTGTGCCATGGAACCTCATGGCCCTAGGAGAGTTGTTAATGGCTTTATCTGTCTAGGTGAGAGATAGACACTGGTGACATGTTTGAAACACAGCTTTACCACAACACTGCTTTATCACAACACTGCTTTATCAAAACACAGAGTGACATGGCACAATTTTAAATGGGTTACATGGCAAATAACTGTCCTAAATTAAGTTCATGCATGGCTGGCTCTCTTAAAAACAACAGGTACTTTGTTTTAAGAGTCTTCATAATTTTAGAAAGAATGCGATTAAATGGCAACAAAGAATGACACTGTAGTCACGTGAAGCAAGATGAAACTCCAGGTTTGACAATAAGCAAGAGAAAGCTGGCAAAAAACACAATGTATCATTACCTAATGTTGTTCCTGAAGCCTCGGGTCTAAGAGTAACAGGTTTAAGGTCTGTAGAAGGAACTGGCCAAAAATAATACAATCAACCAAAGAGAGTTTAAAGTGTTCGAGAAGTTAGACCATTCACTTCCAAACAAACCTTACCAGTAATATCAATTCTTTTAGAGAGAAAAATATTTAATTTCTTAACTGAAGGGAAGAGTAGATGCCTTTTTTTTTTCAAGATTTGACCAAACTATAGTCATGGGATATTCAGTCTTAGTTTTAGTGTTTGAACTGTCGTGAGCATCTCAAAAAATACAACATGAAATTCTCCTATGTATTTAACAATGGATTCTAACTGACATGAAAAACTGCTCTGAAAAAACAGCTTTATGCATTTACCTAATATATGCTTAGAAAAGAAATTATCTTTAAAATTAAAATTCTTCTGTGGAAGTTGAATATAAGCACTTACTATATTTAAGTAAACATGGATGCAATAGATATTTCATAAGTTTGAAACAGATATAAAAATTAATCATTAAGTGGACTGTTTATCTTGCCAAGAACTCATCTTGGCAAGATCAACAGAGTCTGAGACCTCTGTCCAAACCAAGGTACATAAGAGCACAAGATCTCAATGGTCACTCAGTCTGTAGTACCCAAGAGAGCACTGGTCTTGCCTAAGCCCAGAAAAAGTAGAAATCAGGGATTTTTGATGCCTCTGTAACAAATCCAAGTTCCTAAATCAGGTCCTGAAAAATCCTTCTCTAACTGATCCAATGGACACTTGTAAATGCAATATCATCAATAACTATGCTTTGAGCATCTAGGAGGAGGCCATTCTCTGTTCCAGGCTGACTGCCTTTGTGGGTAAACTTCACTTATATCCAATCCCTCGTTTTTGTTCATTCATACTTCCACTCATTCAAATCCTGTAGTGTCCAAGACTGACTCCTTCCCAAGTATATGCCAGCCTGGCTTGATCATTTCCTTTGCTAGGTTATTACTTTATGTTTGTAGCATGCAAGAAATAAGACTGTGCTTGCACAAACATACTGTCTTATGTTTATTCTCTGCTGTTTCATGCAGGAACATCTTTTGTCCTCAACTCTACTATTTTAGAAATAAAATAAGTCTCCTACAGCTGACACTTCACTCATGGTTGCCAGTATTGTGTAGGTGTGTGGAAGGGACTTACAATTCGTTTGCTTACTTAAAATGAATGTGTCAGCCCTACTAAAGAAGTTTCACCTTTAAGACAAGACATATGCTAAGGTCATAGTTTCAAAGAAGACTCTTTCCTACACAGAGAGAATAAGGAATTCTGGTACCAATCAAGGCAGAGGAGATACTGCTGATGATACCTCATGTCTTCATGTGTAGGGAGAATGAGGGCTGCCCACTATCAGCATTGTTTTGGGACCCCATTGGGATGGGCTGCTAGGGATCATCCCCAGACCAAGGAATTGCACATTTACCCAGTTTGATCTGAGGTGCTTGAGGTCTTGGTCTGGGTTTAGGTCACGATGGGGTCGTTTTGACATTGTGGTTGCTGAAGAAAGAAAAGCCTTGTTACTCTAGGTCAGATGGCTCTGGAAATTGAGAAGTTCTCCAAAACTTGTTAGGTTTTTAAAGTTTCCGGAAGTTATCTTTATACTGTGAATTTTTAATTCCTTTTATGCTAATGGCTCTTGTTTATATAGCTGAGGGTACTTTGGAGGCAAACTCATGTATATAATTGAGTTTCTCATTCAAGGTGTGAAGATTAGCACTTGTAATGAAATACTTAAGAGAACTTCCTGACTGGGGAAAAACGGTTGGGAAGGAGTATTCCATGTTGGTGCAAGGGTAGGGTCACACCAAGGAAGAGGCTTATAACTTAAAATCTCAGTTTTGAGTAATTCCTATTTGTCAAGTTAGTAATAAAGCACATTGCTACTTAAAATACCAATGAAGAAACAAAAATACTATCCGTATAGTTTCTAAAAAGTGTAGAAATTTGGATGTGCAAAGTAGCTCTAGAGTAGTTAATACTGCTGATGAGCCTAGATAAGGGATAACTCCAAATGGTTTGAACTCAGCTTTAGCAGAGAACACAGTTGAATGAAGCACGAGAGAACATGTCAATGTCAAATGTACCACATGGCAGATAAATGTTGAACTAAGCTCGTGCTGGCTCTCGTAAAAGCATCAGGAAACTTGTTTTTAAGAGGTTTTAGTATTCTTAAGATGAAGCAAGTGATTGATGAATAGCAACAGGGATGACGAGGGTCATGAAGGTGAAACCATGGCTATGGTGATGGAGACTGGACTGCACAATCAGCAGCAAAAGCAACCTGGCGGATGGTGTAGGTCATTACCTAATGTTGTCCCAGATGTCTCCATTCTAAAAGTAACAGGTTCAAGGTCTGTAGCAGGAACTGAAGTAATAAAATAAACAAAAGAATTTCTTTAATCTATGAAGAGATACAACAGTCACGACAAAGTGAACTTGCTGGCAGAATATTGCCTTTAGAACAAATTTTTTAAACTTCTGAATGAAGAGAAATCACTCAATGGTTTTTCCAGTCTTGGCCAAATTATAACCAGGTACTTCTTCATCTCATGAAATAGTTATTACCTTTGATCTCTGTTTAGCATCATAAGAGGCAAACAGTGCCTTTAGCTGGTGCTTGATTATCTGAGTCTGATATGGAAGATTTCAACTGGAACATCTTCAGGCATTTACTTAAATATGTTTCTAACTAGTCTCAAAAAGCATGTGAAGAACTAACTTGTACTTCTGTGGATGCCAAATAAAAAAAAAATCTACTATGCTTATGAAATTATGGTCGCAAAAACAGTTCCTAGCTACCCAGACAGACGTTACACAAATAACACAACACAGAATAACACAGTTCAGTGTGAGGCACTTCAGGGCTTGGTGTGGTTTTGGTTTTACGTTTGTGAGGCGGACGGCGAGTTCGTTGAGGCATTTTGGGAGCTGAAGGAAGAAAACCTCAGGTTAATATGATGTTTTTGGTTCCAGAAGCTGTAGATAGGATCATGCTTGTTATAACGCCTTGAGTTTCAGGAAATTATTCTTTTGAGTTTGAAACATTCGCCTCTATTTTGCTAATGTGTCTCTTCATATCATTTATATTTCTCTGAGGGACAAAAATCCCACAGAAACCTAAGTTGATATATCAAGGAGATTCTAAGGAGATTATTACAGGGGCTCCTGAATGAAAAAAATGTTCCAAACTCTTGATAACTCATGATGGTGGGGGTTAGGGGTAAGGTGAGTTTCATACTAATGACGGTGCTTAAAATAATTTAAATTTACTAGCCTTGTGCATATTTTCTATTTTACTCTTCACTGAAACAAGACCACATCATTACCCATAATGGCAAACAAAAACAAAATCATGCAGATAGTAAAGTGCAGGCATTTAGATCTGCAGAAGAACTTGGTGACACCCTATAGTGATTAAAATTTACTCTATCTAGATAAGGAACAGGCAGTGCCCCTCTCCCCATGATTGCATTTGAAACTCAGTAACAAAGAATGCTAATTAAAAGGTATATGGGGGTGACATGCCACAAATTCAAATACTTTACATTGCAGACATGCACAGTGAACTAAGTTCATGCTTGGCTCTCTTAAAAACAAGAAGTGATTTTAACATTCTTCAATATTTTAAGGAATAATTGAATGACAATGGAAGATGACACAAAGCCTGTGGAGCATGACAAGCTGTGGCTCTGATGGTGATGAAATGGGTTTGGACTGAACAGGAAAGGCAGATACAAGCATACTGTGTCATTACCTAGTGTCGTCCCTGAAGCCTCAGTTCTAACAATAACTGGTTCAAGGATTGTGGCAGGGACTGATCAAAAGTAATAAAAGAAATCAAAGAGATTTTGTGAATGCATGAAATATCAGAAAACTCATTTTACCAATAAATACTGCTTTTAAGGCTGCAAAGCTAATTTTTATTATTCTTAAGTCAAGAGAAAGTGGATGTATTTTTTTTCCTTTGATTTTATTTCCCCAAACTTTTACCAAGTACTCATTTGATTCAGAAGACAGGCTTTGGACTCTGCTGAGTATCTCGATGAGGTCAACAGTAAAATCTCCCAGTTGGTTGATTACCTGATTCTACATAACATGAAAGTCTCTACCCTAGAAAATCTATTTAGCTAATTTCTTAGAAAAAGACATAGTGAACACCAACTAGAACTTTTATGGAAGCCAAAAACAAAAAGAGCATCCGCTTTAAATAGTAATAAATAATAATGGTGCAATAAACAGTTCGTATGTTTGAAAGTAAACATAGTGTGTCGGATAGAGCCTGTGGTGACCTGAATAATTCCTACCTCCTGGTGTTCACACCTTTGTGTTCTCCCTTTCCCTTAAGTATGGGTGGAACCTGTAACTTGCTTCTATTGCTTCTAACCAATAGAATAAGGCAAAGATGATGGGATGTCAATCCCTTAATTAGGTTATTGTGTGTTTGTGTGTGTGTGTATGAGAGAGAGAGGCAGAGAGAGAGTGGGAAGAGGTGGGAGGGTAGGAAGAAGAGGGAGGGTAATAAGAGGTGAGAAAGTGAGAGGGAGGGCAGGAGAGAGGGAGAGGATGGATTACACAAAGGCATTAATACCAGTAGGTGAGAATTACTGGGGTCACCCTAGGGTCTGTTCTCCACACAAGGAAAAAGATAGCCAGAAGGAAGCTGAAACTGTAGTCATTAAAAGACTATGTCCTTAGTGAGAACAGTGGTGTTCAACATAATAAGATGAAGCACAACTTATCCGTTTGTGGTATCATTAGGCACATTAGAATTTCAGTTCTGTGAATAGAAAAAGCACGATCCCGTGTAGAAGCAGGCAGCACTAAAGCCCACTGGATCAAATTCAAGCTCTTAAGTAGCCATCTCAGCCCCCTTCTAACTCATCCTGTGCCCACTCAACAGGAAAGCATCAACATTTTATCTCCTCTTAGAGGTGAGTTAGCTTCTGTCCAGGGAATTAGCTTCTACACATTCCCTGTTTGTCAGTCTTTGTTTCCTCATCTCTCCATCCATCCAAGTTCTGTACTGATTTCTTCCTACTTTCCCTAGATCTTTTCATCCCCAAATATTTACCAAGTTCTAGCGTGCAGCATTTGTACCATTCAAGAAATTATTTTCCATTTGCATAAATTTGCTGTCCTATATTATTTCCCACCAATGCAGTGTAGAAACAGCCTTGGTTTACAACTGTAGTGAAAATGGGGAAATAAAACATACTTCCTACTTTCAATGTATCCCACAGCTGCTAATATGGTATTGGGTATTAAAAAAAAACAAGAACAAAACCCAAACCTGCTGCCATCGAGTTGATTCTGACTCATAACAAGCCTATAGGACAGAGTAGAACTGCCCCATAGGGTTTCCAAGGAGTGCCTGGTGGGTTCGAACTGCCAACCTTTTGGTTAGCAGCCGTAGCTCTTAACCACTACGCCACCAGTGTTTCTATTGGGTATATAGATGGGACTTAACAAAAGTAGTTGACTTGAACTGATTGTGCTGGCTCAATACTTTTCTGAGCAAGCTTTACCTTTAGGATATGAATGGAATCAAATAGTAAAAAGTCTAAATAAAATAATCATTGATAGAAAAGATTCCCACACAGAAAGCACTGAGTACTCAGCTATATCATCATACATCTCTTGCAACCATGTTCCCCTTGCTGACTAGTAGCTTTTACTCTCGAGAGATGTAGGGTTTTCCAGACATGCCAATTTGCCAACTGAGTGTCTCCCCTAATTATGTGCACAGAATTTAGGACCCCAACTGGGGTAAACTGCTTGTATTCCTTAAGCCAGAAACTGTGTATTTACCCAGTTTGGTCTGAGGTACTTCAGGATGGAGGGTGGGTTTAGGTTTGGGATGCAGAGGATGGGTCATTTTTGTTGTTGTTGGAGCTGAAGGAAGAAAATTTAGGATTAACATGGTGCTGTGACTCCATAAACTGTGAATATATTTAAAAAACTTGGCTCTAAGTTCTTTAAAGCTTATTAGATTCTTTGACTTGAGAGAACTGTGTTACTCTGGTATGAAATTCTTTCCTTTATTATATATTAATAGGCTTCCTTTAATAATTGAGAGTTTCCCAGATGCAAAAAATTATACATATATTTACATTTAAGAAATGAAGCTTAAGAATTATCACTATTTTTTTTTAAAGCTCCTATCCTAAATCTGGTTACAAATCACTATGATGGTATGAGAGAAACTAACCATATAGTAGTCATTTATAATTTAAAATTACTAGATTTGTACATATCTTCCACTTAATGATTTACTAGAAAAAGTATACAAAATTCACTGAAACATCAACAAAGAAAAAAAAAATCACATAGAAGTTGAAATAGTGAAAATAAGATGCTTAAAGAAATTTAATGGTATCATACTTGATACCACATTGGCAATCAAAGGATATTATGTAAGGGATATATATATGGAATCATATTTGAACTTCAACTTTAACAAACAGTATTGTTTAAACAGACACTCAGATTGATATGATGCATTTTCAAGCTGGGATATATAGCAGACAGGTGTCTTGAATTAAGTCAGCGTACATTTCCATTAAAAACTAGGAGAGTCTTCAGAATTTTAAGATGCATACTGTAATAGTATGACAACCAAAGATGACACAGCTGTCTATGCATCACCTTAGATAAGTTTGACAATGAATAGGAAAAAGTACTTGCTAAAGGACGTAAATCATTACCTAAAGATGTCCCAGGAGTAACAGGCTCAAAGTCTGTACCAAGAAGTGATAAAAAAAAAAATTAGAAAAAAAAAAAAAAGAATTGTTAAACACATGATGAAAGTCATCAAATTCTTTTGAAAATGAACGTTAAAATTTTTCCTTTTTGACCAGAGAACTAATGCTACGCAGGGGAAGTTCTGAAGTGAGGGTACATAGACATTTGTTCTTATGAAATGGTTCTATCCTTAGCAAGTCTACATAGGTAGCTAGAAGTTTTGCTTGTGTGAAATAAACGTATAAGTTTTGCTTTATGGAAACAGCATTCTCTTGCCCATGACACTAAAGGTCATCTTATTAAATGTTAGAAACTTATGTGCTGTATAATAATAATAAATACATTATTTTTAAACATATATAATTTTTTAAAGCTTATACTTATGCCTTAAACTGTAACTAACTTTTAGAAGCAGCCTGTCTTGTTTCACATAATTGTATTTGGGTGATCGGGGTTAATGAAACACTGGAAACTTGTTCTTTCAGAAAACAATCGAAGATTAATGAACATGTCCTGTTTCTAAAACTCCAGAAGTCTTAGAATCATGGCTCACTGATCCTGTGATCATCTTAGCAAGATTTCTATTTTTCTATTCTTTACAATGTTTGATCACATACTGCTCTTTTAAGATATGTATATTCTGACATAATTTTCAACCAATCAAAAATTTTTGTTCAAAGTTTCTAATGAAATCATATGTAAGTACCCTGAAAATCCTAATTAATCGGAGCACTGATTTACTCAGTAATGATGTGCTGCCCAACTTTAAATTGCCTATTAAACCTGCATAACAATCTGTTGATGGTATTCTGAGTTGTCTATTTTTGACACTTGTTTTTATGTTATCTGGTAATACAATAGAAAACTTTACTTAGTAAACTCTTCAGGCATCTGTCCAATAACATTATGTTTAACAATTATGAGAAAACAATGTTAAAGTATAGTTTGTAACAGTACAGACTGGAAAACAAAGTCCTACATTGTTTAGGTCATGATGGGTACAATTATTGATATATTTAAGCAGATACAGTAATGGATAACCAAAGTAGACAATGTTCTTTTTTTGCTGAGCGTACACTTTGGAAAGAGACCAAGATCTCTGTCCAAACAAAGGCACACAAAAGAGCACAACAGAAGGGTCATTCAGTCCAGGAACATTTTAGTGCATTTGTCTGTACCCAGGACAGGAAAAGCCTGACCCCGAAGGTAGCCACTTGGCTCAAATCCAATCATTGAAGTGAGCCATTCAGGTCTTCCTTGCGGACCCATCCAAAAGTAACATTGCTAATCAGCATTTTTTAATACCAGCTAAGTGAACATTGCCTTTCTCTCAATCAGGTTGCACTCGTAATTCCTATCCTTCTGCTGTCACCCACACATGTAGCACCTACCTGCCCCAGTTTATGCTATTTGTGTTCACTCCTCCAATAAATCTACAAGGTCCGTACCACACTTATGAGGCCAGGGATCTTTTGCTACTCTGAGAATTAAGTACATGACTAATAGTTGGTACCAAAACCAAACTCACTGCTGTCGAGTCGATCCTGACTCATATCAACCCTGTAGGACAGAGCAGAACTGCCCCAATGGCTTCTAAGGCTGTAAATCTTTAAGGAAGCAGACTGCCACATCTTTCTCCCCATGGAGCAGCTGATGGGTTTGAACCACTGACCTTCAGTTAGCAGTCGAGTTCTTTAACTACCGTGCCACCAGGGCTCCTTTCTAACAGTTGGTAACACCCAATAAATATGTTCCTTTTGCCCACCTTCCTTTATTTCTATTTATGAACAGTTTTATGCAAGAGCAGCTTTCTTCCTCAACCAACTTAAGTCATTTATTACTTCCAAAATATTCCTCACAATATTCTACTAATATTAATATTCTGAAATATTAAGTGCCAATATGGCACTTAATAAATGTGTCCCTAGTTGAACTAAATATGATAGCTAGCTATTTCACTAGATAAGTTTCTGATGAACCAGAATCTAGAAGTAAAATTGAGTGGTCAGAGAAGGAAATAAAATACACAGGAATAAGAAGGTCCTCATGTAAGCAACATGAAGAAGCTGAGTCCGCACAGGTGTCATCACAACACTATGGTGGTGCAGCTGCTTTCCCGTTTTGGACCTTCACTTTTAAGAGGCAGAGGGGTTATCAGGTGGAAGTTAAACTGCCACCTCAGCATCACACCCAATGGGCCCCACAGGGACCAGGAACCACATATTTACCTAGTTTGGTCTGAGATGCCACTGGGCTCCGTGTGGGTTTAGGTTTAGGACGTGGGCGGCGTTTTCGTGTTCGCTGGGTTTTTTTTGGAACTGAAGAAAGAAAACTGGTTATTGTAGTCTTACAGCTCCAGAAACTAAAGAAAGGATTATGCATAGCTCTAGGTTTTCTAAAACTTTGCTAGATTTTCCTAAGTTTTAAAAAACTCGTATCCTTGTTTGGGTCTAGTGATAGTTCGTTTGAGAAGACAGAATATATAACACTATTTTAATAATCCAAAAACTTTATGATGAGTTGCAGATATCAGGTTTTCAAAGAAGGCCATGACCCAAGGGAAATGACAAGCGCAGTAGGTCCACATGGCATCAGGGAAGGACCCAGGCTCGCCTGCTTTTGGAAGATTGCACTTAGAAATTTGCTAGGCTTCGGCATACATCCCATTAAATACTAGTAGAATGAGCACATTTAATTTCTTAAAAATACTAGTAGACAATAAAAATGCCCTGCATATCTTAAAACAACAGAAGGCAAAATGCCCAGAGAACCATAATTGATGCTTATGGGGCAGACACTCCCAATTGTATTGAAATTCAGATTTAACACAGTATTGTTTGAGCAGAATCACAGATTGTGTGGAAGATAAATGTCCTGCCCTAGCTGCATTCAATGACCAAATAACTTGTCTTAAGCATCTTCAATACCTTCAAGATTAAGAATATAGTTGAATGACAAGAGAGGATGATGAGAAAATCTTATGAAAGAAAAACCTTGGACCAAGATGGTGATGTAATAAACAGGACAAGCAGCAGAAAAAGCACTTGCTTAAAGACAAGCCATTACCTAATGTTTCTGGAGCCTCAGTCCTCAGAGTGACAGGTTCAATGCCTGCAGCAGGAACTGACCAAAAGCAATACCGTAAACAACAAAGATTTTAAAAATATAGGAAAAGTAATAAAATTATCTTCAAAATGAATCTTCTTAACCCTGTAGTCTTTAGAAGGCATTTCTAAATTCCTGGAAAATAGACATTTAGTCTCTAAATATTTGGCAATACTGTGGTATCCATTTATTCCACAAAGGAGCCATAACCTTTTCACTTTGCTACGCATCTCTATAAGGCCAATGAAAAAAATTTTTTTTCTGTGTTTGATTATCTGGTGCTAACCATACTGGAAACGTAAATAAAAAAATTCTTTTAATTTTCTGATATGTAATTTCAAATTACTCTGAAAACGTACTGTTATTTGAAAGGTTTTAACCGCCATTATTTGTTTTGAGGGATGGTAGTGGTGAGGAAGATTAGAACAGTATTTTTGATCCATCTGTTTGGGGATTTGTGACAATTACAGAAGAATAAACTTCATAACAAATATGATACTGCTTCTTACTATCTCTCCTTATTTATTATTTCAAACTGAAAACTAGCAGATAATTATTCTGGTGATTAAGAAAAAAGTCTGAAAGATAATTATTCAACATTTAGTCTGGGTAAACAGGATTTCTGTAATTCTATAATGTGAAATTACGGAATTATTCATAGCTATTAATTAGTGTCTCCATTTTTCGTTAAATCCAGATTAAATGTAGCATTAAAACAATATGTCTCACCAAACTCTTTAAACATTTAAAAGGAGACTGGCTTTCCTTGGTTATACAATACATCACAAGGTAAGTTTGATTTAAACCACATCTCAGAGCATCTTCTGAATGGTTGGAAAACTATAAACACAAGAGTTTGAGGAATCCAGGGCAGTAAGGATGAAAACAATATAGTTGATTGCCTTCAAACAAAAACAGGGAAACCCTATTTTGTTTGGAATTCAGCATCACAAGATGAATTTGTCAACAGAAAGGTCCAGAAAGGACTTTTGTGAGGAACAGACGCATAAGCACGGGCCCCAACCAACTTTCCCTCCCATGTCTATAAATTATACATACATAAAAGCAGAGGTCTCAAACATTTCTTGGTTGAAAAGATAGAAACCGGCCGGTGACTCTTAAGAGCATCAGGTGCCACAAGCAATCAGAATGTGTCTCGAGGCGATCAGAGAAACAAAAACAACATGTAGGTGTCAGAAGCTGAGCAGCAGATGTGAGAGTGCCTAACTGGATGCTAAAATGGCTCCTGCTGACAAGACAGTAAAACCTGTGGAAGCTGAAGCTTGTGTAAGGCAGGAACCCATCAGAGAAGGAAAACACAAATAGTTTCCATTATAAAATGAGCAACAGAAAAGTAGCAATACTGTACCCTGTTAAAGGTGGAAAACTTCTGAGACCCAGAAAAACAAGGCAGTCCCATTGAGTTCCAGCTCTCACAGGTTTCACTGTAGTAAACAGTTTTTTGGAATAAATGAAAAAAATGATGCTGGAGCAAAGGCACTATATAAATTTAATGACTATATAACAAAATTAACACCTGGGGTGGAAGGTGTCCATTTCAACTGCACACTTGCAGTTAAATGTTAATTTAAAACTTGAGTTTTCTCTAAAGGAAAAATCTTCAGGAAATGATCAAAATGTCTCTTTAAGCAAAAGTAATGGGAAATGTCATAAGACCTTTTTTCTACATAAATAATTTCAAAAATGATAAAATATAGAAGATCTATTTCTTTGGTTCATAGACTTTCTTCAGTATAAAAACAGGAAGGTACAAATTTACAACTTGTTTAGAATGGAGGCTTGGAAAAATTAAACAAATATTAAAAATTACAAATGAGAGTAAGTGTTATATGGCTACTGTTTTCTGGAGTTTTCCAATGTAAAGCAGTGACAGATTTATTGTGAACGCTGAGAAACTATAATGAAATAATTGTGATTAAACAGCATTAGTACTAAAAACAGTAAAACTAGTTTGCAACTTTCAATGTTGCCAAGTTACAAATACCATGACTAGTTTTGTATTGGAGCTTGAACAAGAGCAGTGTTTGTGCCTCTAGTTATCCAAACATACTCAAAAACATTCTTCAAGGAAACACAAAAGCTGAAGAATGCATTCTTTCATGCAACTTTTTAAAAGGGAGGAAGCCTTACAAGTTGGATGAGTGAAGCAATGAAATGACAGTCACAGCACTAGAATAGAATGTTGCCATTTGTTCAGTCCAGGATGAGCACAGAAGTCCCTGTCTGAGAAAGAGTAGGTGATTTTCTCCATACAAGGACGCATGTGATGGGAGGATAGAGGGTAAGCGGAGAACCAGGAAGTTGTGTCCAAGACCACAAACCTTCCCTAAATGAGCACAGCAGGATTCTTCTGGAAGAGCTCTGCTATTTTCCGGCTTTTCTGACCCAGATAACAAACGTGAAGGAAGCATGACTGAAGTCGTGATAAGGTGGCAGAACCGCAGTCATGCCTGAGGTGAAAAGTGGGAAAAGCAAAAGTGACAAATGGTGGAAGCAATGGGAGGGGGTACAATTACCGATTGTGGGCACCAAGAGCTCCGGCTTTATGGTAGCAGGTTCCAGAGCTATAATAGCAAAAAACAAAAAGCACTGATTACACCAAGAAGCAGCATTGTCAAGAAGGAAACATTACGCCTCAAACTAGGATGCTTTACCTAAACTGCATTTTCTCTGAGTGTGATTTTCCCTTTTATTTTTCCTACTTACTCCTCTCTTCCTTGTTGCTTTCCTAAACCTTATCTTCCATGACTATGTATAATATGTAGAATTGAGCCCACATGGCAGAGTGATTAAGAGCCTGCCTGCAAACCAAAAGGCTGGCAGTTTGAATCCACCAATCACTCCTTGGAAATCCTATGGAGCAGTTCGGGTCTGTCCTATAGGGTTGATATGAGTAGGAATCGACTTGATGGCAATGAGTTTGGTTTTATTTTTTTCATTTTAATAACCCATTTACTGGGTCAATTTACTGCTGTGTGTACCTGACAACTACAAATATGAATATAGAAAATTAGTAAACCAGTTGCTGGGGAGTCGATTCCAACTCAAGATGACTCCATACGCACAGAGTAGAACTGCTCCATAGGGTTTTCCAGGCTGTGACCTTTCAAAAGCAGATTACGAGGCCTTTCTTCTGGGGTGCCTCTAGGTGAGTTCAATCTACCAACCTTTTGGTTAATAGTTGAGTGCTTAACTGTTTGTGCCACCCAAGGACTCAGAAAATGAGCACAGATACTCAAATATATAAATGAAATATTCTGATTCCTGAAGCCCAGTCTCCTAAACCAGAAGCTACTGTTTTTGGCTTTCTGTGTTAACTAGAACCCTGAACACTGCATTTACCAGATTTGGACTTGGGCACTTCTGGACTATGTGTAGCTTTAAGGCGAAGACGGTGACCTGGTCGTTTTCTCTTTTTGGGAGCTGAAGAAAGAAAATTAGCTAGTTATTACAGGAGTGGTGGCTCTGCAAACTGACGATACTAAGTAACTTTCAAAAGCACATTTAAGCCCTTTTATTTATTGTGGTTACATATCTTTCTGCTTTGCAACTTTCTATCATTATTCACCCAGTTAAATGAGGTCTTGAAAAAATTATTTTTAAGTTGACGATTTACAAACAATTATCGTCCAAGAGATCCTTCCATTCTTCCATTTTAAGATGGAAAATCTCAAAACCTTATACAGCTTAGAGAATGCAGTCACATAAACATATTGCAGGTGTGTGTTCAACAGGAGCCTAAGAAGAGTTGCTCATAAGAAGCGAGTGGAAATGAAAATCAAAATTTTATTTGGCCTCAGATTCAAGATGGTCAGATTTTTCACTTAGCATTAAAGAAATACACAAACCAACAATATATGCAACAAAGTTCTGAATTCTGTGATAGGATTTCAAGGGAGGTGATTTTTTATGAAATAAAGTTTATAAGAAGACAGGATTTAAAATTTTTCTTTGGAAACAAGAACAGAGAACACACATGCACAAGATGGGTATTAACATACTAACCCATTAATGTAAGCCTGACATTAAAGGCTTCCATTTAAATGAAAATTTGGTAAATGAGAAACTTCTAAACAGAAGAACTCTGCCCCCAAATTAAGGCAGTGAATGGACTACCTTGAAGGATTCCAAGTAGAGGCTGGATGATTGTTGGACAGGGAGATCGTGGGGAGAACTCTGCTTGTGAGTGGGATTTGGTTTTCTAGATATTCTCTTTAACATATTTTTCTCTGACTTGAAGACACCAACAGTGAAAAAAAGGGGACACAAAGGTCACCCACTCAATGACTGCTTTACCTAATGTTGTTGAAGGTTTGGCTCCCAATGTTTCAGGTTCCAAGCCTGCATGAAGAATCAATCAAGGAAGGATTCAAATCCAAAGGAAGAAACTATGAAATCTACTCAAATATGGAAAATGTTCAATTTTTAATTACTAGGTTGCATAAATATAAATGGTGAAATATTTACCCACATAAGAAATAAATTTCTGTTTTTAGACAAAATGAACAAAAACGTGGCTGCTCAGTTAAATTTGGAAAGATAGACAGAAAAACAAAGGCACGATTCTCATGTGGAAGATGGGAATGTAATTAAGTAACCAGCAGTTCATGTTATGAAGGAAAATATGGGTAACTGGCAAAGATGGCACCACACAGAACATATTTTTTGCTCTCTTGAAGAAAAAGAAGCTATAAAGATTGGGAATTGTTTTTCTTTTTCTCTCTTTGAATGGATTTCCTAGTGACACATTGGGTTATATTAGATCTGGAAAGACCATAGTGCTTTCCAAGAAAATCTGCAAATGTTAGAGCTTCGAAAGGAAGAAAAACACCTCCAAAAGTGAAAGCACAAATATGTCCTAGGGAAGACTTGGTCCTCCACTGGGAATAACCAAGTTAGAACAAGCTCAGGCCATACTCCTCAAATATCAGGAAGGACACTAAAGAATGTGTCAAATCAAAAATCACGTTTGAAGGCCAAAGAGGAGTATGGCTTTGCAGGCTGTCTCAGAGCCTTTGCTCAGTCAATACAGGCAGAAAGTGTGTCTTCTGCAAAAAGGCTAGGAAAAGGTATGAAGGACACTTGTGAAATATTAAAAAAAAAAAAATAATAAAAATAAGCAAAGCTAAGCACAAAACAGAACACTTCCAGTTGACGTTGAGTTGATTCTGATTCATGGCAACCCCATGTATGTCCTAGTAGAACTGTGCTCTGTAGGGTTTTCAATAGCTGATTTTCTGAGAGCAGATTGCCAGGATTTTCTCCCAAGGCACCCCTGAGTAGACTCAAACTTCCAACCTTGCCTTGAAGTTAGCAGCCGAATGCATTAACCATTTGCACTGCCCAGGGACCCCTAAACTGAACATACAGAATGCCTAAGAAAGAGCATTTTTTTTCACCTGCTAAAGAAAACTATTACCTATTGTTGACTGTGATGGTGGTGCAGTCTGAGGTTCCAGGGCTGCAAGAAAAGCAAGCAATATCAAAGGCAATGCTGAACAGCACCATCTAAGCTAGAAATTAAATTTCCTTTGTCATAAGGAATGTTCTCTTATTGGTGAACAATCGTGTTCTACTGGCTTATGACAGTGAAACTCAATCAACCCACATTCTCTCCACAAACCACAATAATAAAAGTTGAAAATTCTGATTTTTGTTGTTGATTTTCAACTATTCTGCCCACTACTTGATATTTTGAAGACTGCCCCCAGTGACTGAGTAAATACTAGTTTAAAGGGTGTTATGGATTGAACTGTGTCCCCCTAAATACGTTATAAATTTAACCTCTATGCCTGTGGTTATAATCCCATTTGAGAATGGGTTGTCTTTGTTATATTAATGAGGCAGGATTAGAGTAGGGTGTGTCTTATGTCAATCTCTTTTGAGATAGAAAAGAGATTAAACAAGCAAGCTAGGAAACAGAGATGGGGAAAGAGAGATGCCAAGCCACATGAAGATCACCCAGGAGCAGAAACTAAAAGAGACAAGGACCTTGCTCCAGAGTTGACAGAGAGAGAAAGCCTTCCCCTAGAGCTGGCACCTTGAATTTGGACTTGCAGCCTCCAAAACTGTGAGAATCTAACTCTGTTTGTTAAAGCCACCCGCTTGTGATGTTTCTATTATAGCAGCACTAGATAACTAAGATAAAGGGAGTGCAGGTAGTCTTTCTGAGGTTGTTCTAAGTGCCCTGTCACCTGTCATTTTGTTTTGCATCCAGCATGTAATACAGGTTTATCCAAGGACACAGAAGACACAATAGACCCAAGTTTCTGTGCTGTTAGCTTTGAAAGGTCTTCAGCCTTGTTGGACCCAATATTCTTTCATGAAAGATAGGAACTGAACTTCTGGTCCAAAGGGGCCACAAGTGTTCATATGGTCTTCACCATATTTACTAGCAGCTATTGTTGATAAAGAAACCAATTTACATGTGAGATTTACTCTATTTTGCTTAAAAAGGAGTTAAAAAAAAGTCTTAGATTTCATGAAATATTGAATAAGTTGAATAACTGAATATTATTTAAATATTCTGATAGATAGCAAGCCTTCAACATTCATTGAAATTGGCAGTAGGTAAATTATGCTTCTTGCTGAATGTAATTTGGTTACGATGTCTGTCTGAGCTTTTTTAAAGAGAGCATCAAATAGGTTGCTTATTACTCTACAGAACAAAAAAGGATTATTTTCCTTAGAGGAGAAGTAAAAAAAAAAAAGAGCTCTGTTTTTTAAACAAAAGAAAAAGTAAAGATTCTACCTAAGACTATTTTATCTTACAGAGAGAAGTTAATATGGAGCTAATTGACCGTCTTAAAACTTAAATCACTTTGCCACCTATACATTTATGATATGACATTTAACAGGAGTTATCCCTGACATTTCTGGACTAGGGGATGTGATGGGTTTGAGGGAAGCAAGTAGTGACTCTTATAGCAACTGAAAAAGAAAACAGAACAAAAATAACAACAACCAAAAAAATGCGGAGAGAGAATTTTCATCTATTCTGAAATCGATGCATAATAGCACAAGGTACCAATTAAAGGCAGCAACATGCACTAGTATGTCTGTGGCAAAAAATCTTTAAGAATAAAGAAGAGTAAAAATTAGGTGTGATAGAGCAAAATGAAACAGTGGTAATTAAAAAAAAAAAAGGTAGAGCTTGTCTAGAAATAGATTATAATAGGGGAATGGCAAAGTAGTGTGATGTATCAGATTGAAGCACACATGAAAAACCCATATTGACTCATACTGACCCTACAGGACAGGGTAGAACTACCCCATAGAGATTCCAAGGCAGCAATCTTTACGGAAGCAGACTGCCACATCTTTCTACCGTAGAGTGGCTGGTGGGTTCAAACAGCTGAGGGCTTAACTACCGTGCCACCAGGGATTCTGTATGTATCTGTGAGTATGTGTGTATGTGTGTGCGAGAGAGAGAGCGTGAGAGTGCATGCAAGCATACAAGTAAGTGTACTCACAGTGTCTCAGATTCTATATGATAAAGGGAAACTAAATCTTAATACATACAAATATAATAAATATCAAGAAGGTAGCCACATCTGAGAATAGCAAACAGCAAAACATTATTTTGATACTTTGAGTTTACAATTCATGTTTTAATTTCTACGAAGTTGCCTTCTGACAATGTGAAAAACTAAATATGATTTGTTACACATAGATTTTTATCCTTCACATAGATTGAAGAATGCTGGTTTCGTACATACAATGAAACCCGTGAAAGCTGGAACCTGTATGAGGCAGAAATCTGTCAGAGGAGGAAAACTCAAATATTTTTCACTAAAATGAATGATAGAAAAGTGGTAAGACTGCACCCTGTCAAAGGTGGAAAATTTGCAAGACCCCAAAAATCAAGGCAGTTCTGTCGAGTTCCAGCTCTCACAGGTTTTCTGTATAAAAGAAAAATCTGCAGTTTTTAGTTTCTGACGAAGACTGAGATCAAATAAGGACAGAACCCCATCAATAAAGCTTCAAATTCAGCTGAATCTAAAAAATGCTAAAATTAATCAATGTCAGTACTAAAAATAAATACATCTTCTGATCGGACCTCCTTTATTTGACAGCCTGAAGTTGTTAAGAATAAAGGTATAAAATTCCATTAGAAAACTGAGTGGCATGCAAATGACTAACCACTCACCTCAGCACAAAACAAAGACAAAAACAAGCTGCTCGTGGATTCGTGGTTAGTAATGCGCACACTTCACAACTGTACCCACCACGTAAGAAAACTGTGTGAATCAAAGATTTGTAATTGGCGACTCCCTCCTTTTTTTCAGTCCTTTAAAACTTGGTGACCTGAATGCCATCACAACCTTAAAGATTAAACCTTTATAAAGGAATCAATTCTTATTGGGTGAGGTAAAAGCGTTGGGACATGGGAGGTGGCTGTGGTTTTTGAAAAATGCACTGGAATCTACTTATAAAACAAACCCAAACCAAAGTGGATTTGTACTTGTTAGTTTAACTGCAAAGGAAAACCAGCAGAGTGGCAGCCCATGTGGAAAGTGAAAGGGAGAAACAGGAGGGTGGGAAGGGCTAGGAAAGGCAGTGACTTATTCCAATCAAAAAGTGTTCACTGGTTTATTTGCTCTTCTGAACCTTGGCTAGGAACAGAAATCTTCAACAGAGCTGTAAAGATGGTCTGCCCTAAAACCAAAGCCGTAGTTTGCGAGGATCCAGTGGAACACTCAAGGTCAACACTCAGGGTCAACAGGAGTTGGTGTAGATTTAGGTGCAGATTCTGAAGTGGTTATACTTGCTGTTGGGGGAAAAGTGGGCATATTTTTAGGTGACTAGAAAGTAGAAATCAAAAGAATATAAACTTATCATCTTCCAAATAATTCTTCACCTTTGAAAAGGAAACGCCAGTTAAGCAGACTTTTTGTTGAAACACATTAGAATGGCAAGAATACGTCTTTCCACCCTTATTTCTATTACGATGAAATTTTCTCTCTACAGTATTTTCTTAAAACCTCCAAAATTAATAATGTACCTTATGATGTATAAACTGTAACTGAAGTTCGGGGGAAATTTTTGATGTCTTCAAATTTTAACTTGTAGTAACAGAAATAATTACACTGGAGAAATGTTCATTTCGACTTGATGACCTAAACATACAGTCATTTCTTGATCTGCTTGGTAATAGCTTTGTCTTCAAAACACAGCATCAACAGAATAGTTACCTCCAGTACCAGCTGTTATTGAGTCAATTCAACTCATGGTGCCCCCATGTGTGTGAGTGTAGAACTGCACTCCATAGGATTTTCAATGGCTGATATTTCAGAAATAGATGGCCAGGTCTTTTTTTCAAAGGCACCTCTGGATGGACTCAAACCTTCAACCTTTCAGTTAGCAGTCGAGCACGTTAACCATTTGCAACACTCAGGGCCTCCTTTTATACTAGTTACAATCTTATCTGAAATCCCTCTAAGCATAGTTTTTTAATAAATGTACAGGAAACCCCTCTTATATAGCTAACCGTTGGAGCTCTTTGATTTAACTGCAAAGACTCTTCAGTTTTATAAGCTTCTCTGCCTTCTCTGAATAACTTCTCCGAGTGGGATTTCTCATTCCATTTCTGTAACTGGAGACCTCACCCATGGCCACAGTGTCAACCACACTCCCTTTGCCTAATCCCTAATTTCCTCCAATCTGACACCCACACCTGGAAATATTACTCACTGCCTCTTCCAAAGGAGTCATGAGAATTTTTTCTGAGCAGTTACAGTTTTCTTCCTTACCCATTTCATTGCAAAAACAAATCAGGCCCAACTAAGCGAAAGTCTCTTGCTTTAATAATCCTACAAGTAAATATGCCATTAATGGAAATGCAAGTTCAAAATCCATGAAAGGTTATGGTGAGAAATATATTTTTCTCAGACTTAAGGATCTGAAATTTGGATGACCATGATAATGTACTTGTGGCAAAGGTCCCTGTATCCAAACTTATTTTACAAGTCAATGTTTAAGACTGATGTATAGATGAAGGACCAACAGAAAATGTAATGAATTTACTCATTCCGTTTGCCCCACAATCTTTATGCAGGTAATTGTCGCTGTTTTAAATTATACATATGGATTGATCCCTTCCTGCAAAAGAGCCTTCTTTTCTTTAGCAAAAGGCCGTTAATATCTTCTGAGAAGTAAACAGAAATCAGCGTTTAAAAATCAGTCTCAATTTAGAAAGAAGGCTTGGTGCGTTGAGAAAACACAACCCTTTCTAGTCTTGCAGCCTGAGAACTGAGAGGCCCCCAAACAAGGCAGAGATCTTTGGAGGATGGAAAACACTTCTCCACTTTCCAGCTGCAAGGCTATTGTGCAGTGTGATCAGAATTCCAGTCAACTTTGGTACTGGAAACTATTCTGTAGTCCTAGACAAAGGAGTACTCAATCATTCATATCATTACATTTCTATGTCTTCTCTGTGATGGTCACGAACATAATGATCTACCACAGAGCTCAGAGCAACGCTGTGATGTATCAGAGGGGATGGCTATGATGAGATCGTTTCATTGCATTTTTGCACTTTCCATGGAAAAATGTGTCAAATACCAAAATACAAATCAGAAGTTCTTGCTCCAGAGATGTATAACACAATTTTCAACCCTAGTTTTGGAATAATAAAGAAAGAAAAAAAGGTTTAGGGTAATTACCAGCTTTGGTGTGTGTCACTTCTGGGCTGAGGGAGAGTTTAGGTTTCAAAGAAATAAATTGTGTTTTACTGGGAGCTGGAAAAATAAAGAAACAAAATAGTCAGCAAATAATACTTAGGCATTTCAGTGTCTTAAACCACAAAAGGAAAACCTAAGAACAAACTATGTGTGTTAAGTATAATAAACCCATCATCCTGGAAAATTTGGGAAATACTCCATTAAAAAAAAAATTTCATGCTCCATTTGCAAAGAAGCATCTAACAGAAAGGTAAATACAGTGATATATTTTCATCTGGTTTAAAAAAAATCTCAAGGGTATATTTAACTTCTGTAGAAGAAAAACACAGATATAGCATTGCAATTAAATAATCACAATAATTACATAAAGACAGTGATTTTTGATCCATGATTTAAAAAAAAAAAAACAGTCAAATTTTCATTATTTATATTTTTAGCAACATCAGTCTTTAAGCACAAGAAAAAAAAATGTTTTAAAATTTATATTCACTGATAAGTACAGTGCTACTATCTGAAGCATAAAAAAATTCTAACACTATAATAGAAAGTCTTTTTTCCAAATGAAGTCTGAAGTTGAACTTGAGGGCCTTACTCAAAAAATAGGGAACGATATATGAAACTCAACCTCAAATTCAATAATTGGATAGAAGACAAGGAAGCAGAAATGGTTCAACAGCTTTCTACGGCACAAGAGAACGCATAAATGCTGAGCTCGGATCTCCTGGTTATAGGGCCAGCTCTCCACAGCCTGGGTATTCACGGAGATGGTGCATTGGAAGAGATATTCAGTATTGTTCAAAAGAGTCATTTAGAATAGGTATTGAGACATTACATAACAGCTGACGTACTGATTTTCCATGATGAAATAACACATTATCTAAGGACATATCATTATTACCCAGTGTCGTATGTGTAGGTTCAGGGATTTTAGAAATTTTGGATGTAATTTTTCCAGGCCTTGTTGTTCTTTCTGGTGATGGAAAGGGGGAAAAAAAGGTTAAGATACCCTAGAGACAATAAAAAGTTTTCCTCCAAAGAGGAACTGAATGAGCCTTTTAAAATCCTGCAATACTTAATAGTCAGTGTTTACAAAGTATCCAGTGAGAGAAAGCTTTGTGAAAGAATTTTTAAACTCAGTTCTAACAATATAGAGTATAGAAAATTTCATTAATAATACAATGCAATAAGCAAAACCCAATTTGTTTAGCATAATTCTGAGAATACTATTTGACAATGAAGAATACAACCTCCAGGTTGATAAGCTACCTCTACCACCCAAACTCAGTGCTGTGATATATACAGTTCCCCTCTCCTTCTCCTCTGTTTAAATTCTACAGATCTTCTGAGGCCTGCATCCTCAACTCTCACTGTCTTTCTCTGAGCTTCTACACAAGTATTGTAATCTCTCAAAACCCATTGCCATTGAGTGGATTCCGACTCATAGTGACCCTATATGACAGAGTAGAACTGCCCATAGAGTTTCCAAGGGGCAGCCGGTAGATTCGAACTGCCACCTTTTGGTTAGCAGCTGAGCTCTTAGCCACTGCACCACCAGGGCTCCACAATCTCACAAGCAGGTTATATAATATTATGATGCTCCCTCATTGTTTGATATGTCTTATCTCCTTAGGGTTATAAGCACTTTGAAAACAGAAGTCACATCCTCTCCATCTCAGCTACTGTCCTAGTCCCAGGGGCAAAACTGTAAACATAATAGGCACCAAAAAACAGAACTGTTGGCCTAATAAACGCTTAGAAATACATGCAAAGCAGGAAAATGAGTTACACTATGTAGCTCACTCTATAATTCTGTGACAGCATGACTTATTTCTAGGTTTACACCAACATTTATAGGCAAGAAAATCACATGCATAATTTTTAATGAAATCTTACTGGAAAATTTTGATTTTTGTTACTGTATTGTCTATTACTCATCTTGAGTTAATTTTATATTTTGTAAAGAAACTAACCTATGAAAGAGAGATAGACATTTTCTATTTGGACTTAAATATCCTGATAGGTTAAAGAGACACTTATTTACCAGTTTTGGTTCTTGATGGTTTGGGCTTTTGGCGTCGTTTAGGTGTAGAAGGAATAGATGTAGCTGGCTGTGGAGCTGCTGAAAAAAGAAGATGTAGTATAGCTTTGATAAATGATACTTCCTGGAGACAAACAGTTTGCACCTGTAAACCACTTGAGTGTAAACACGGTTTACATTTCTTTGAATCCCTAGAGTGCCCATACTATGCTTCAGACACAATAGGCTCTCAGTAAAAAACTGTTGATTGGGCCAAAATGAGCTTAATTTCCATATGAGGATGAAAGGTACACTATTCAATGAAAAGTACTAGAAAGTGGGCACCCTTGAGGCATTTCAGAACACATGGTATAGTTAAAAAGAACTGAAAGGATGATTTACTGGGCAGGAGGGGAGAAGCACAAACTGGGATTTAGAGAACTTCTTTAATTCTGTAGCTCATTACTATCCTCACCTTGAGTTAATAAACTTTATTATTCCAATAATTTTTTATTATAAAATGTAGGTTTTGTTACCTCTCTTTTACCCATCACTTTCATCATGTGAAGGATTACAGAATATACTTGGTACTCTTTATACTACAAATACTTTGGGGGAAGTACTCTGCCAAAGAGGTATCTAAATATGGTAAACAGAAAGGAATATATTTTAAAATAATTATAATCTATAATTCTGCTGGTATTTTCCAGTAAGAAGGATTTCCAGCTGGAGGGACTAAACAAGGGAAATAATTCTTTGACATACAGAGACATTAGAATTAAGGAAATTCTTTGAGGATTATCACAAGGCTAAGTATGATACATAACCCAGATCTTTGAAAAATTTCATGGTACAGAATGAAGGGAAATGTTTAGTAATGAAAATATTCTCAAAAGGTCAAGTTGACTGATTCTTTTTTTTTTGCCACTTTATCTGTTATTTCAAAGCATATAACTGCACAAATGTCATTAGTTACCAGGTGTTGTAGATTGTATTTCAGGAGTTGTTAAGATTTCCAATTTTTGAGGAACAAATGATGTTTCACTTAGAGCTGAAAATACAAACACCCCATCCCACCAAATAGTCCCAGTTAAAATGAGGTATTTTAAGAATTTTAACATGCTTTTAGACGGTACAAAGCACATGCTTTTCAAGAATATGGTTAAGGATGAAAAACATGTATAGTCTCGAATGCTGGTAGATGAAATGACGATTTAAAGAAGGGAAAAAGCCAGGATGAGAATTGTTCAGTAGCTGACTCCAGGCAGGCTCAATGCATGGAAATGAGGTGATACAGGCCACAAACATACAAGATGGGATGATGAAGAGAAAGAATTCCATGCAGGTTTCAAAGCTTTTCACCCCTTTAAGGATGGGAAAAATATCTATTATAATAAGAGAGAGAGAGAGCTCCAAAAATGGAAAATAAAAGATGCCTATACTATATGAATACATACATATTCAGAAATAAGAAGGTGAAAAATGATTAGATGTGATGGAATTCAATGGTCATTTGGAAGAAAGGCATTCTCATGGATTTTCTTTCGATGGAGAACAAAGTATGATTTTTCTGTTAAAAACATTACCCAGTGTTGCCCTTGGCCCTCCAAGAGTTCTAGAAGTTTTAGGTGGGACAGAATCCAGAATAGGATCACTTGTTGCTGTTGGAATAAATGTCAACATTTATAAAAGCAGTAGAAGGTCCCAGGAATAAAATACAAATTCATGAGTAACAAATTATGCCTCAGATGGGGAAAAATATCAACAACACTTGAGAGATTGATGACCAACATTTTTAAACTAGTGATTTATTAGGAGTTGAAGATGAGCTCACTTTGAAAAACATACATACTTTAAATATTAGAAACCATGATAAAACAGTGTTTCATATATGTGCCTGGTTTTTCTTATCTTTTCCCTTTATTTCATAATTGCTAACAGCAATCGCTATTAGTATTCTATTTCTTTTTTTCTTATTTATGCTGCTGTTAGAAATTATTTGCCTTTATTTAGCATGACACAAATAAGACTATATATACCAAAAATATCAGATACATATGAGGTATCAGATCTATATGTATGCCAACACAGTGCCTGCAACAATGAGCCCAAACATAGCAACGATTGTGAGGATGGCTCAGGACCGGGCAGTGTTTCGTTCTGTTGTACACAGGGTCACTATGAGCCAGAACTGACCCAACGGCACCTAACAACAACAATATGTATGGCTGGAAGAGACCAGTTTTATTCACTCTGAATCTCTCACAGTACCTCGGTTAGTAGGTGTTTAATAAATGCTTGTTGAAAAGAACTGCTGGACTGAGTTCAGCTCACTATAGATGGATCAGTGAGTGAATGTCAAAGGTTAGACCCAACTGAACATCTATAGATGGATGACGTGATCACTCTAGAGCAGGATTTCTCACCTTGTCACTATTGACATTTGAGCCCCATAATTCTTTGCTGGAGGCTGTCTGGGCATTGTAGACTGTTCAGCAGCATCCCTGGTCTCTACTTACTAGATGTCAGTAGCATCTTCCCTAGTTGTGAGAACCCAAAATGTTTCTAGACATTGCCAACGTCCCTTGGGGGCGGGGCGGGGGGGGGGGCAAAATCACCTCCCATTTGAGAATCTCTGCTCTAAAGAAAACTCTCTAAAGGCTTTTTAGAATGATCCTGAACAACAGAGTGACAGGCCATTACATTACTTTGCCTCAGATGAACCAAAGCTATCTGCATCTCACACATGTGACAGAGCTTATTCCCTGATGGATGCAAAGAAATAACTGGTCAATGGGAGAAGTGGGTAGGAGATTTCATCTCCCTAACAGAGACAGCTATTTCTCCTCTGTGGAGCTCTAGACAGTGTACTTTTGTGCTCTGCAAAGAAGACCTAGGCTCAGAATTAATCAGAATGCCTAGGATCCAAAGACAGAATTGAGGGGCTGTGTATACCTGTATGGGGCTCTGATATATCAGGCTCATCTGATGCTGTGGGGCTTGCAAAAACAGGTGGTATATCGTAAGTTGTTGCTAAAAAATAAGAAGTAAGAGAGAAGACATTAATTTGAAAGATGTCATGACATGTTTTAATGCTAGCTGAAGATGGCCAGTTTTATGTAGGTGCTAGTAGGTATGGGTGTGGACTACTAGCCTTGTCACTGATGTGTAAGCATCCCCGAGACTTGCCTTTTGTCCTCTTTGCCCTGAACCAAAGCTTTTATAAGGTAAGCCCTGACATGGGCCTGTGGGGTGATGTGGAAAAAGTGCTATATTTATAATGAAGTGGTGCCAGCTCTAAATCAAAGAGCTTCAGAGCAGAAACATAAATGAAGTCAGATGGCAGTGTAGGGAGAGACTGCTAAAGGAAACTAGGAAACAGCCATTTGCACAAAGTCTGCAAAGGATTCTTTCTGGTTGGTAAAAATTAACTGGCATGAGGTCTTATGTTTGGACAGCGCTTTACAGTTTGTATAGCACTTTCTCATATATCAGCTTATTTAACCCTCTTAACGTTCCTGAGAAAGAAGTGAGGCAGACATTATCCCCATTTTCTAGCTAAAGAAGTTGAGGTTTAAAGAGGTGAAGACATTTGCCAGGGGTCACACACTAGGATTGTCATGTTCGATGCAGTTTCCACTCCACCAGCAGGGCCAGGAATGGCAGAACTAAGAACTATCTTCTCACAATATCCCTCCTGTCATTTCACTGAGAACAGCTTTCCTTCTATGTTACCCCCATGGAGCCATGAGGCCTTCTACAATCTAGGCAGGTTTAAAGATACATTTTATATTCCACGCTAGATAAAGAAAGTAGAATGAACTTCAAAATAAAGGTTAAGTGGTTTTGATACAAGGAGAATTTTCATGTTCACATAAGAGTTGAACCTGTAAACAAAAACAGCACCCAAACAAAAATGTCCTGGAAAAAAAAAAAAAAAAAAAGCTGTCACTATGGTTATCGGAGGTGTAGAGAAAGCATGAACTATTATGAGGTAGACACTGTTCTTGCTCATTTAAAATGCTGTAAAGAAATTAAATAAAAAGTAGGGAGCTATGGGAAGGTTTACTCATTGGGTTTCTTGTAATTCAGAGAAAAACTAATAATTTTGAAGCATTGCTGGTTGAAGCCACAAGACAGCTCATATCAGACCATGTGACAGACTCCACTATGTGTAGCGTGCAGTTTACACTGTACCACATAAAAAAGAGGCAGGAAATAGATTTTAGTTTAGAAAGGTGAATTCACTGCTTTGCAAAATCATCAAAAATAGAAAGAATATCGTGATCAGTAATAGAATATTCAAATATTCTGAGAATAAACTTTTCAAAACTTTGTAATATAAAGTTTTCTTTAACCGAGCTGCAAATTTAAAAGGTCATATACGTGTAACTAATCTTTCAAATACAAAAATGCTGGCAAGTCTCTGATCTCAGGCTCACTTTAAGTCAATTTCCTGTCATGGATCTAGCAAAGTCAGCTATATCTAATACTAAATACATTAGGATAACTCTACCGACTTATATTTATCAGTCTCATACTAGGGAAGAAATTATGACTTAGTAGCTTGACTTTTTTTTATTTAGTTGTTCTTGAAAATTGCTGCTACTTTCTTTATGTTATTCTAACTCCCATATTTCCCTTTCATCTAGTGACACTGGGCCAATTTTTCTTTATTCTATACTTTTTATTCCAAGAGATGATATGTATTCATCCCTTTTCTACTTATTTTCCGTATTTACAATTCCCTTCCAGTATGGATTTCCAAGCCAGACTGCCATCTTCCCTCCAATTATTGCCAGATGGCACTTCACTGGGGAAATAAGTCTTCCAACCATCATCCTCTGGCAATTGTGGCTCGTGTCTGGAAATTCCCAATTGTCAGGGACCTCTGACTTCCAAGTATTTTCTAAAACAGACTTCAGAGTAAAATACACATATGCCAGCAGACTCTGTCCCTGATATTTCTATTTCTGGAATTTCTGAGAGTTGAGTAGTAAAGAAAAAAAGTGTTAAAAAATGCACAAATACTATCAACCCCCTCAAAGTTTTATGTTGTTTGGGCAGCTTTGAGAAGCACACCGCCACCTCGTTTCATTCTTGGGTTAAACAAGATGTTTTGACTATGAAGTAATAGCTGTTAGAGGACAGTGTCGAAAATGGAGTTCTCTCAAAAACTCTCTAAAAATCAACAGCTCTTGATTTCTTTACAAAATCCTTGTGTGCATTTTCATACCAGAGTAAAATGCATGAAACAGTTAGGCGTCCCTGGTTCTAGAACAATGCTCCAGCTGTAAAATTGATACATAGCTAAGGTTAGGGGTGAACCCTTCCATTTTTAGACAGTTTGCATGCTACCATACAGGGCCAGATTAATGCACATGAGGGCCCTGAACACTGATAATCCGTGGTGCCCCCTCCTCTGCTTATTCACGAATTCGAAAGGAATATGTGAGTTATATACATATATGTATACACACACATGCTGTAACTTTTTATATACCACTATAACATTAGCAATTGAATGCAAAAGTGACGTATGCCATTTTAGCGGAATGAGACAACCTGGATTATTAAAATTTTAGTGAGTGAATGTAGCAAGAGTTAGAATCAGCAGACCACTCCCAATCTCTTGTTTATTAGGAAAAAATAGTATACTCCCAAGAGAGCTGCCAAGATAAGAAAGTTCAATTACATGGGACAGGACTGCAGGAGACAGATGTCAGTGAAGGTGTTGAAGTGGTAGGGGCCTCATAGCTTAAACAACCTAGTGCACGGGTGCCCTCATGACCCTTAGTGAACTTTATTTGTAGCCAGCACATTCTCACGCACTGGAGCTGGTATCAGTTTCATTTAGTGCCCTGCCAATTCCCTTCCATTGTGGCGTCCGCTTTTCCTTGTGTTCCGTATGCTTGGCATCTGTGGGTCTTTGCTTCGGACAATTGGTGGCCCTGTTTTGTTGATGCCCTAAGCATGTGCTTACTTTGTTTATTGGGTAATCTGTCCCTACTACTATACCATATCTAGAAGCAAGCACATTCTATCATCTATGTATACTTTAGTGGATGAAACTGTCCAGCTATTTGACATTAAGCAGTACCTCTGATCTTACATTCATAGAATATACATGGAACCAGAAGTTGTAGAAGAAATCTAATACAACAAGTAAAAGAGGTAGTTCAATTCAAAGTTCAAAAAGCAATATTAGTTGCTTTCCAAAAACAGTAATGGCTTCTAATCATGATAACTAAATTTTACTTTTAGATTTTACAAAGAAAACATATTTGTTCTAAAACTACCATTTGCCCTGAATTTTGCTCTATAACTTTTTAAAACCACACTGTTAAATTATGTTTTATTTTTACTTTTTTTTTCTTGGCTGATTAGATATAAATTCCACAGTAAAAATATCCTGATGTTGCTCTGAAAAGATATGACGGCACTCAGACAAGGCATTTCCAATTATCAAGAATATATCCCTTTATTTTATTCAAATATCCTGAATATTTATAATTATATGAAAGACTTTCCTTTTTTAAACATAATTTCTCAGATGAAGACACAAAAAAATGATGTCTGTCATGCTCATTACTCACCCCAAGATTTATTTATCCCAGAGCCTGGCACAGGCTGGACACGCAATATGCAAGCTGTCCATTTCAGTGAACAAATAATAGCAAGCTTGACAGTTGGACAGTTTAAGCTCTTAGTAAGGATAAATGTCTTTGTGGTGTAGTTTAAAGAACAGATGAAAATGTCCTTCAATTATTACATGATACACATATGTGTGCACACAAATCTCTTCCTCTACTACCCAGCCACCTGACATATGCTTACGTGGCCATACACTGCCATAGAAATAGCATGGAAATGCCTAAAAAACATATAAAGTAACCTGGAAAAAAAAAAATACAGGAATATTGTCTAAGTCACTGAAAGAGAAAAACACAAACACCACACACGGAGTTCTCAGTACCACTTAGATAAATGAATAACGCTTTCTTCAGTTCATGGAAAAATAAAATACCTTTCTGGTAGGCCTTGAAATTTATGAAAATGTTGCATACGAGAAAATACTCATGAACGAAAACCAAAGGCTGAGACTATAAATTCCTCCGAGGCCACGACAAATCTGTAAACCATCTGCTACACTTGAATTCCATTTTCCTGCTCTCAAAGCATCCACACCACCACTCACTCCTACTTTTTCTCCTCTCTAGGGCTTAATCCAGTTGGGTGGACCAGATCTGCACGAATCAGCACCTCCCAGGGCAGGCAATAAGGCCCAAATGTACAGGTTATCTCCTTTCAACTGCTCTGGGCAAACCACCTGTGGCCAAAACTTTCTAACTAGTATACCACTCCACGTGCACATGATCACGCCAACCTTAAAGTCTTTAAATAAGTTAGAGAGCTTAAGTACACCTTGCAATTTGCTAAAGTTCTACAAAGTACTGAAAATAATTAGTGATGAACTCCTATGGAAGCCCCCAAAATGAATTCTAACAAAAAGACTGAGGCCAGCCATCCTCAGTTCTGATGCTGTTGAAGAAAGCTGCTAAACATAATTGCTTGTTGCTCAAAGTTGAAGATAAATAATTATACGAGAAGAAGCCTTAGTAATATGTCACAGTAATTTGGAGGGAAAATTCAGTTAGTCTGGACAAGTTGGAGGGGAGAAAACACAGGACAGGATTTTTGAAGGATGACAAACACATTGAATCCTCTTGGGTTTGCAACCATTTTCTATGATTTGGGCTTTAAGTCCCTCCTGATACTAAATGATTATCTTTCAAGGGGATGGTCAAGTAAATTAAGGAGGCCTAATACTGATGGCATTATCAAGCCAGGGACAAAGAAGCTAATTTCTACCCCCCACCCTTCAAACATATAAGGTCTTTAGAAATCTCACACATGCCCCATCAGGGGATGATAAATACATGGCATTTATGGTGCTGCTCCCACCTCCAGGGCCCATGGTAAACACATCCAGGTGATCATGGCATTATTTTACACTGAGACTAGGCAGGGTCTCAGATCCCAGTTTACAGACTCATTCAGGCAGCCACTATAACTGAACAGAGAGGCCGTGTGATACAAATAAAGCTCTACCGTTTCTGCCATGGGGATTCTAGGACATCAGACCATTCGCATGGAGTTGCAGGAGCTCTGAGAATAACTCTACTGCACGTATCCTTCTCTTTCTCTACAAAAATTTTAATACAATTGAAATGAAGACCTAAGGGTCATTTTATATGCTCATATACTTATTAGCTGTAGAGTCTTTTTCTTCTTCTTCTTACTTTTGTTAATTAAATAATTATTGTCTGCATCAGTTCAGGGGAGTTTCGGATGGGCAGTGTGGTAGGACGGGAATGCATTCAATACTAGAGTCCATTATATTGAGGGAATGATAACTGGATACCTATTATGTCCTGTTGCTTACAGTAAGTGATTTATACATTATTTCTAAGACATAACAACCCAAGGAAAAAGTTATATATTATTTCCATTTTATACACAGGGAAACTGAGGCTCTGAGAGGTTAAATAACTTGTCTGAAGCCACATAGCTAATAAATAGTTGATGTGGTTATTAATCCAGCCCTGCTTCAAACCACAGCTCACAGATAAGTGATCACAACAAGAATAAATTTCAGGGACTGACGAACCTGTCTCAAAGACTTATTTGATGTTTCTTGTACATTTGGGAAGCACTTGTCTCCACTCTCTGTTGTTGTTGAGTCGATTTCAACTCACAGTGACCCTATAGGATGGAGTAGAATTGCCCCATAGGGTTTCCAAGGAGTGGCTGGTGGATTTGAACTGCTGACCTTTTGGTTAGCAGCTGGGCTTTTAACACTGTGCCACCAGGGCTCCTTGTCCCTAGTAAGAACATTTAATTCTCTCTGTTGTGAAAACTATTCTCAAAATTTTAGAGCAAAGTATATGTCATTGTTTTACTTTTAACTTGGAGTGGGTTGTTGGAGAGAAGATTAGGAAAGACAGAAATTAGGGTCTAGTTTTGCTTCTCTACCCATTCAGAGACAAGTCCCTCACATATCTCCTTAAGATAAAAGAAAATAATAATTCCCTTTGTTTAGCCTCCAGGGACACTGGAAGGATTAATGATAGTACATATACAATTCTTTGGCTCTCTTGGAAGAAAACTGCTATTCCAGTGGAGAGATGATTCATTGAGTATATTCAAAACATGCAAACACAATTCATGTGGGGATGGAAAGTACTGAGAGATTTTCTAGAACTCACCCTGTAATAACACTGAAATCATAGTCAACAGGCCACCTTCGAATAGAATCTAAGACTAATTCTATTGTATCATCAAAAAAACTGACTTTTCCTGAATAATCGTCATGAGCACTTAAGTATTTCTAAAATGTAGCCAACCTTTTAAATACAGACTTTACAAATAATTTTACATCTTGATACATAATTACACAGCAGATTTTTATGATTTCCTTTATATACTTTGAGGAAAATTGCATTTGCCAATAGAGTCAAAATTAAACAATCATATTTAACCATACTTTATAGAAGGTTTAATACAAAATATAATGTCAAATAATGAGATCACAAAATGTAGCACTAATGAAAGATTAGGGCAAATAGGCTTAAAGTGAGGAAGAATATGTTTGATAACTACATAGCTCAGATTTTATGGAGTATTCGAGATTCCAAATACCCTGTTCCATTGTTGACATAAACTATTGAAAAGGCCCAGGGATTTAAATATTTAGCATGCAAGTTAGAATTTTCACAGACTTTTATATCCAAAAGTGTATAGAAATCTTTTTAAGAACATATATTCTGATTTTTTGATACAGAATATAAAGTAAATGTAGAAAAAAAATCCAATAAACGTTGAAGCAGAATGAGTTTTACAAAAGGTATTGATAAAAAAAAAAAAAAAAGTAGCTCCTTCAAGAGAAAATGAAGAAAACTAAAGACACAAGGGAAAGATTAATCCGAAGGACTAATGGACCACAACTACCATGGCCTCCACAAGACGGAGTCCAGTACAACTAGATGGTGCCCGGCTACCACCACTGACTGCTCTGACAGGGATCACAACAGAGGGTCCCTGACAGAGCTGGAGAAAAATGTAGAACAAAATTCTAACTCAAAAAAAGATCAGACTTACTTGTCTAAAAGAGACTGGAGAAACCCTGAGAGTATGGCCCCCAGATACCCTTTTAGCTCAGTAATGAAGTCACTCCAGAGGTTCACCTTTTAGTCAAAGATTAGACAGACCCATAGAACAAAATGAGGTAAAGGGACATACCAGCCCAGGGGCAAGAACTAGAAGGAGGAGGGGACAGGAAAGCTGGTAATAGGGAACCCAAGGTCAAGAAGGGAGAGTACTGACATGTCACAGGGTTGTTAACCAATGTCATAAAACAATATACATACTAACTGTTTATGAGAAGTGAGTTTGTTCTGTAAACATTCATCTAACGTACAATTAAAAAAAAAAAAAGAGATAGGAAAAAAAAAGTAGCTCCTGGCATCCAGGAGCTGGCCTGGTACCCACAGCTAGGCTGGGATGTTCTCCTATTGAACATAAACAATTTCAAAAAACACCAATATAAGACAAAGCCAAACTGTGACACTGACTGATCAAGACAAAAACAAGATCACTCTGTAATCATGTAGAACATAAACAAAAACATGAACATTGTCCCAAATCACACAAATTACCAATGTTCCCATATCCTCACTAACAAGAGTAACAGCTGCTTCTTTGCCAGTGACAGCTTTGGCTTTACTCTGTCATTCTTGCATTCTAGTTAAGAATTAAGATATTCAGTCATAGAATCTCTCCCCCTATCTGACAGTATCCAATCCAGAGTAAAGCTTCACTTCCTTGAACCCTCCTTCCAAATCTTACAAGGCCCAAATAAGCCTACTGTAAGTCTTTTCTAATGCTCTCTGATTGAGAGATTCTGCAGTTTCCCGTGGTCTGTGTTCTCCATCATTGCAACAAGCAAGAAAACCTAATTTTGTTCAGCTACAGATGGGTTCTTGGTGGGTTTTGGCTGAAGGGAATTGACATAGTAAACATAAACATTCCAACAGATAAAAACAAAACATGCTCATTTTGTTATAACAATGTCATCAATACCAGGTAAAACTTGTTTTTTCAAAGGATACAACAATTAAAAATGGAACCAATGATTTTGTGGACCAGCATCCAAGTACTATCTCTATCTCCCTCTTATTTTAATTCTGAAAACAATTGTATCAGGTAGCTGTTACTAACTGGAAAAGAAATGAAATAATCACATAGTTGAACCAAAGTAGGAAACAGAACCTTAGTATGTGTATAAAAATCACAAAAATTAATCAGAAACAACAAGAAAGACTGAAATGAATGAATAGGTGGCATGAACAAATCAACACTTTAAATCACAAATAATGCATATGTTGTTAAAGCTTAATTTGAAATTTAACATAAGTTGAGAAGACGCCACAGGACACTTATTCAAGTTTATGGAAGCGCTGGTCATTAGCAGAAACAAGAGGGGCTTAATCATCCACTTTGAGAAACCAATCTTATACTGATCTAAGGTCAACTGGACTGTAGTTGACCATACCTGATGATTCTTTACCTGCACCACGTTTCTGAAATATCACAGACTAAAGTGATTAAGGTAGTGGGTCTCAAACTTTAATTGTTCATACAAATCACCTGGGGAATCCTGCTTAAAAGCAAATTTTGATGAAATAGGTTTGGAGTGGAGTCCAAGGTTCTTTCTCTCTTCTTAACATGTTCCCAGGTGATGTCAGTGCTGCTAGTCCAAGGATCATAGTAATTAGCAGAAATATTGTAAGGGCAGGCTGGAAAGCTTCTGGGGCTGATGCTCACACCTGCAACCCTCACTTACTGAACTTATAACCCATGGCAAGGCCTAATACTTGGTCGAGCGAGGGTTGGAGTTGGCAATTGGAAGTTATCTGGCAGCCTAAGGTTGCCCTGGCAGTATTGGGGTAGCTAAACAATGAAGATGTTTCCTACTGCCTTAACCACTAATCACACTCCACCAAGAAAAGACTAGGATGTTCCCTTTCTGGATTAAAGGCAAAAGGAACTCTTCCTTTACTGGGATCACCCATCGTATCATTTTTGTCTCTTTGTAACTCTACAACCTTCACTTTCCAACATATTCCCTCCTCCCTCCAATCCCAGCTTTTCAAGTCAAGCTTTATATAAAATTCATATCTTAGGCATTAGTTGTTGTAGGCACCATAACTAGTCAGTTGTAGTGGTGGTACATAAGAATTCTCAGGAGAAAAAAAGGCAGTCAGCACAGTTTACAAATGAGGAAACCAAGGCCCAGAAAAGTGGTGAAAAATAGTTAAGGCACATACTGGTGGGAGAACTAAGGCCCATCATTAATTCCAAGACCTGAGGTCTCTCCTCTATACCATAATAATAGCTTTACAGATTTTAGGACTTAGTATAATATCTTGAACATAGTAAGCTCTCACGTGTTCGCTGAACATTTTGTTGAAAAGGAAGCAAATATTTATCTGTAAGGGAAATACTAAACTCAAGCTGTTAAATCAGACCAATGATAATGGTTGGTAGAATACCTGCTTCCTATTTTTGTTACTGCTCTCATGTCATTAAAGAGACCTCTAGAAAATCAAGGAACCAATTCATAGTTCATAGTCTAACCAGACTTCTAATAATATATCCAGATTTAAAACAATTGAAAAATCATTTTGCTTTTGTATTGAGGAAAAATGAGATTCATGTAAGTGTCAAGAATGTATGATAGCTTTTTGATCTACTACAAAGTATATTGATAATCAGTTAAGGAACCAATATAATAAAACCAAGAGAAGTTAAAATTGTTGTTAAACACTCTTTTTTTTTATGAAAACAATTACCAGTTTGAGACTGCAGAACTTTGGAATCTTCAGACATTTTAGTTGTAGGTGCGATCCATGGCTTTTCACTTGAAGCTATAGCAAAAAGAAATGGAATTTGCTAAGATTTTTTGAGAGGAGCAAGAGAGAAATATGTTGTTGGTATGGTTAAGTAGCTAACAGAGGCCTGCAATAAAGAGCATGTACTGATTCAATTAACAATCATTATGTATTGAGAAAAAAATCAACGTGTATCCCCATCCAAAGAGCATTTGCTTAGTGGTTAGAAAGAGGCTGGAGCTTTTGACATTTTTGAAGGCAGAAAACCAACTACATGGGCTATGAGGAATTAACAGACTGATAATATTTACTGAATTTATAGGAAATATAACCAAATAGTTTTTTTGTTGTTCTTTTTAACCAAATTAGCCACTTGTTTGGCTGAGTTAACTGATTTCATTAGTTCATCAGGGTTTGCATATGTCCCACATAATTAAGCAATCACCACCCACATCCTTAACACCAGATTTAAGGTGCTGTCATTACCCAAGGTGTCCCCAGGTTTCTCAAAAGGGAAGGGTGTTTTTGCCCAAGGAAATTCTGGAAGTCTGTTTGGAGCTGGAATGAAACACACAAGAAAAGTTAGGACCTGAGGTGTAAGTGACAGAGGAAAGATTTAAAAATCTCAAGCTTGCAAAACAAACACACAAAAAGGCAAATTATCTCATGTCAAGTAAGGCACCTTTAGTAGTATTTCTTACTGCTGTGTTTCAATGCTGGTTAATATAATAAAGCTTCCTTTTCCTTTTTTTAAATAATAATAGTTGTTAAATTTGGGGAATTTGGGCTCTGATTAAACTACTTTCCCCTTTGCTTCAGCTATCTGTATGTGTGCTGTTAGATATATCTTGTTTAAATTCAAACCAAGCAACAAACACATCTGAACAAGAAAATGTCCATATAATAGCTTTTAAAAATACAATTTCGATAACTACATGGCTTTGTGTTTAAGTTCCCTCCCCCCAGGTTTTTTTATATTCCACACAAAGAAACTCTAAGAATTCTAAGAGGCAGTCTGCAGAAATATCATAAACATATCTTCTCTGTCAAGAGGCAGTTAAGTAAAAACATTTAGGAAAAATATAGAAAATATCAATTCGTTCAGTAGCACAATGATGTTGAATTAAAAGAATCAAACACAATATCAGTATATAGCCACAAAAAAGAAAACAGCCAAAGGATTTGTCATACAAGACAGCCTCTTCGGGATCCTCAATTACAAAATTAAGATTTTAAAACATTTAAGGGCTTGGGTGTTGGGGAGCTTATTGCTCTATAAGCCATTTGTCCCTTCTTTCCTGGGAGGGGATAAATATGAATGAATTAACTTAAGGACTACTTTCAAGCATGCATAAAATTCCCAAGGTAATAATAAAGCTACAGCGTTGAATAATTGTTACCTAGAGTGCTTAGCGGCAATTCAAACGCAGGCATTAGAATAGTTTGTGATGTTTCTGGGGTCCTTTCGCTGAGAACTATGATAAAGAAGAATGTGGTTAGTACTTCCTTGTCTCAGGATTTGACACTGTGGATCAACCATGACCATGCGGAGCATGCTTCATAACTAGGGCTCATGTGTGCACTGGGCAGCAGATGCCTTTCATGGAAATGGCTGGCTTTCCCTGGAAAAGTGTTACATAGCTGTTAAAATTTGAAGGCATACTTTCAAAGGGTAGTGGTGTGGCGTGGAAGACCAACATTACAAATACAGAATTGAATACATGCTGCTTCTTTAACCTTCAGGGTAAGAAAACAACAAAGCAAGTCAGATTCTCTTGGGCCTTTTGCTACCACAAGGGACATGAAATTCTGATAAAAAAGGAATCACACCTTTGGGGAATCTCTCCTAGTTTAGTGTGCACAAGACTTCCAAAATCCCATCTAAGCAGAAAACACAGACATAGTCAAGTCTTCCTGGTCTCCCCCACCCCTTCAAGCTTTTGCGGTTAAAAGGCTGGCATTCTGTTTTTGTATACAACTCAAGAGCCTTATAAAAAGGTAGTGCAGTTAGCATCTAGCATCCGGATTTGCCTAGAATGTCAGTAACCAGGATCAAGGCAAGTTGTTAACGCTTTGGTGGAACTGGTCCAAAAAAGAGGAAGGTAAACTATTAGCAGGAAGATGGGGTGGGGGGAAGAACATAAAGAAGCTGACACATTGAAGTTACTTCTCTGTGAGTGTTGGGAGGGTTATTTGGGGGGTAGTGGTTAGCTTTTCAAAGAAAGAAAAGTTCTTAGATTTACCTAGTACTGCTTCTGAAATGTCTAATGCACTAGGCACAGAGGATTTAGTGGTTCTTGGAACTGTTTCAGGAGTCACTGAAAAGTAGAAAAGGCAACTTTACTAATTAAGATAAAATGATGGAGCAACCGAAGACCATGAGACATTTTCGGTTGCCCTTTAGAATTCATAATTGATATTTACATGACCCATTCTCTTCAAGTGGCTTATGTTACAGACTCCCCGCTCCCTGGCTTACCCCAGTCACCTAAGCTGAGTCTTCCCTCACCCTTCCCCACTGCGTTTGATTCACTTTCTATCTGCTTCAAAAGGCACACTGAACGGACCTCCACTGGAGCACTTAATCAGGTTCACCATAAATTTTTTTATTTGTCTGCCTTTTTCTCTTTAAATCCAGGTCTTTGCACAAGGCTTGGATATAGCAAGCATATAAGTGTTTACTGAATAGATTAATAAATGGGCAGATAAAAGAATGGCCCGGGGGAAAGGTTTATTTAGAGTTATTACATTATAATATTTCTCTCTTCCAAACTGAAGCCAACATGCAGAGCTTGGAACTGGGTTGCAATCATAATTGGGAATCAAATGCTCAGTCACTGGGTTGTCCCAAGTACTGAGTCAAAGGCAAAGCAGACCTCAGGTGAACAGTTTAAGAAAAATAAAAACCAAGGTCACTGAGGTCTGGTATAAATTTTGAACTAGAAAGTCTCAGAATTTTGAAGGGTGAGGACATGAAATAAACACAGTAACACTGAACAATAAGTGGTAGTATTTGCTTAAGTGTTTCTCAAGTGGAAAATTCTGAGGCAGGATTGGCAGAGAACAAAGAAATATATAGACTCTCCCATCAGCCGTTGTGCCAAGAGAAGAAAGTATAATTGGGAACATGGGTAGAATCTCTGAGGCAGAAGAGGATTTGGAGTCATCTACTGGGTCATGCCTATGCTTTTTTTGCTGCTGACAAATTTTACTGAAATAGTAATAAAAACTACCTAGGAATTTTCATCCTAATGGATTATTCCAGCAGCTTAAATAGCTTCTACCTCTGCCCTGACCCCATGAAGTTGAGGCTGAAACGTCCATCTCTCTCCTTTAAGCAGAACTATATTCTTCTTGCTCTGTCAGAAGTATTCTTACTTGAATAGATACGCTTTCTTGAAACCAAGTTATTCTGTTTCTCCACCAATCTCTATCCAGTGATATTACAAGGTACGGCAATTTTTTCAATAAAAATCCACTTAGATTGGAGTTACTTTTCTAAATGTGGATTGTGGGGAATTCTTGCCAGATATTCATTTCACCAACTCCTGTATGGGTGCTATGGCTCTGGCAAGAACTCTGTAATCCAGAGAACAATATTTCCTCAGTGGGCTGGACTTGTGTAGCTCATCGAGAGAGGAAATGATGAGTGTTTGTTAGTAACAATTGATAAACTATGGGGGAAATGCTTACCACGTTTATCCTTTAAAGTATTTTTACCAAACTATTATATATTTTCTATGCTAGAATCCTAAATCTTCCACAAGACACTTGTTTTTAAGTGATTCCAAAGCACTTTCGTAGGTAGCCATGGATTTGTGAGGGATATAGGACATTTCACTAAACTGACTACTTGTGAAAGTAAAGAAAGGAAAAATAGGCTCAGGTCTTCATAAAAAAGAAAGCACCAAAAACATAGTATAAGTATAAAACATATAAATATAAAACATTCCAGAATGTTGAGGTATCTATTCAAGTAAGAATACTTCTGACAGAGCATACTGCACATCATTTGTATGATTCAATATTCCATTTTGTATCTGTTGTCTTTCCAAAGATTAGATTAAGGACCTGGAATCTTTAACTGTTTTTTTTGCTTAAGAGCAAAATGAATTTCCTACTGACTATTCACTGAAAAAAGTACAGACTTGCAGATCATTCACTATTTGGAAAATATGCTATTTATTCTTTCAAAAAATCAGGAACATAGGGCTCTCATTACCTGTTATGGGCTGTGCTGGAATTTTTTCTACTTCTGGTGTTTTAGATTCTGCAGGTAACACCAGGGTTTCATTCTTAGCTAAAAAGTCAGAGAACAAACAATTTACCTCATTTCCTTTTAATACAATTTCCAAAAACAGTTCATTCAAAACAATCAAACACCAAGACCTTTTCAAGCAATCTGTTCTGCTCCCATCCCTTCCTACCGGTCAAAAACTTTATTGGCAACTAGTATGTGTTCCTTTTAATTAGCTCTAGCTAATTCTTTAAGCTCTAAATTGGCAATGAAATAAATCACAACCCAGTACGTGGGTATGTCTCAGGTCATTCTGACTGATAAAGAGAGGTTCTGGAAGGCATAGGTTGTAGTTTAAATGCTCTCTGTAATTTTATATTCCAGTACCTCTAATTAATAAGGAATTAGGGAATAGAAATCTTCCATGGCAAAAACATGGCAAAAAACATAATAGGGTATAACAATGAAATTTCGAAAAACACAACTGTTACACATAGGAAGCTAAATTATTTGAAAACATTTGTGGGAGAAAAATACCAACAGTTAATACATTCTATGTGAGCCACATGTTAACATGGTTCTTTTCTTTTGGTGTCTTTGGGAATTCAGTGCAAAGAACGGAGGCAGTTTTTTTTCCTCTTAGGCAACCATTTTGGACACATTTCTAAAATTGAGGCACTTTTTTCAAAGACTCTAACCCATAGTTTCACAGTGATTAAGATATTCTTCATTTAAAACATATGCTTAGCATGAACTATATTCAGTTATTTAGCACACTGAATTAATGACTCATAATATTTTGAAAGAGTCTAGTGATCCGAAAGAATTCGTGCATCTTTGAGACTCCCTGATCTCACCACCTTGAGCTGATTAAATGTTGAAAGTATCGACTATATTGCTCATATAATTAGAATGGGATTTTTTTCAAGTCCTAAGACTGTGCAGAACTTCTTAGGTTCCTCAACTTCACCATGAATCATTTTGGACCAGGTACTTTTGTTGCTGTTGCAGGGCTTTGCTGTGTACTATAGGATGCTGAAACAGCATTTCTGCCCTCTACCCACTGGATTCCAGCAGCATCCCCCAGTTGTGATGGCCAAAAAATGTCTCCAGACACTGCCGAATACCCAGTAGGGGAAAAAATCATGCATGGTTAAGAACTACTGACCTAACCTGTTCTCTCAAAGTCCTCTGGGGATGCAAATTCTATAACCTCCTTCAGTAGTTAACATAATTATTGTAATTATTATAAACAAAAGCTTTTCCTCTTGTCTAATCCAAAGGGTGAAGTAAAGACCATTTTCTTCTTTTCAGTGGAAGTGGGCACATAATATTCACTTACTTCTGATGGATTTAAAGACAATTATAAAATCATCCCTTTCATAATGCTTACAGAAACCAGTCAATTTTCAATCTCTATTTATGGAGGCTATGAGTCAGAAGCCACTCAATGGCACGCCACAACACCATCATTGATGGAGGCATGTACAGATTCCTACATAGAGCTAATGATTCTCAGGAATGATTTCAAATGCTAGAAATAAATGTCACCAACGGGAGTGCACTTGGCACTAATAGTCAAGCGTATGTTAGGTTCATGTGAACATGAAGTCTTTCACACCATTTTTAATTTAGCAGGACATAAAGAAAGGGAACTCTCTGCAATAACTGAAAAAATAGACTCCAATATAATTTTATAACTTTTATTTTTAAAATGTCTAAATTTTATCAGAAACTGATACCAACAATTTTTTTTTCCTGCTTCTTTTGTAGCAACAACTTTGGTTTCCAACCGTTCTGATCGTTAGCTCAGGAAGAAACATTCGGAATCCAAATTATTCATGTACTGTGGCCCTATTATTGTCAGCATGCATCATAGGAAATTTTTTTTTTATGAGCAATTATGAAGTTTTTCTTTAATGATATCTCCCTTTTCACTGTCCTCTTTTCATCAGGACACCTTGGCTAATAGTCTCCCACTTAATAGCCGACACTCTCAGTGGTTCCCTGGCTGACTAAGACCTCTTTTCTTTTTCTAACTGCCAGATCCAGACTTTCACAGGCAATGCTCTGAGTTGCTTTGCTTTACTCCTTACATTCAAAACATGCCTTTAGCTGGGAGTCATATTAACTTAAAATTAAGTTGTTAGTTAGGAAAGATGGCAAACTACTTTCCTAAGGGGATGCTTGTGTTTTTTATACATCACTAACTCTTTATAAGGAGCCCTGGTGGTGCAACGGTTAAGTGCTTGGCTGCTAAAGACTGAAATCACCAGCAGCTCTGCAGCAGAAAAGATGTGGCAGTCTGCTTCCGTCAATATTACAGCCTTAGAAACCCTATGGGGGCAGTTCTACCCTGCCCTTTAGGGTCACTATGAGTTGGAATCCACTCAACGGCAATGGGTTTAACTCCTTATAAAGGCATACTACCCTATTTCTAAATGTGACATTTCAGATATAAGAGAAATTGGTAGATGGGGAAGATAATTAAATGGGGGAATCCTTCTGTGTCCCCCATATCAAGCCATGGGCATTTGCCTGCTCTATCTACATACAACTGCAATCTTGGCAATTAAAAAAAACAAAAGTTGCCATGGAGTCTATTCTGACTCACAGTGACCCTATCTATAGGACAGAGTAGAACTGCTCCATAGGGTTTCCAAGGAGCGGCTGGTGTATTTTTTGGTTAGCATCCATAGCGTGCTGTAGCTCTTAACCACTGTGCTAACAGGAAAGTAAAATGCCTCCAGAACATGGCCTAAAACCCAGGAAATTCCTTTTCCTCTCTTATTCTTCTGGACCTTTTTCCAACACAGTTGTTATCATTCATTTTGGGCAGGCTTACTCTTGGCTTTGGCAAACACTTTGTACATCCCTTGGAGATGTGTGTGCAGTATTAGTTTTCTTGTTTACTTCTCTCATTATTCACACCATGTGTTCTTACCACAAAAGCTATTACAGGTCTTGATGTCTTGTGATGAGCCCTGCTGGAACAGGGATATTATTTTTAGGATTTACCCTCTCAAAAAGTATGACTTTACTGAATTTTCAGTGAAACTTAATTAACTTCAAGAAAGTTTATTTCTCCCTTGGTAGTATTATAAAGTCTTTAAGCCCACACTCTCTCTCTTTCTTAAAATAGTAAGTTTAAAATGTGTTATTTAAAAAAATGTATTCTGTTAAGATGGTACATTTGATAGGCAGGATTTTCCTTGGATTTTCTAGGTGTTTTCAAACATACTGTCTACCACCTCTTTAATGGGTAAGCAACTTTCCATGTGTTAAATTTGCCATGTATCAAGTTGAAGATACATTCCTCCAGAAATATAAGGAGGATATTTGTTACTTGCAATAATTTTTCTTCATTAAAATCATACTCATTGCTTGAGAGAATCAAAACCATAAATAAATAATCAACTATATTTAATTCCCTAAATAAATCAAAAAAGCTCAACTAGAATTAAGGTAGTATGTGGAACTTTGTGAAAAAATTAGGAAATACCACTCAAGACTAGGAACTAGGCAATAGAACTACTTCCAGTTCAAAACTAATAGCAATGGTCTGGGAGAAAACTCTTAATTTTCAATCTCCTTTACAAACCCTGGTTTCTGTAGTTTGGTGAATATATTAGAGACCAAATTAGCAAGATATTGACCAGTTTCTTTTTTTCTTCTTCCCAACAAGTCTTTCCCAGGTATGGGGTAAGTTATACAGGTTCTGGGTAAAGAACTGGTGAGTGCAACAGTCCTGAACTTGGATTCCAAGAACAGGTTCACTGAGGAAATTTAATTTTGAGGCTTCCTGGAAGTACATTTACATGATGTACAGTTGTGTGTACACCAGGGCTTTGAACCAGTTCTTCCCGTTTCAGTCATGGCTCAGGAAGTGAAACTGGAACAGACTTGAATTTTAAAAATTTAGGTGAACTGGAATGATAACCGGAATGGAAAAAATTATGAGTCGAAGCCCTGCTTGAAATCTAAACTCCCTCTTAGAAAACAAGGGCAGCATATGTGTTGTGTAGCAACCAAATCTCTTGCCCATCAGATTTTGAGCAGAGTCAGAAACAGCACTTCCCGGCTCAAAGATGGTGGCCGAATGTGCGGCTTTGAATGTGTGTCATTCTCCACAGTCCTGCCAATAATCCAATCTCATGTACCAGGATCTTGAAGGGGCTCACTACACCTCTTCCAAGTTTCCCATTCCAGGGCTTTGACTTCTAATTTTTCCCATTCTGGTTATCATTCTGGATTACACAAATTGTAAAAATTCAGGTCTGTTCCAGTTTCTCATCATCAGCCATGACTGAACTGGTTTGAACCACCTCGAAGCCCTGGTGTGCACAGCCCTCCAGGTGCTATAGAGACAATTCAGAGCCTAAGCTGGTAACTAAATGCAACAGCTAACTCAGACCAGTGACCACCACAATTATTTCCTGGCCTCTATTAAGTGGATTTTACTGTTTTATTTTTAACTGATAGCTTTAACACTGAAATTATATCCGTTCTTTGTAGAGGTAAGAAACAGTGTCAGTCTCACATAAATAATGATTCTAATAAATCTGACCTTTACATCAGTTCTTACTGAAAATATCTGGAGGGCCCTTGATAGTGTAGTATAAAAAGTGTTATGTGGAATAATTACTCTATTTGAAAATTATACCTCCATAAATGTGTATATTTTGATGATTCGATAAATATTCACTCTTCTTTTATAAATACAAATTGAAAATACAAATGTAAAGTTGTTTTGCTTCGGGATATGATTTATATTAATACACCCAACCTCCCTACCCTTACTTTTTACTTTGAGAGCCCCAAACATCTCTTTGCAAGATTCCTTGAATATCCTAAGAATATCAGTGCTTGTACAGTCACTAAAACAAGTTGTGGTTGAGTCTATTCTGACTCAAGGCAACCCCGTGTGTGTCAGAGTACAACTGTGTTCCATAAGGTTTTCAATGGCTAATTTTTTGGAAGTAGACTGCCAGGGCTTTCTTCTGAGGTGCCCCTTGGTGGACTTGAATCTCCAACCTTTTGGTTAGCAGCCAAGCATTTTAATCATTTGCATCAAGAAACTCCACTCAGTCACTAATACCGAATATAGAACTTTGCTGCTTACCCAACTGTGACTTGATTGCATCAGAGATCTCAAGCATTATGGATGTGGGAAGTTTTATGGTGGTGTCATTCAGACCTGGAACAATAAGATGGACTACAAAGAAACAAGTAAATCAGATAAAGGGAAGAAAATGCAATGCTTCATAAAATAAAGCTCAGAGTATCAAAGACTAGAAACTATGAAGCTTAGCACTTATTTTAATTAATTGTAACCAAAAGTTTAAAATGCTGAAAAATATATGATAATATCTTCTAAATAGACTTTTTTTTTTCTTTTTCCTATTCAGAACTGACCTTCTAAAATCCTCTGACTTCTAATCCTTAGACTCAAAAACTGTACAGTGGCTGCTTAAGATGTATGGTGAACAGGGAACACCATTACTACTAATAATAATTTTTAAAAGAGCAACTCAGTATGTTTTAAAAAGACTCCCTCATAACTGCAAACAATCCTGGGGTGGGGGGGGGGGCATGTAGGATGGACTGCATCATTCCCACTGGGCATTTCATGAACACACCCTATTGACTGAGCATCTCTTGGCTCCTAGTGTAGGATGGCCACATGTCAGGATGCTAAACACTGAAAGGAAATGAACCAACATTAATTTAACAGACCTGCTCATAGTGCAAAACTCTGTAAGGGCCTGAGTACCAAAAGATCATCTGACTTGCTAGATTTAGACACAGACGTCAAGATTTACTCACCTACTATTGTTTCTCCCAAGGGAGTCTTATATGGAGATTTAATTGAAGTAACATTCTGAATCACTGTTGGAAGACAAAAAGACAATAATGTGATGGAGGGAAAAATAGTTAGAAAGTAGTAAGAAGCTGATAACGAGAAACCATTTGCACTGGGGTAGCCTTGATTTAACTTTACCAATTAATACAAAGCAGTTTACAGGCCTAGCTACACAACCAACCAAGGACTGGAAGATACATCTTACCTTAACATCTATGCCTTTAAGTAATGAAAGGCTATTCTATTATAAATGTATTCCATTCTCATTAGCTAAAATTTCCTTCCTATCTCTATCCCCTGCAGCCTGCCCTATCCCCAAGTCAATAAGAATTAGCATAAAATAAAGCAATGGCCCCGTAATTAAAAAAATAAGAAAATGAGTAAAATCAAAGAATCTCTGGATAATGCAAATACTAACCCACCTTGTTCTGACAGTACACTTGGGACACTGTGTTTTCTTAAAATGAAGAACTATTTTAAGTAGTCAATCTCTTCCACCAAGAATTTTTTTGGAAATAATGGAGTCATTTTAATAACTAAAAAAACTGGAAGCCAAACCAAAAACAACTGGATGCTGAAATAAGACATTATAATTTGTGAAACCTGAAGTCTTTCCCTAAAGTAACCACTGAAATCATAGTCTTCCTTTATATTAACCTAAATGTCCTCTTAGTGATTTTCTTCATGTATGCTAATGGAATACTGAGTAAACCCACACATATTTAATTGACTTTTTAAAATTTAATACTTGTTATGGGTGCTCGGTCCCTAGTTGACCAGTCACTGTGACTTGCCCAAGACTTGGCATATTAGTACAAGAGCCAGAATGATCTATTAACTTTTAATTTACTTGACCATACTGGTTTCTTCAAACTTTTTTCAAAAAACAACGATCAGGAAAAGTGAGGAAATAGGTGCTATGTTTAATTACTTCAGTTCAAAAGTATAGTTTTAAAAGGTTCTAAACACATATCCAGAGTAGACTCAAACAAATCACCTTGCTTGATGATCGTTATTGGGATTGGCTTTCTTGGGACATATGCTGGCTGAAAAGAGAGGAAGAAAGTCAGCTTTTTAGTCAGTGTTAGTAACTTGGGTTTGTTTTCACTTTCCAACAAATCAAAGAACAGAAAGTAGCTTTTGCTTGTCTTCAATGAAGCCTCCCGTGACACTGGTTTACATAGTCGCTGGACAGATCTTTAGTACATACATCTCTCTCTCTCTCTTTTTTTTTTTTTTTTTTTGGCTCGCTTTGTTTTCCCATAAATGTCCAAAGATTTGACAGAAGCAATGTCTTCAGAACTCAGTTTAGAGAACTCCCGCTGATCCTACTGGAGAAATGGTCAGGTTACTTAGAAACTGTGATGGAAAGAAACTAAATCCTCTGTCTTGAATATTAGTTTATTTTCATTTCATTTGACCCAGCCCAATTCTGCCTTCACATTCTCTCAAAAATATGTTAAGCTCCATATTATCTCTTAACAGTCAAGATCAATTGTGTGATTGTATCCAATTACTACTGCTACTACTACAGACACCATTACTGCCATGTACTCCTGACACTCACCAAGCATTAACTGGGCCGAGAAAGCAGAGCTCTTACTTAGATATTTCTTACTCTAAAGCCTGTACTCTTAACCATACTGCATATATTTATGCCAAAGAATCTCAGAATTAGAAGGGCAGGTCCCAAGATTCCGTGCTTCCTTTTCCTCCCCCGGTTGCCTCAGTGATAACACTGGAAGCTTCGAATGTTATGTTAGGGGACCCTAGAGGCAGAGGACACCTAATTAATTAGTACTCCACCAGTTATCAGGCCACTCCCAGTCACCTCCCCACCGTGTCACTCACTTCCTCTAAGTTGTTTTGCAGGCTCTCTGGAGAGCCCCGACGCATCCAGATCTAACCGGCTCAGAGTGGTCAGACATGCGTAGAACAGACAAAGATGATCGACAGATGACCCGAGGCCACCACAGATGCTCAATAACAGAAGAAAACCCATGCCAAGGAATGAAAAGACTCATGTCAAAGAACCAAAACCACCTGACGTATTTCATCTGCAGTAGCCGAGCCCATTTCAAAAGCAAAGAGTCTGCCGGCCACTTCCGTGCCAAGTCTTAACCCTGCCCCAGAATAAGCAAGAGAAACTATGAACGTGTAGAACTTTCTGATCCTGCCCACCTGTCTTCCTCCAGCCCTATATGAATATGTGTAATTCCTCAAACCTATAAAATATAAATGCTTTCTCAAATCGAGGAACTCAATCTGAGGTCGATACCTCTGAGTTCCTGCTTGCTAGCCTGCAAAATAAACTCTTCCTCTTAAAACCAGCATCTGAGTGATTGGCTCCTTGCACGCTGGGCACGGACCCATTGGTCCAGTTTCAGTCATAGTGTGGTTTCAACTAGGGGTAGGTTTAGTGTTAACACTCAAGTGGAGTTACTGACATACTTTATTGTGAGTCTGTTACCTAGACTAATGAAGAAAAGAAACATTGTGATAATTTCCAAGATAAGTGTTCAGCCAGTGGCAACCCAATTTGAATTGAACTTTTTTATATGCAATTGTTTTTCAAAGGTACCGCTAGCCTTTCCTTGCTGTCCTAGGCTTGTTGTTATGAACATCCGTTCACGTGTATTGGGTGTGGACGATGTGGGCTGTAGGGGTGGCGAAGGAGGCAATGAAAGTCCACAGCTACTGCGAAGTTTGTGGCTCGTATGGCACTGGTTTTCTTTTTAGGCCACTTTCTTGCTGGCTCCCTTCTCTGCAGCTCATTCCCGCTGCAAACCTCCAGCACCACTTCCTTACACAGCTCTCGCCCCTCCCTTTATTCAGCAAATATATTTTGTAAATGTTTACTATATGCCAGGAGTCCCTAGGTGGTGCAAATGGTTAATGCACTTGGCCACTAACCAAAAGGTTGGAAGTTCAAGTCCACCCAGAGCTGCCTCAGAAGAAAGTGATGATAATCTACTTCTGAAAAATTAGCCACTGAAAACCTACAGAGAACAGTTCTACTGTGACACACATGGAGTCGCCATTGAGTCAGAATCAAGTCGAGGACAACTGGTTTATACGCCAGAAGCTAAGCATATTTCCCTCCTGTCCTGTAAGAGATACTTCATTTTATTTTGGGTGGGGATTGAGATATCTTGCCCCTTAAGAACCTAGGTTGCCCTTGAAACTATTGCCTTGAGATAATCTTTAAACCTTAAGTCAAAAATATCCCAAGTCTTCTTAAAATCAAACAATAGTTTAGCTAAACTAGTAAAGAATGTCTGCCTTGAGCATTGTACTTCTTCAAGATCTATCTATATGGAATCAAACTGACAACAGCAACTGGAAAGGTTAGATAGGAAATTTAGGAGGCGGTGAGCTTATGTTAATGGGGAAGAACAACTCAGAAAAGGAGGATGAGAATGGTTGCACAACTTGAAGAATGTAATCAATGACACTGAATTGTACTTGTAGAAACTGTTGAATTGGTGTATGTTTTGCTTTGTATATTCTGAACAACAACAACAAAATAAATTAAAGAAAAAAAGAAGAAGAAAAAGAAGAACCCAGGTTGAACTGTAGTCTGAGCAGAGTGTCTGGTTAAGGGAATTCACTTTTACTTTTCCTCTGGGGATGCTGTAGCTGGGCTTCCAGCTGGTGAGACTCAACAGGGAGAGGATGCTACTGGGCAAAGGGCATTGCCTCTGAAGACATGCTTAGCTTGCTTTTTAATCATGGTTAGGGAAGTCTAGACTTATTTAGAAATAACAACAGCAGCAGCCACAGAGGGTAGGGACTTTCTGGTACACCCTGCCTTATACTAACTTCCTCCTGATTATTTTGAAAAAATTAGCTTTAATAAAACCAGTGGTAACACAAGAATACTATTCTTTGCAGGTTATATTTTATAGGTTTGCCCATCTGGCATTTTTGTGGGTCAGAATATTCAATGCCGATTTAACTTTATTTTCAGGCCCTGAGATAAAGGGGGAGCTGTCCATTTGAGGAGTGATTAAGGCTTGCTCAGAATCAAATGTCAATGGCTTAAGAGCCAAACCACATGAGAAGAACTTGGGCATGGTACATTCTGATTTTAATTCCTTTTTCGGATGTGCTAATGAAAGTTACGAACCATGCCAATTGAATCTAACATCTGGCTAAAAGTGTATCTTACATCCTACTCGTGAAAATTTTCAAATTTCTGGTTAGCTGGGAAGGAATCAGACACACATCTTTGATGATATTGTTGGCCTAGATAGAAAATTTTCAAGTTTCTGTCTAAAGGCAAAGATTGCTAAGAATGGAAGGAGACCCGATCTATTCATTGTACACAATCTTAAGAAGTAGGGAACATAACATAATTCTGCCTTGACACATCATTAATCTGATAACTGTAAACACTTTAAAAATTGGAACCATTTGTTTTTTTCCTAGTAATAGACTTGGCTTTCTTAAAAGATGGGTGGATCTCAGAAAAAGGAAAAAAAAAAAAAAAGATCAAAATAGGTAACATATCTCAGTTAAATACTCATTCTGTGGAGATTTGGATTAATTAAATTGTATATTCAAATCTCTGTTAATAAATGCTATATACTTCAAAAATTGATTCTACTTAGTGAACTAGTTACTTAAGTTTTAAAATATAGAGATAATGTGTTAAAATTAGGTCCAGTTAGGTAACCAGCATTCTTTTTACCATCATAAAAAAGAGTGTTTAATATTTCAAAATGGACAAGATAGTGCAATTGTCATAAGTGTGTTTTTTCTTCCTCAGGTACATGGATTCTAAGTGAAATAATTCATATTATGTAGACAGAACTATGGTTTTGTTTATGCATACACCCTTTCTCTGATTTTGTAGAGGTATAGGCAGGGGTGATAATTGAAAGTAATTAACAACTGGCACAACAGAGGCACTAACCAATCAGAACAGAGCCTGCTTCATGTAACCGGCACAGTTGTATTGGTGCATGCAACAGACACCAGTCTAGATACATGAATCATAATATGTAATTTACCAGATGTATAAGATGGGGCTGCATTTAACATTTAAATTTTCAATTGAAATACTATTTACTTCTAAAAGGGATAGCCTAAAGTTCAAATTGTTTTTCCATTTCAAATACTTCCTTTTGGAAGATACTTAGGAGTTTTTGCTGGATATGAAGTTTAGGTGCCAAAAAAAAAAACCAAGCCCATTGCCATCAAGTTGATTCTGATCACGACGTCCTTATGTGTTAAAGGGTAAAACTGAGCTCCATGAGGATTTCTTGACTGTAATCTTTACAGAACCAGATCTCCAAGTCTTTCTTCTGTAGTAGCTGGATAAGTTTGAACCGTGAATCTTTCGGTGAGAAGCTGAGCCCAAACTGTTAGCACCACCCAGAGATCTTAGCAAGTATATATGAATGAAATCATTTTCACTGTGTCCTTTTCTTGAAACCTTAAAAGTAAAAACCTCTGGAATTAATTTCATATCTAGAAATACTGCCTTCTAAGACCAGTCCCAGTGACGAGATGTGTGAATATTCAGATTGATATTGACTTTGCTTGAACTAACATATAACTTTAAAATATCAAATCAATTTTCAGGACCAATTTTATGTGGCTAAGCAAGATAGTAAAAGGCAACCCCAAGCAGTTCCTTTTCAACTTTCCATGTTCCAGAGCTACCCAAGTGCACAGATGTCAATTCATGGAACATTTTTCTGCTGTCCAGAAGGTAACAATGAAGAGAGCTTCACAGAGGAGCCTTAAAATATCTTTTCGATGAACTTGGGTTTCCCTTTGGAAATAACCAAGATCTTTAAACCACAGCTCAGCAGAGCTGGCTGGAGTTGGGGGTACTCCACCTCACAGCTTGAAGTGATAAAATGTCTGGCTTTGTCTCAGAGATGCAGGAAGTTGCTTCCTGACCCCTTCTGGCCGTTTATGGTGAGACAAAGAAATGCAATTTTCTGGGACTAAAACGTCAGTCTTTGCAATCTTGCTGAGTAACTCACCCCAAATGGTATATTCTGCCAAAAGGAAAATGAATTATTGGGTACGATAGCTAGAAAGAAGGAATGAAAAAAATGACATCATTGAGTCACATGAAAACATGACAGCCAAGAGGGTAAGAGATAAGAGACACTTCCTAGGAAACCATTCATAACACAGACGAGGATTGTTCTAGAAGAGGAAGAAAGAGCAACTCTACTCCATTGTGTCCCCTGTGGGGTACAGCACATTTACCTTTCCTACACAATATTGACTGTATTTGAGAGAGAAAAAGCCAAAGGGAACTTAGGGAGTAGCATAATTCAATCCACAGTACTAGGTTAATTGGCTGATTATTTGGAAAAAAATGTATGCTCTAATCAATGTAGCCTTACTACATACAGCAAAATAAAATCCACATAGTTTTGAGTTTGATTATTAAAAATCAAACTATTATGATTTTTTTTAAGGGAAATACTTATCTTCTCTCTGGAGAGAGAAGAATTAGCTAAAATATAATGTAATTGAAGACATGACAATGCAAAAGACTAATACTTTGATTAAGCAAATTTCAAGACATCCCCATTTCAAAAATTCCCGTAAACAAAATTAATTGATAACAAATGTGAGAAAAATGTTTCTAGACGATCTCATGAAGGGTCAGTGTTCTTTAATCTATAAATTCTTTAAACTATTCAATAAAAAACATAAGAAGCCCAATAAACAAAGACTGGAACTAAAGGTCATTAAATGGAAAATAAAAAATGACTAATAAATGAGTGAAAAAAGTACTGTTTTATCAGCAAAGAAACAGAAATCAAAATAATCATTTCAAATTATTATATTACCCCTGGAACGCTCTGTTAACCCAGAACTGAAACCATTCCCGAAGTCCACTCTTCAGACAGAGATTAGACAGGACTACAAAATAAAAAACAATACACGTGAGGAACGTGCTTCTTAGTTCATTCAGATGTACGAAACCAAATGGGCAGCTCCTGTCCAAAACGAGGATGAGAAGGCAGGAAGGGACAGAACTGGTCTAGTGGACACAAGAAACTGCGGGTGAACAGGCGGAGCATGGTGTCACATTGTGGGGATTGCAACCAATGTCAGAAAACAATATATGTATAAATTTTTGAATGAGAAATTAACCGGAGCTATAAACCTTCACCTAATGTACAATAAAAAGAAGATTATTATGTTAGCCAAAAATTTAGTGATGGTAATATGTAATGTTGACATCTGATACATTGCTGGCAAGATTGTAAATTAGCACAAGCTTCCTGGAATGCTATTTGACCATTTATATCAGGAAGCCTTAAAAATGTTACAGTCTAAACTGTTATTCCCCTTCTAGCTCTCTATTTTAAGGAAACAATCAGAAATGTAAACAAAGATATATGATCATATGTATTTACCATAAGATCGTTTACAATTAAAAAACAATCAGAAATAAACGTCTACAAATTGGAAACTGATTGGGGAGATTATACTATATTCAGATTATGGAATGTACAAAAATTAAATTTATGCTTTATAAAGAGCGTTTAATGACATGAAATATGCCTATGCCATTTTTTGCTAAGGGAAGACAGTGAGATATGAAATTGCATATACAGTATGATTTCCATGTCATAAAGAAAAGATGATTAGAAAATAGAAAAATAAAATATTTTAAAGCTTTAACAGTAAACCATAAATGGTTTTATAATGGTTTATATTTGACAAGTACAGGTAATTTTGTTAATGCTTCTTTTACCATTTTTGTACATTCTAAATCTTCAAATATTGGGTAATTAAGGGAAAAAAGTAAAACCTAAAAACAAACAAACAAACAAAACAAAACAAAAAAAACCTAGGCCTAGGAATTTACCCGCAGCCTTCTTTCTTATGTTAAGATTTAAAATACATCAAAATATTCTCCTGGTCAATTATAATACTCTGATAATCACGATTTCATAATAATTTCACAATGTCACACTTTTCTGCCAATTCAAATAACAGAAACATTTACCTCATCAGGATTCAATCTCAGTCATTTTTATTTTATTCGAGCCCATTTACTATCACTGAAAAAAACTGATCTTTTAAAATCCCAGTGAAGTATGTTCTACTTTCTTTTCAAACTGGGCTACATGATCAATGGTATATTTATGGATTATTTAATTAGACAAACAAAAGCTATCCATCCACATACATCATGCATACACTGAATAGAGCAAATACGCAATTACAAACACAGGCTCCACACGCTCACTTGACCACAGGCTATTTCCTGGATGGACACTTCCAAATACTTAGTGATCAAAGCCAGCACCAAATTCCCTCCTTCTCACCAAAGTGCCTCCTCCACCTGCTCAGTAGCATAACTTGCTTCGTTTTATAGGTAGACATGTGATTTAAAATGCAAACACCTCTCTGATGACTATAACAATGTCTTGTATTTACACGGTTGTCATTGCTGTTAACTGCCATCTCAGCCCCTGACTCATAGCAACCCCATGCACAAAGGATCAGACTGTTGTGATCCATGCGGTTTTCACTGGCTGATTTTTTGGAAATACAGTATTTTTACATAAATAACATGTGGCTTCTACATTTGTTTGTCAACCGCGTCCTCCTCCCGTGAGGTATTTTCATAAGTGTGCTATGCTAATTTTTTTTTACAGCAACATGTAAAAAAAATATTGGCATAGCAGCACTTACGAAAATACCTCAAGGGGGAGGGCGCAGCTGGCAAACGAATGTAGAAGGCGCATGTTACTTGTGTAGATCACCAGGCATTTCTTCTCAGTCATAGTCAGGAAGCTCTGCTGAAATCCGTTCAGCATCAAAGCCACATATAAGCCTCCACTGACAGACAGGTGGTGACTGTATATGAGGTGCGTTAGCCAGGAATTGAACCAGGGTCTCCCACATGTTAGGAGAGAATTCTACCACTGCCTCCTATATTTATTCTAGGTAGTACATAATTAATGATGCTTCCTGAGACCAGATTTTGAAAAGTGCACGGCAAGAGAGCACAGGGGGCTGAGTCCCAGGGATGGGAGAGAAAAAGTGTCCGGATTGAGGGAAAATTACCTAATATAAAATATACAACTATTTGCTGAATTTAATAAAGGCTGGGCATGATAAATAACCAAACCAATTGCTTCATCATTTTGAAAAGGGTGACTCTTTTGAGTAGAAAGTGATAGGAAATAGGAAACATTTGAGCTGTAAGGTCCGAATTGACTCAATAGCACACAATAACAACAATGGAATTAGAGCATGGTAGCAATTCATTCTTGAAACATGGTATATTAAAGAACAGTAAGCATAACCTCAAAATACCTAGAATATTGAAACACTAAAATAACCATATCAAATATCAGAGTTTTAGAACTTTAGACAAATCAAAGATGATTTGTTTTCATACTTTTACCCCCTTTTCTCAGATTAAGAAACTAATTCCTAAAACATTAGGTATTTCATCCAACACCCCATAGCTAGTCAGTTAATCCAAAGTTTCAGTATATTGTAATAGGACCATTTCCTTACTTAAATAAAAATACAATGCGCACACTATTTTTTTAAAGATTCTGAAAATAAACAAGTACATACCACTTTGTTGACTTGATCATAGGTACTTTGGATTTTCCCATTTACTTTTTTACCTGACAAAACAGGAGGAATATGACATTATTTTCAATATTCTTGCTCCTGAATAATTCTAAGTTATCATTATAAAGACAACTACCACTCCTTCTCTAATTTGGACATATTATTTTCTTTCTCATCCCTTCAAACACTGATTCCAATGAAACTCAAATGAAGGATTATCAAGAAGGAAGCCCAGGGCTCTCTAATGCCTTTTTACCTTCACTTCTACTGGGCCCAGCTTTCCATTCAGAACATTTGCACAAATGTTTGTTTCTTTGGTGCAAGGTCAGGAATAGGATTTAAAATACTAAATGGCCCATGATTTGTTATCAATGCATCAAATATTAGTTCATCACTTATACATAAAAAAAAAAAAATAAACAAATTTGCCCTGGTGATTTTGAAATATCAATACTCTATTGAGTTTTATTGATTTTTGAATTTTCTCTAGTACCAGAACATGTGAATCACTTACATCTTGTTACACAACTCTTAAAATAATTGACAACACTTATAGAAAGTTTGGAGCCCTGGTGGCGCAGTAGTTAAGAGCTTGGCTGCTAACCAAAAGGTCGGCAGTTCGAATCCACCAGCTGCTCCTTGGAACCCTATGGGGCAGTTCTACCCAGTCCTATAGGGTCCTTATGGGTCGGAATTGACTTGATGGCAACAGGTTTGCTTTTTAACGGGTTTATAGAAAGTGTATTGAAACAAATATTTCCAAGTACTTACTTCCAACAATAGTCTTGTGATTGAAAATCTTACTCCAGATTCCACCATCCACATTGTCTTTCACTCCAAATTCATAAACTGTGTTGGGCTTTAGATTTTCCACAATTGTTTCAGTGGATGGACAGAGTTGAAAAACCCATTTCTTTTCCTTATCCTTTTCTCTGTAGCGAATTGTATAAAATCTGTTGAATAATCAAAATATAATGCAAGATTCAGAATGTTATTTCAAGTTTCTCAGTGCATCCCTGACTTCCATCTACTCAGACGAGCGTATTTAATATTGACTTCCATTCAAAGTTTTTAAAAACATGCAGAGAAAATGAAAAACAAAATTAGCTCAATCTGTACTTTAGCTTTAAATTTCTAATTGCAAGTTAGGGATCTGTGCAGCAGCACAGCTATGGTCTGACAGAATCCCAGACCTCTCAGTTCTAACATTTGCTACTTTGCAAATTGAAAGCTAGAAAACACTAGATATTCATTTTTTCTCAAATTATACATAAAGTAGGACACAGGCATAATTTTATAAATACTTAATATTTATAGTTTCATAACTATTTTCATAATTTTGTGGGATTGAAGCCTTTTAACTTCGTGGACGGCACGTTACAGATCATTTTGTTCAATTTTGTAAAAGAGGAACTCAAAGATGCATGCAGGACCTTGCATTTGAGGGTGAATTTTTCTTTATAAAAAAGAATCAAGACCAACAGCCCAACTAAGGGGGTAATAAGGTGTAATAAGAAAAATGCAAACATGAGATCACTGTCACATATTTGTTTAAGGTTTTATTACACTCAGATTCTATGTATGTCAAAATAATGATAATTCCCATTATTTTTTCTGCACTTTTACCAAATGTTAGACTTTATATATATTATTTCATTTACTTGTGACAAAAATATTTTCAGTCGTAAAAATTATTAATCCCATTACAAACGTGAAAATTGATTTTCAGAAAGATCACTTAACTTGCCCAATGTCACCCAGCTAGTAGGTAACAGAGCCAGAACTTAAACTCATTTGTCTCTAAGCAGCTTCAGAGAAAGGGGAAGTGGGGTGGCAGATCAGGAAAGGAGATTCACTACTGCTGTTAAGTAATGAGAATGAATACACTAGAGCTACATGTATCAATATGGATAATTTTATAAACAAGATAGTCAGTGAAAATGATATATGATATGATAATAATGCCCCCCCCCAAAAAAAAAAAATCAAACTCGTTGCCATCAAATCGATTCCGACTCATAGCGACTCTACAGGACAGAGTAAAACTGCCCCATAGGATTTCCAAGAAGCAGCTGGTGGATTCGAACTGCCAGCCTTTTGGTTAGCAGCCGTAGCTCTTAACCACTACGCCACCAGGATTTCCTGATATGATAATATGATACCATATATTATTCCTGGCATTACAAAGGTATACCAAATGCTGGAAGAATCTATTATTTATGATAGTGGCTCAGCTCTCTCTGAGGAGGTGGGGTCCACAGATAGTTAAACTTTATCTGCTGTCTATTTTTAAATAAACTAACAGCTGTTGTGTCTGATGACGGAAATATTTAGTACCTCTCCCCCATACCTTATGCTAGAAAAATCAGACTAAATTTCAGGTCAACTGCTTATATTTAAAGTTTTAAAAAGTCATTCATTTACTACTCATGATACAAACATTTACTGGGCACCCTGTAAGTGTCAGACATAGTTTTTGATGATACAAAACAATTACCCAGAATCTCTGGAAGTGAGGGGCAGTACCAGCTACATAATTTGCAGGGTTCAGTGCAAAATGTAAAAGGGCTCCTTGTTTGAAAATTATTAAGTATTTCAAGACAGCAAGAGCAAAAGACTAAACCAAGCATGATCCCTTCTAAGTGCAGGACCGGCGCAATTTCACAGGTTATACGCCTATGAAGCCAATCCTGACAAGACGGTTATAGTTTATTAAGTACAGAGAGAGGGGATTTATTTGCATATGCAGTCTACTTTCTCAGTAGTCATGAACCATTTAAATGCTTGCTATCATTCCTTAACTTGCTTCCTTCTAGTAGAAGCTTCACTCATGTCTCCATCCTTCCATTCCAAAGTAGCAAGGCAGAAGGAGTGAAGGAGGCCGTTCCAGCCAAAACACTAACTGCTACTGGTAACAAACGTTATAAAATACAAATCCTTTGTGTCTTGTGAGTCAAAACATCAACAGAGATTTATGAAACACGTTTCTTGACAAGTATGCTAAATGAAATTGTTGTTTTCTCCCCGCGCCCCCCACCTCCCTCTGGTTCTTACAGGAATTTACAGAAATGCTGGGAAGCTAAAATCAGACTAGATGGGCTACCATAATTATGCATCTTTAATCTGGATACATTTCTGAAGCCCTGAATTGCTTGAATGATCCAGGGGGCCGACTGCTAACAGAACTACCAAAGCCAGATTCAAGGATTTCCAATAAACTTGATTCCACATCGTTTCTTATAAATAAAATGGGACAGAAATGTTCTGTTCTTTTTTAAAAACAGAAACTTACCCACATGTTACAGAAAAAAAAGCCTCTAAGTTTTTTTTCTGCTTTGATTGCAAAGTCATTTAAAATACCCTCTTTTGTACCAAGTTTCTCAAGAAAAATAAATAATGCAGGCAACTAGCCCTTCTCCTCTCCTTCTGTCAGGTTTACCCTTGTTGACAGTGTCTTAATTGACATTGTATAATGTAAGCAAATTCTAAATTTCACAGGAGATAATAAAACCACTTAGCTATACTTAAAGTAGAAATGTAAATATTCCTTGATTTTAAAGCAAAATATAGGCCTTACTATAAATAGTGCTTTACAATCTAGCACACAGTAAGTGTTCCATAAATATTTGTACACATAAGTTCATTTTTTAATTAGAACATAATGACTGTAAAATGGGGATGACTCAATCATCAAAAATAATAATTTAAGCTACTGTAGCTACTAGGCCTACGATTATATTTTGTAACATGTCCACACATAAGGCTTTATTACCAAAACCCACCCTTCTCATAGAACCAATGCCAACTGAGGCAAAATATAATAAATGTTTGCAGTGTACATTTGCAGAGAGCTTAAATTTTATTTATTTATTTACACTTATCCATACAATAAACTCTGAGATGAGCAGAGCAAAAATTATTACAGAAGAAAAGGAAGAAATTCAGTTTCTGCTCCAACATATAAACTGCTTGAAAGTCATCACTCCCATTCTACCAAAAGAAAAAACTGAAAAAAAACTCTTCTTAAATCCATCAGAGAATTGACATCACAAGGCAAATCACCCCAAAAACTAGAAAGAGAGGTGAATACAGAATATCATACCCTGCCAGTGCAGAAGCCCTCCACTAGGGCCAAGTGTAAGAACACTTAAACTGTGATTGACAAATTGCTGGAAGCTTAGTGTGGACTAGCTTGGAGTGTAAATAACAGGAGGTAACAACTAAAAGAACTGCAAGTTTCAGATCTTATTTACAAAGTCTTTAGGGAAACCCAATGACAACAGGGTGGATTAAAAACAGGGAAATCAGAGGAAATTTTAGCCTCATACACCTACAGCTACTGCAAATAGTAGAAACAGCCTAACTTCTAGCCAGATAAACATAAAACCTAAAATTAAAGGCCTATTTACCTCAATTTCTATTACCTGATATATCATGTCTCACTTTCAACAAAAAATTACAAGGCATAACAAAAGGCAAAAAAAGTGTCTGAAGAAGAGCGGATGAAAAAACAAGATGAAACTATTGTCTACAACAAACCCACTTTAAGTATAAAGACACAGATAGACCACAAGTAAAGGGATGGAGAAAGATATACCATGTGAACACTAATCAAATGAAAGCTGGAGTACCTATATTAATTTCAGAAAAGCAGATACCAGAGCAAGGAAAATTATCAGGGATGAAGAGGGTCATTGTGTAATGATAATGGGGTCAACTGTCCAAGAAGGCATGGCAATCCTTAATATGTATGCAACTAACAATAGAGCATCAAAATATGTGAGAGAAAATCTGATAGAATTAAAATAAGAGATAGATAAATCCACTGTTAGAGTTGGAGACTTCAACATCCCTCTATCAGTAATTGACAGATCCAGCAGACAGAAAATCAGTAATGATACAGTTTAACCAAACAGCAGCATCCATCCACTGGATCTAGCTGACATTTATAGAATACTTTACTCAACATCGGAGCCATGGTGGTGCAGTGGTTAAGAGCTATGGCTGCTAACCAAAAGGTTGGAAGTTCAAATCCACCAGCCACTCCTTGGAAACTCTATAGGGCAGTTCTACTCTCTCCTGTAGGGTTGCTATGAGTTGGAATCAACTAGATGTCAACAGGTTTGGTTTTTGGTTACTCAACATCAGAATATACATTCTTCTCAAGCTCACATGGAACATCCACAAAGATAGACCACATCCTGGACCATAAAATACATCTTTAACTTAAAAGAATAGAAAGCATACAAAGTATGCTGTAAGACCACAATGGAATTAAACTAGAAATAAGTAACAGAAAGACAGCTGAAAAATCTCAGAATACTTGGAGATTAAAGAACATACTCCTAGGAGAGGCAGGGATAAGACGGTGGAATAGTCAGAAGCCTCATGTCATCCCTCTTACAACACAGACCTGAAAAAGCAAGTGAATCATATATATGTGATAATCTAGGAACCCTAAGAATCAAAGACAAAGCTGAAGAATCAGACTGAGCAACACATGGAAGGAGAGATAATTCAAAAACAGTGGAAATAGTGACTTACAAATCACCAGATCAGTGGCATCCTGCTTGCTGAACCTGCCCAGCACAGATATATTGAGGCAAGCAGCAGCATCCCAAGCCCAAATCCACCACATCTGGTGCAGCTAAGCAGGAGCAACTCTGCATGCATTTCCATAATCAAACAGGAGTGACACCAGGCCTGTGAAAGTTAAGCGCATGCTCCCAACCCACCAGACGTACCACAGTATCCCCCACCGAAGCTCCATGGTCCAAGGAGCACTCTCTCCCCCTTGTCCATCCCCCTTACCGTTCTGACACCAGTCCAGTGACATTCAACACCATCACACTCCCTAAGGCGGGAACTCAGAGCCCCAGTCCAGAGGCACCTGCCCCTTTGCCCAGTCACTGGCACAGGGTGTCCACGAACTTGCAGCACCCTCCCCCTTTCC